CGTCTTTGCCCTGAGGGAAACCCGCTCGGCCCAGCAGAGGGGCAAACTGGTGAGAAAAGTAATAAAAGAAGCATTCATATTACCATATCACTACACACAAGCAGACTCTGTGAACCTCGTGTGACTCTTTGACCTCTCAGCCTCTGTATGAAGTATATTAAATCAAAGAAAAAAATCTGTTAAAATATTCAGTTATTCAAATCAGGCTTATGACAAACTACATGTGAAGGCCTGACTCTTAATTTCAATAAGACATCAGTATAAATGTTTGGCTCATCTTTTTAATTTGTGCTTTTGGAATTTGTAACTCTGGGATGCTGCTGAAATCTGGATTTCCTTTGGGATGCAGTATTAATTTTAAACTCTAATTTATCCTCTTAAATAAATACAGACCATGCAAATGATGATTGCATCCTCTGATGTATAGCACCATCAAGTGGTGGTTGGAAGAAAATGAAGAGGGAACAATAAGCCAAGTTCACAGCTGTTTTAGAAAAGATTTGATGTAAATTTGATTATAATAGTAAAAAGAAACAAATTTAGATTTTGACACTGAGGCTGAGCTCTGTGCCACCTGTCTGATACTCATGTGTGTCCTCAGGTTGAGAATGAGTCCAACACCCTGCAGGACGGCTCTCTTATCGACCTGTGTGGGGCCACCCTGCTGTGGAGGACCCCCGCGGGCCTGCGTCACACTCCCACCCTCAAACAGCTGGAGTCCCTGCGACAGGAGCTCAACGCTGCACGCCCGCAGTGTCCCGTGGGCTTCAACACCCTGGCCTTCCCCAGCCTCGCCCAGCGGGAGATCGTGGACAAGAAGCAGCCTTGGGTCTACATGAACTGCGGCCACGTGCACGGCTATCACAACTGGGGCTACCGTAAGGAGAAGGGCCCGGCCGGTCCTGGGGGCACGGCTCCGCCCAGTACCGGGGAGAGGGAGTGCCCCATGTGCAGGAGGGTGGGGCCGTACGTGCCCCTGTGGCTGGGCTGTGAAGGAGGGCTGTATCTGGATGCGGGACCCCCCACTCATGCCTTCTGCCCCTGTGGTCATGTGTGCTCTGAAAAGACTGTGATGGGGTGGAGTCAGATCCCCCTGCCCCACGGCACCCACGCCTTCCACGCCGCCTGTCCCTTCTGTGGCACCTGGCTCACCGGAGAGCAGGGCCACGTCAAACTCATCTTCCAGGGCCCCGTCGACTAAGAGAGCGCCCCCTGGAGGACACCAGACCAGCAGGACTGAACTGGAATGAACAGAGAAACAAGCCACTGACTGACTGTGACATGCAATAGTAGATGCCAAGGCTTCACATGAGTTATGACGTGTATGGAGAGAATGTAAATAAACGTGTTGAAATGAACAGACCTTGGCTCTTACTTACACATAAACAATTTTCTCTCCTGTTTGGTTTTATTCTACATGTAAAACACACCAGAGCATTTGAATAGGACAAATAATGAGACCAGTGTGCTGCTATACAACTGTAACTTGATGGAAAGGGTTAAAATTTGATAGATTAAAGGATCATTTGTCACATATTTTAGTTACATGAGCTTTGTAGTCACTTATCAATAGTCAATATTATTTCTAGCCACTTAAATTATTTGGTTTGGCACAGATAATTTATACTGTATTTTACAATAAATAAAAGGCATGAATCAGAACTCAATCTCATTTTTAAACTGATCTTGTCATAATTAATTGTCAGATTTTTATTTAACATTTTCTACCTTTAAGACGCTCAAAGCGCTTTACATTAAGGAACTATTCACCCATTCACATGCACATTCATACACCAGCGTACCTAGACATTGGGAGTGAGGTGGATTAAGTGTTTTACCCAAGGACGCAAGGACAGTATTAATTTCTGGGAGCTGGAACTGCACTGCCAACCTGTGGGTCAGTGTATCCGACCGCCCAACTAATGATGTTTGGTGCTGAGAGCAGGATTCAAAACACTAACCTTCAGATTTGTGGACAAACACACCACCAACTAAGCTCCTGTCACTTTTAATTAATGATACAGACATTTGCATCTGTACGTGATTGGATGAGAAATGTGTATATGCATAAAAAAACAGATAAAATGCACATGCAGTAATAGAAGCACAGGTGCATTTAGACTTTTAGTGTATTTTAGTGCCTGCAAGCCTGCCTCCCAGTGTGCAGCGCCCCCATTGAGCTAAAAATAACTCAAGGTCACCATCAGCGGTCCACGTCTCATCAGCAGGAGGATCTGGAGGAGGAGAGGAGATCCCAGCTCCACTGCACCCACTCGGCATCACAATCACCACTGGCACTGACACTGAAGCCTGTGGAGAATGCAACGTAACAAGTGCACTGAGGTCAAGCCACTTTACACAAACAAACATATGCATTCATCTTTTTTCCACACATTTATTTATTTTTTTTTTGCATTTTCATTTGCATTTTACCCTAACATTGTGCATTACTTTAATCAAGCCATAATGTAAATGTAATTCCTACTTGAAGAAATAAGCTGCTTAAATATTGTGAACATACAGTATAACCTAGATACACTTTTATACATCTTGTCAAAAAATATATTAAAATTTAAACACGTTACAGAGGGAGTAGGAGGTAAAACGAATTTGATCCTACGCACTTTCTTCATGCTGTTAAATTGGCTTTTTTTCTCCAAATAAACGTTCATTAAACACCTGTTAAACACTGAAATAATGTTATCCTGTAAGTAGAATGTAATTCCTAGGCCTACATACAAATATTAGCCTGTTAAACAAATTGATTTTACCCAAAATTATGGTTGGTCAGGCAAATTGAGGGCCATAACACGAGCAGATTTTTTATTAAAAAGTGTTAATAATTGTTTTGACATATTTCCAAATCGAATATGAAAACAACAAAAGTGGAAATATCTTTTTAAAATCTCAAACACACCTGCTGCACTGTAGCTTCCAGACGCCAGTACCGTGGTCACGTGTGGTTATACTGTTTTTCCACAGGATCAAATGTAAATTGGAGCTCTTGTCTTTGGCTCCCCCTACAGGACGTAGTATTTTTGCTTTTTTTCCCTTCTCCAATGGGAAATCTAATATCAAATAATTTATTCATTTCACTCAGAAATAAATAAAACTTCTAGAGTTATATTTTTTATAAACCACTTTATCGTGTGTATTTGTTATTAATATTACTGTGAGTAATATGAGACAAATTACAAACTACATACATTATATAGGCAAGGCAAGGCAAGGCATGTTTATTTGTATAGCACAATTCGTACACAAAGTAATTCAAAGTGCTTTACAGAATAAGAAATACATTAAAATCATAATAAAAACAAATCAAAACATAAATAATCATGAAGATTACAATTAAAAAAGAGAGACATAAATTGGAGAGAAGAGTGCAGAATGAAAACCTTTCAGTTACATGCACAGTTAAACAGAAATGTTTTGAGCCTGGATTTAAACAGCGTCACAGAAGAGTCTGTCTCACATGTTCAGGAAGACTGTTCCAGGTTTTAGCTGCATGAACCTGAAACGCTGACTCCCCTTGTTTAGTCCTGACTCTGGGCACCAGCAGGAGGCCGGTCCCTGAGGTCCTCAGAGTGCGAGATGGTTCATATGACACTAACATGTCACAGATGTACTTTGGTGCTCGGCCATGGAGACACTTGTACACAAGCAGAGCTGCTTTAACGTCTATTCTCTGAGGCACAGGAAGCCAGTGCAGAGACCTGAGCACAGGACTTATGTGCTCGTACTTCCTAGTTCAAGTCAGGACCCGAGCTGCAGCGTTCTGGATGTTCTGCAGCGTCTCACAGCTCATTTGGAGAGACCAGTGAGCAGACCATTACAGTAGTCTAACCTACTGGAGACAAATCGCATGGATAAGTTTCTCCAAGTCTGCTTTAGACAGTAAACCTTTGATTTTTGCTATGTTTTTTAGATGGTAAAAGGCTGCAGATGTTATTGATTTGATGTGGCTGGTAAAATTCAAGTCTGAGTCCATTATTACCCCTAGATTTCTTGCCTGATTTGAAGGTTTTAGAGAGAGACTGGAGGTGACTGCTGACACTGTCCCTTTGTTTCTGTGGACCAAACACTATGACTTCAGTCTTGTCAGAGTTTAGCTGGAGAAAGTTGTTTTGCATCCACACAACTGATCTGTTGGATGCAGTGACCAAGTGAGTCCACTGGTCCATAGTCTCCTGCTGCCAGAGAGGTTATATAGACCAGTACAAGACAATCCCCATTTTATATATATTCTTTTTCATATCGTCAGAGTTCTCACAATAATATCGTGGACCATCACAATATATCAAATTACAAGTCTCTTTCCTTAAATTAAGAGTTATGGTGCAGTAATAGCTAAAAAAAATAGACAGAGGGAACTACATAGACCAGGGTTGGGCAAACTACAGCCAGGGGGCCATATGCGGCCCTAATCTTTTTAATCCTACCCACCAAACATGAAGAATTGAATAATAATGATTTTCAGTGTTTTAAAAGTCATTTGTATAAATAGTAAATACCGTGGGACTTGAAAGACAGATATTTTGTTGTAATGCTTTGTAACGATTTTCAATTATGGGATATTTTACTAACATGGGATATGTTTTCTACATACCCCATGTTATTTTTTTTTCTCTTATGAGGTGGATTACCAAAAAACTCCATCCATTTGCTCCTGGTCCGGCCCTTCCATCAAATTTTAGAACCCTTTGAGGCCCACGAGTCAAAAAGTTTGTCCTGACATAGATCATGATCCCTTGCTCTATTTCAGTATAGACTACAAGAACAAATAACAATTCTAAACACTTTTAAATCTTACTTCTTTGGATTATGTCTTAAGAGGAAAAAGTAGCATATTCACAGTTTTGTTATCCTCCACAAAATATCGCAATAAATATCGTACTGTGAGGTTCATACCGTGACAATATCGTATCGTGAGACTTGGATATCATTACACTCCTAATAACTACTGAACATTTATTGAAATAAGAATTACACACAAGCTGTAAAGGTGACCGTTTGACTGTTTTATTATATATAGTATATTTATAATATGTACAGAAAAACATGATCAAACTCAGCAGGGAGACAGCAGAGAAACAGCTGAAAGAAAAGACAAGAACAGTGACTGAGAGGCATCTGAGATATAACTGACCCCTCCACTGACAGCAAGAAAAGAATCAATGTGCAAATGACAAGGACGACACCCCAAACACACAGGAAATACAAAATGAAAAGACGGTTTTCATTAGAATCACATTCAAATAACGCAAACCCCATGTCCCCCCGTACACTTCAATGAACTAGACAACACGGTACAGAAGTGAAAACTGCAGAAAACAAATACAGACATAATGGAAGTAAAAAATAAAAAAAACCCTACATATAATAATTTCCAGGCTACTCAAAGATTTGTGACTTTTTTTTCCTCAAACTGTAAAAATGAAATTCAAATATGAGGACATGTGCATGTGTGACTATTTCTTTTTTACACTGCTTGTTTTGCATCTACTTCAGTGAGACCAGTGTGAACGCTGGGATGCCAACGTATGTCCAAAAAAAACAAAACAAAAAAACTCAGGAATGTTCCATATGACGCACTGCAAACACGCAAAAACACAACTGTTCCCTCCCCCACTTGTATATCTATTTTTTTTATTTGTTTTTACCCTTGTTCTTTTAAGACAAGCATTCTGGTTTAGCATGACGCGACACAAAAATCAAGGCTATAAATAAATGAGTGTAAACTGAAGCTGACGCAAGGCAACGGGCAAGGCTCATCTCCAAGACTGTGGAAGTCATTATCTCCAATACCTGCGATGTAAGCGATACCTACTACAATGTAAGGCAATGAGAATTTTTTTTTTTTTAAAGGGATGCAATTGGGGATTTATGGGGGAAGAGTCGGGAGTTCATATCCGGTCAACTAACGCACGACCAGTCAGTCCCTAAAACTCTGGACTCCCCCTGAAACGCACGCCAAAAAATAAATAAATTTGAAGCTTGCTGCTAAATACGCTACTAGAAAGTATCATCACTACTGAAAGATTTGTAAATAACTGCATTAATTTGACGTAATTATTAACTGTTGATCTTAATTTGTGATATCAGATAATTAAAACAAAAATATAGACTTCAGCCATGCCGGAAATTCTTCAATAAGATGAACTAATTTGAAACGAAGCAAGCTCAATGGTTCTGTAGCTCCTGTGTAGTGTCAAATATTTTAATAGTTCCTTCACGACATCCATGAAAACAACGCTCCAAAATCTATCTACAGGAGCCTCAGAGGGTCAACGCTTCCAAGAATACAAGAGGTTTATACAAAGGGAATTCCGAAGTTAATCTACTCCAAGAATTTTTGTAGTTTCTGGTTGACCAGTTTCTGTAAAAGTGGATGTTTCTTCTTACATTTAACCAAGCCAAAACTACAGGATTTTAGCATTACTCTTTCAGGGCCTCTCCTTAATAGTTTGTGTATTTTATAGCGCGGCGGCTGCAGTGAGGGGCTGGGCCGGGGTCAGTGAACCCGTGTTTCGATGCATTCCTCTAAGGCTCCCTGGAAATACTACTGAGTGCTAAGGTGAGCAGTTCCAAGCACCGTGTATGAAACCCCCTACATTCTTGCCTCTGGTTTCACTGTCACTGTGCCAACTAGTGTGTGTACAGAGCACTGGGGCTGAGGAAAACGAAGGAATCCTTTTTGAAATTTTTGTAGAAAACATCGTAAAAGACATTCAACTAGAGTGCAAAGCGAAATAAATGCAAAAATTTGTATCACTTTTGCATGCATCTATGTTAAATCAAAATGAAATCATTTTTGTTTTTTACTGGAAAGCAAAGAAAGCCAGCCAATCACAATCTTCCACAGAACTGGTTTAAACGAGTTAAACTGTGTCAATACTTTGTGCTGAGTTTGCTTGGTTCAACTTTAGCATGCCGGAATTTGAAAGAACCACTAAAGCGCCTAAACCCAGGTAATCCGCAAACTTTAACTGCCCTAAGTTAAACAGAAGACAATAGCGAGTGAGAAGACAATAGCGCAGGGTTGTAAAGATGGATGCATTGTGAACGGGGGAAGCCAGACCACTCGTAAGGCAAAACGAAAGATTTACGAGAATAGAACTGGAAGGAAGGAACAGTGAACCTATCCCCAAACACGCACGCGCACGCACACACACACACCAAGTCTGCACCCTGCTTCATCTGCGAACAAGCGAAACGACATCCACCTCTGTACTGGTCACACTGTACAGCCCAAATAAAAGATTAAAACCACAACAACTATTAAGGGCTTATTATTAGATTAAGCAGAGTGTACGCCGTTGCCCTTGCACAGTATTTAGTGTCAAAACCATCATGAGATTAAAATACAGTTGTGTCAGTCCAACCTTTTAGCCGCAGATTTCTGGCTCTGGGATAAAACCTGACAGCCTCGGTTCGCGCTCGCTTGCGGATGTCAAGAGTGGCGAGATCTATTTTTAAAATGTTCAGCAGTGCAAAGCGTTTTTACACCGTGAATTCCAAAACAAAGGTGAACGTTGTTACTATCGGGTGGTGCGGTATAAATTATTTACAAAAGGCATGGTTTGTCGACAGCTGAAAATGATTAGCTCTGCGTGAAATGTGGGGAGGTGTGACCAGGCACTATAGGAACCGGTTCTAGTCAGATCTTAAAGAGTTTAAAATGGTTAAGCAGTAATAGGACCAGAGTGGAAACATGGCATTAGACTACTGTAGCTGCTGCTGCTGCTTTGAGTTGTGTAAATCATTAAATCCATGCACTGAAGCAGGTTGGAGAGCGAGGAGGGCGCAGAGGAGGTGAGGGACAGGGAGAAAACTCACCGGGGGACGAGCTTTCCCTGTCGAATCTTCAATAAATAGCGAGACCCCACCACCTTCAAAAAGCTACGCGGCCAAAAACTACCTGCGTTGCGCTCCCCCAGCTAGTTTTGTGTGTGTGTGTGTGTGTGTAGCCCCTTTTACACAGGATAAAAAAGAAGTGAAGAATGTTGGTGATGGCGACCGGTTCGTAACAGTGCGTATGCCAGTCTCAAGCCTGGATGAATGGAATCGTCAGAAAGAGCATCCAGCGCGAATATTTATTTTTTGCAAGTCCAGTGAGAATCAGAGATAAATTTTGCCAGTTCCCTAAGATCTGCCACATGTCTAAGCTACAACAGGTAAAACACATTTGCCTAACATGTTATATTATGAGATGAAGTGTGACAAAGCTGCAAATAAATAATCATTTTGCAAAGATTTCTGTGTAAAAGGGGATGGTGTGTGTCTATTTGTATTTAAACGTCATCTTGCCTCAAACGCCCACTAAATCCAGACCCATCTTCAGGATTTTTTGGTTGTCCTGTATCGAAAGCTTCCCCTCTACTTTGTCAGATGAGGTCCTTTTCAGTCATGGAGAATCTGTGCTCCTCCACTCCACAGGGGGCGGTGTAGGTGTGGTAGTTGAAGGATGACCGATCTGCGTGGACATGGGTGAAGTGGGCAGGGCGTAGTGGGTGGGCGGAGGGGTCCTTTAACAGCAGCCCCCACTGGATGGCCTGACGGGGGTGCTCTCGATTTTGAGGTTGGGTTTGTCCCCTCCGGCCGTGGCCCCGGGGCCCATGCGCTTCTTGATCTCCGCGGCCATGGTCATGAAAGCCTGCTCTACGTTTGTGGCATTCTTCGCGCTGGTCTCCAAGAAGGGGATGGCCAGGGAGTCGGCAAATTCCTAAAAGAAATACAAGGAAACAGGAGAAATTATGGCGCGTTCGTTTATCCATCCGACTCGGAAGTTTGAGGACGTTGCCTAGAGATACACACTGACACGCCCATTTTCCTCGGACGTCGGAACTCGGAAGAGCTCGGAGGAGACTGAGCAAGGTTTCAGAGACAGAAGCCAAGATGGGTGCGCCCAGTGTCACTTGAAGTATGAATGGTTTTCATTGTGTTTGACTGAAATTGGCATTTAAACCACCAAAGCGTCCACTCGTATTACTGTAGTATTTTACTGCATCCATATCACTGCCTGTGGGTCTGGTAATATTACTGTAGTACTTTACTGCGACCATATCAACGCCTGTGTGTCTGGTAGTATTACTGTAGTACTTTATTGTGTCTGTATCACTGCCCGTGGGTCTGGTAGTATTACTGTAGTACTTTACTGCGTCCGTATCACTGCCTGTGGGTCTGGTAGTATTACTGTAGTACTTTACTGCGTCCGTGTCACTGCCTGTGGGTCTGGTAGTATTACTGTAGTACTTTACTGCGTCCGTATTACTGCCTGTGAGTCTGGTAGTATTACTGTAGTACTTTATTGCATCCGTATCACTGCCTGTGGGTCTGGTAGTATTACTGTAGTACTTTACTGCGTCCGTATCAATGCCTGTGGGTCTGGTAGTATTACTGTAGTACTTTACTGCGTCCGTATTACTGCCTGTGAGTCTGGTAGTATTACTGTAGTACTTTACTGCGTCCGTATCAATGCCTGTAGGTCTGGTAGTATTACTGTAGTACTTTACTGCGTCCGTATTACTGCCTGTGAGTCTGATAGTATTACTGTAGTACTTTATTGCATCCATATCACTGCAGTACTTTATTGCATCCGTATCACTGCCTGTGGGTCTGGTAGTATTACAGTAGCACTTTACGGCGTCCGTATCACTGCCTGTGGGTCTGGTAGTATTACTGTAGTACTTTACTGCGTCCGTATCACTGCCTGTGGGTCTGGTAGTATTACTGTAGTACTTTACTGCGTCCGTATCACTGCCTGTGGGTCTGGTAGTATTACTGTAGCACTTTACGGCGTCCGTATCACTGCCTGTGGGTCTGGTAGTATTACTGTAGTACTTTACTGCATCCTTATCAACGCTCGTGGATATAGTAGTCGGTGCCACCCATGTTTTCAGCCCATTTCCTGCCAGCTAAAGTGACAAAATTATCTACTATCACACGAAACCAACGCTTTCACTTCTCTAATATACTGAATTATTCTATATATACTGAATTCTTCCTCGTGGCTGTGCAGTTGAAGCGCATACTCATTTTGGAGCGCCTGGTACTTGGCCAGCAACAACAGCTTTCCTGGTAGCGTCCGTGTTTTTCTCCGAGTCGGACACACAAAACATATTAAAAAGGTTGAAGCGTGGCGTGACGTGACATCACATTTGAGAACCGAGTGGGAGACGGATGGATGGATAAACTAACGCAGCATTAATTTTGTATTTTCAATAGTTTTAAGACAATATAAATGCTATTCTAATTTTGCATATCCTCCTGGGACCTGAAGAGAAAAAGTGTATCACAATATTTTTTTTTGTGTGATTTTCTCTCTATTTGGAGATAAATGAACACTTTAGCATTTACATTTTGTTCATTTTATTTTTAATTTTGCAACACGTCCTCTGTAATGGACACCAGGAACATTTTGGTGTTAAATCCATGTGAAGTTAACCTAACAGAAACATCTTCTTTTGATGACCAACATCTCTGACAAGCTTCTACAGTCGCCTCAAAAAGTTTTTAGACTCCCTTTTAATTTCTTCTTATTATAATTTTTTTTATTATAGTGCAGGCATAAACTAGCCCCTATTGAGTTAATTTTTTATCCTGGACATGATAGTACCCTATAATCCCACAGTCCTATTTAGGCAGAGGAACCTAGTCCCCCCATTAAGAGTCTTTCTCAAAACACTTAAAAGACAGACTGGTTAACTCAGTATCCACTATAAACGACACAAACAAATGGATTGGGTCTCAGGAGGATATTTCCAAAACAACAATTATGATATAACACTTTCTGTACATTTCCAACCTCTACTAATAATTTTAAGCTGTTTCTGTCATTCCAAATCGTACCTTGGCCGTTGTGTAGTCCACTACTTTCTTGGTGGTCAGGTCACACTTGTTGCCAACCAGCAGCTTGTTCACATTTTCACTGGCGTAGCGGTCAATTTCTTGTAGCCACTGCTTCACGTTGTTATAGGACTCCTGTGACAAGACATGACATCAAAGATCACAGAGTGGACCGAGCGACTGAGTGACCAAAAGTCTTTCAAACACACCGCACGTACCTGATCTGTCACGTCGTAGACGACTATAATGCCATGTGCTCCTCTGTAGTAGCTGGAGGTTATGGTTCGGAACCTCTCCTGACCTGCAGTGTCCCACTACGAGGCAAAACAACAAGTATTACTCACAATGTAAATATGCAATACATGTGCATATTTAAGTTTGTATAGCTTAATAATTTCTTAAGGCATTAGCGCTCCACTGTTGAGCAAAGAGCATTAACTCAACTATTGACACACACACACAAACACACTCACACACTCTTAAGAACTACAACTGCCCTCCCTGACCCGACCAACTATTGTGACCTCAGCCACTACAGCTTTTGATTCAATAAAACATCACAGCGTAGGGGCACTGCTACTTTTATATTCTACTGGACTGGTTTAGTCTAAAAAGTTTACACTCCTGGGTTTCAGCTTCAGCTTACAGGCAACATTTTAAAGACTTTTCACCTTTCAAAAGAGTTTTAAATTGGCAACTGTCCTACTTTTCATCGTTCTGAAACCCGCAGAAGGACCCATTAAAAGCATCTCAGCATGTAGCATCTTGATGTTAAAGTTAAGTGGAACATAATGAAATTTCAATGGGGAAATTGAATTTGCATTATGTGACATATTGAGGCAGTTTTGGCAAATGAAAACCACTCAGCTCCACGCAAATAACTCAGAGCCTGGTTGCAAAACTTTAACAAATTTATTTAATGAGTTAATAGGATAAAAAGGTGTCCACTTAATTTATTCTCCAGTTTCCATTGTTTGAAACAGTCTAATGATTAAAGCTGGGTATCAGTAAGAAGATGATATGATACATACCTCGATACAGTGCACTCTTGGTTTGATATGATACATTTCAAATTAATTCAATACAGTTCAATAAAAAATAATGGCTGAATCATGGTTGTGATACTAAAAGTCTTTGTTAAACCACTTCTTGTGCAAAGTTCATATGAAACACATTCATTTTAATCCTCAAAACAGTGAAAATGTCAAATGTGCTGCATAAATGAGTTTCCTTCCTCTGAACAAACAACAAAACTGTAGCACTGTAATAATTTATTAAAATATACCAAAAGCGATATATCGATACTGTATCATCACATTAAATGATACGACAGCGGTTTCCACCCCCATCCAAGTAGCTCGCAAAAGGACTTCTGAATTATACGTGTTGAATAAGAACAATTTGACTGATTAAATGCCTATTATCATTGTAAATGTATAATTTTGATGCCTAACTTTGTACACAAATAAATGGATAATGGTTTATGTTATATAGACATCTAACTGTAGCCTATCTAAGACTTGCTGTGGCTCTTATATTTACAAAATTTTCTTTAATTTCAAAACTAGTAGCTCTCTGGCATTTTTGCTTTGTAAAAGGAGCTCACCGAAGGAAAAATATTGGAAAGCCCTGTGATATGATATATCAATATTTCAATGTTTTTGCACTCCTCTACTAATGATATAGAAGTTGAATGGGTTTATTGCACAATCCGTTTATAAGCCCATAAATATTCAAATCTTTTACCAACAGTCGTTTTGAAAACACACCTGGCATGTTCATTATCTTGTTAAAACTCGTATAATCAAATTCACTTCTAAACCAAACACAATTGGAGCTTTACTGTGTTTGTTTTCTACACAGCAGAAACACAGAAGAACAGGGAGGGGGGCACTGTCTGTTCTCTTCAATGAAACAGGATCCATTCACACACACGTACACGCACACACGCACACAAACGCACACACACAAAAGGCTGGAGGTAGGGCCCAGCTCAGGTGTGTTGTGGACTGGAGCGGTGTGCACTTACGATCTGCAGCTTGATGGTCTTTCCGTCCAGCTCTATGGTGCGGATCTTGAAGTCCACCCCAATTGTGCTGATGTAGCTTTCCGTGTAGGTGTCGTCCTGCCAGCACAAAGTAAAATAGAGGACATCTGAGCTAAAAGTATAGTTTTGTGTGGCTACGGTGGGCACAGTGACATTTCAAGATAGTGTACTGCTTGGAAATGTAGTAGTAGTAAAAGCCGTTTACCACAAAAACCTTGTGCCCTGACCTATATCTATTTTAATTGCTGCTTTAAGTGCTCACCATTTACATAATTTAGTACTGTAATGGGAACAGTTTATGTTCACAGCTGCTGAAATTACAGCAATGAGAAAAAAAAAAGTAATAGCGATGTGAAATGTTGGAGCATAATTGGGGGATAGGGCTGTGCAATCATTCAAATTTCAATTATCAATCAATTATTACTCTATTCTCTTACAATGAATTACCTTCTGTTGAGAATTTCTAACCTACATGGGCTTTTAATCAAACGTGTGATAAAATATACTAATAAAACAAAATTTTTGTATTAATTATGATCTCAAATGAAGTGAAAACTCATAATATTTGCCATAATCAAGCAGCCCGAATAGAACTTTTGATGTTGTGTAGTAGGGCTGTCGTCCTGCAAATGTTTAGCTGATTAATTCGTTTATTCAGGAAATTTTAAGTACAAGGAACAACAGCCAAGAAAGGAGAAGTTAGTGAGTGAGTGTGCAAGCTGTTTGCTTCGTATTTACACGTAAAAAGATTTAATCTATGTACATTGTTTCCTAATAGTGTACATCTTGGCCCAGATATGTAATAGCTTCAAGTGATGTTTGCCATGCTTCCTTTTTAGTCGATTAATCAATCTGCAGGGCATGTTTTTAGTCAATTTTGTTTAATCAACAACAGCCCTAGTGTGTAGTTAGCACTGGTGGCGGTTAAGTGAGTAATAGATGTTTGCTAAGTCAATTATTTTCACTGAAATTACAAAGTTTGACTGTGCACATGGTCGTATAGTCAGCCATCTTATATACATCAACTAGTTCCTCCTGTCTGTTTCTCCAAAATAGGGACATGTACACTTTGTGATGAAATACCTGTATGCAGGCGTATTACGAAACTTAACGACACAAATTTGCCTTTAAGGGTTTTCCTTGTGACTGCAAAATTGATTAGTGTAGCTCATAGTTTCCAGGAAAAGGTCGAGAAGGCCCCACTTACAGCGAATCGAAGCAGCAGACAGGACTTGCCCACCCCGGAGTCTCCGATGAGCAGGAGCTTGAACAGATAGTCACTGAAACAACAGCACAACACAATGGTCAATGGGGGAGAAAATGAGGTCATGGTGGTCTGCTGCGAGGACCTGGTTAATTAAAAGAAACAATCTGCTGCATTGTAACACAACAGCGTACACGTGAGAAGATTTTTTATTTGGTATCCCTTAACACTCGCTATATCTTAATAAACCTCTAGAAAACAAGAATAAAGACTTAAGCTCATTAATTACGGAAAAGCAGTTTATTAAGAATGATAAAGTAGTAGAAACTAGGAATGTAACAATAACCAAATATCTTGATATCGTATCGTCAAAGTTCTCACAATAATATCGTGAGCCATGACAATATATCGAATTACAAGTCTCTTTGCTTAAATTAAGAGTTATGGTGCTGCAATAGCTAAAAAAGACAGAGGGAACTACACAGACCATGATCCTTTGCTCCGTTTCAGTGTAGACTTCAAGAAGAAATAACAGTTCTAAGCATTTTAAGTCTTAGCTCTTTGGATTAAGTCTTGTCAAGGCATTTTAAGATGAAAAAGTAGCATATTAACAGTTATAATATCGCAATAAATATCGCACCGTGAGATGTATATCGTGAAAATACTGAGTAAATATCGTAAGAGATTTGAATATTGTGATATTCGTGAGACTCCCCGCCATATCGTGAGCTTTCCCATGATATCGCAATAAATATTGTCCCGTGAGGTTTATACTGTGACGATATCGTATCATGAGACTTGGATATCATTACACCGCTAGTAGAAACTAAATTCAATTATAGATGCATTGTGTAACTTTTCTGGTGAAGGGTCCGTTTCTTGGTGTGAATGGATAGGTTGTTGCTTTGCCTGGAATGTTCCGCAGTATGTGATTACACTTATCCAATGAAACAAGCTAGAGACACCGCAAAGGGCAAGTTACAGGTCAGATCTGTGGTGAGACAAGCTCGCTCGCTCACAAAAACTGTTTTTCAAGGTGTTTTTGAGCGATAAAAACACTGGTAATTGAATAAATGCAAGATAAATACTGTATGGTTAATGCCTGATTGTGAAATATTCCAGGCGAAACAATAACATTTCAATTCTTGCACCTGAAAAGTTACAGAGTGCACATTTAATCACAGCTAATTAAGGTGTAGTTCTTTGGAAAGTGTTTCATTTTCACTGCATTAGAATAAGTAGTTCCTAAATAGAGAGAAAGAAAACAATGCCTCCGAATGTTCACTGTGGACATTCCTCAGAGAAACTTAATACCGCGAATACCCAAGATACAGAATAACTAACAAGCTGCATACTTTGGATTTTTGACATAAACATGAGCGTGTTGTTCAGGAGCTCTCCTTTTGAAATACGATATATAAACACATATTTTACAAGTTAACCGAGCTGTAGGAGGAAATCTTGTTGTGAAGAATTTACGAGAATATTTTCAACTAGATTATTCTTCAAAGAGCTTTCTTGATTTCTTTTTAATGCAATGGATCCGAGTGAGTCATGGAATAAACATCACATGAGTATGACAGGGGTACAACTTCTGACAGAATTGCCCAATACCTGTGCTATTCTAGTGTGAGGGAACCTGAGAGCCTGTTGCTCACTCGCCATTCATAACAAAAACACATTAAACGTTTAAGCAACAACTAAGAGTCAACAAGCTTCAAAACCATGTCAAACGGAAATAAATTAAACAATGATGGCGTAATTGTGTAACAAGATATGACTCTTTGCTGACAAGTCATAGGATTCCAATTTGTACACTTGAAAGTCCTGTTGATGTTTCTCCTAAATACAGGTCTGGTCATCCTGCTAATGTCAACAAATAAAAGAGCAACAAAAACATGAAAATATAAGGAAAATAAAAGGGCCTGTCGCAACAAATGAACAGTTTAGTTACATTCTTCAAGCTGTGGTTTTAATTCCTACAAGACTTATTCATTCATTCATTTATTGACTACTGAAGGTGAAATGCAGTCTGTAGATTTCTTTCTTTCTTTTATTTTTTTTATTATTATTAAAATGTTTATTTCATTTTATTATACTATTATTTAATTTTCTAGATTTTTTCTTTTTTCCTCACTTATTTTAATAATTTGTTTTTGTCTGTTTTTTGTTTTTTCCTTTTGAGTAACTATTATCATTCTTATTCTTCTTATTATTAATTTATTGTCTCACCTGTTGTTGTACTTTCATCAAAAACTGACTCTGTCAAGCCATTAAATTAATCATGCTGTCCTGACGGACCCATATCATACAAGCCTGTCCAGCTTCTTTGGGTGTCCATGTTTTTTTCACAGTTATCACATATTGGCATGTATAATGTATGTCAAATGCATGTACATATTTACATATATGTATAAGTGTGTGCCTATTGTGGGATTATAATTTAAAACTGTGGAAAAAATAAAACTGAAATTGATTGATAGATTCATTCAATAATATTTAAGTTCCCAATTTTTAACTGAGAAGGAACCATCGACTGTAAAAGAATATACAGTCCATCAAACTGAAATATTAGCTTTTAATTTGTCGTAAAAATTAAAAGGAATTTCTGGGTTAAATATGGAAATTAACCCTAACCCAGAATAAGATTTAATGACTAGAATAGGGCTGGGTATCATTAAGAAGTTGCGGATACGATACTTAGGGCACGATAGGATACATATCTCGATACAGCGCACTTTTCATTCGATACAGTACATTTCAAATCGATTTGGTACAGTTCAATAAATAATTTTTTGTGCAAAGTTCTTATGAAACACCCATTTTAACCATCAAAACGGTGAAAAATGTCAAATGTGTTGCATAAACAAGTTTACTTCCTCTAAACAAGCAACAAAACTGTGGCTCTGTAACAAAATAGTTTCATGAAATATACCAAAAAATCGTCTTGGCAATATATCAATACAGCAACTCATGATATCGATACTGTATCATCACATTAAAACGATATGATACGTCGATATTTCAATACTTTTGCACATCTCAACAATATTTAATTTGCCTTTTTTTTTTTTTTTTAGTAAGAAGCATAGACTCAAAAATAATATACAGTCTATGGAACTAAAATATTAGCTTGTATAGGAATTTCTGGGTTAAATATGCTAATTACCCAGTGACATAAGCCATTACAAACATTACAATAGCCTATTATTATTATTGATAATTATTACCACTAACCAAGAATAGAAATTGAAAGCATGAATGTAGCCTAGAGGTCTATCATAATCCATTTTTGTAAGTTATGGTAAGTACCTAGAGTGAGTGGTTTGACAGTTCAAAAGCACACACACGTAGGTAAATGTTGTGTTATGGGCGTGGAGGTATTGGCCAACGAGTCGAGCAGGGTTCACTCAGTCCCAGATAGGCACAGATAGGCACCGGCTGATCCAGTGTGACGTTTAAAGTGCCCCGAGGATCCCGCTGTCATCTCACATCTGTCGCCTCCTCTCGTGTGTCGCAGGTGGCCGGGGTATAATGATCCCTACACATCCATAGCAACCAAAACCAAATACTTCAATGTGTGTTACGTGGGGGAAATACTCATGGAAAGACAGATGCTTCCTGAAATTAAATCTTATCAAACGCACCAGATAAGGATAGTGAGTGTGACTTGCCATCGCATCCTGTGCATTAGGATGACGATCTGCTTATCGGGCTCGCCACACGTATGTTACTCAACGCGCGATCAGCTACAAGAAAGTGAAACGTCAGCAGTATATGTTTTTTTTTTTTGTTTTTTTTAGTTTCGACTCGAGTTTTCCGCGGCTGTAGCTTTAATTCTAGCCGGTTTCGTGGCCTTTTCGTCCCGTGACAAGCCGAGACGAGCGGGCTGTCAGCTGACGCCGAGCAAAAACGCGTTACCGAGACTGACACATGAAACAAGCTGCGGTCCGCGCCCTGTTTGACAAAATTCCGCTCGCTTAGAAGCAAATAAACGTGTAAATACATCATTGTGAGATATGTAGGGATGTTAGGTGTTTAAATTGTGTCTAAATGCGCACGATCAGCGCGTTAAAATAAAGCGTACGGCTCTGTAAAACTCACTATTCAGGGTTCATGGTGTCACGGTGATGTGTTTTTCCGCTGGCGAATCGTCTCTTCCTTCCTACTCCGGCAAAAAGATGACTTGTAGGTCCGGTATCCGAGGCACTTAATCCCCTATTTGGTAGTCTCTGTGACTGTCCACGTCTTGGCTCGCCTTCGTAATCTTCTATTGGTTCATATATCCCAAAATCAAGCGGACATATCCCGTTTGTTCAGCTTTAGGTCCGAGTATTTTATCCCTTTTCCAGCCGTTCTGTGTCCGCTGCTTGGTAGAGGTTCAAGATAACTGCGCATGTGCGGACGTGACGCGAGGTGACGTGGCACTCCAGACTGGGCTGAGGAGCGCGTCTGGGATTTGTAGTCCAGATAAAAAAATAAAAATAAAAAAAAGGTGCAATTAAGGATCATTTTTAACGTTTTGAATATCTACACATCAAATGTTATGTTAATTTTTTTTTGTTAATTTGTTTACTCTAAATTGCTATTATTTACCTTAGCACTTTTTGGGTTTTTTTTTTGGTGTTTTTTTTGGTTTAATCTATGGGGCACTTAGGGGATAAAAGAGGGTGCCACAGGTGGGCTATAGGTTTTTATCAGTCGCCAGGTGAGGCAGTAAATTGGCCTTGATCATGTACCCTTATAAATCTTGGAAAATGCAGCTCTGGACATGGACATTGATTTTGTTTTTTCACTGCATAAACCACATGCCCACGGTGTCCAAAAGTGATTTGAATTATGTTTAGTTCTGAGTTTGCTCACCACTTTTGTTTGTTAGTTTGCATTCACAAATAGTCACTACAGTATAAATAGATAATAGACTACAACATATAACAAACATTTTGGTGATTTTAATGTGTTTTTATTTTAAAATAGGCTTTATATAAAAGTAGAAAACTTTTCACACATAGGCTTTAGATAGATATATAGATAGAAAATTCTTTACTTATCCCGAAGGAAATACATTTTTTGGCAGCAACAATGAAACATAATAATAGAAATAATACAGCAGTAATTCATCATTTATAGATGAATACCCAATCAATAATCTATATACAAACTGCATTGTCCAAAACATTAGCACTTTTATTTTAGACCTCTGGCTCTGATACAGTAAGAGATAAACACTTGAGGTATCCACTGTCAATTTCCACATCTTCCTCTTGTGATAGAGCGGCAGCAGTTGCTACAGGTGCAGCCAGGTACACGTTCCCCTTGGTGTGTTCTTCATAATCACTGAGTGGAGTGAAGTCGGCCACAGCAGCAGCCTCCAGGCCCTGGTTTATGTAGGTGGCCTCCTGACAGGCCTCCAGAACAGGCAGTTCTGACAGAAGTGCTTTGAGTGTGTCAACAAGTTCTCTGAAGCAGGGCCTCTGAGTGGGCTCCTTCTCCCAGCAGCTATACATCACCTCCCACCTGTAAGGAAAACAATGCCCAGTAATACAGTGAAACTTCAAAGGGTAAACAAATTATGTAATTGCATGTTTATTACAGAAATGTAGGCGATGTGTCACTGTATTAACAACATTTAAGTATGTAATAACACAATTTAAATCATGCCATGGTATAAATTTATTGTAATTTTTACAAAGTTAATCTGTCAGACTTAATTACAGATAACTGATATATTAATAATGGCTGAATAATTGTTTGAATATTCAAAGACGACATGTAGCTGTGGATAGTATCTTACAGTTTGTGGTCGCAGTCGTCTGGAGCTTTGAGTCTGTATCCAGTCAGCAGCAGGTCCAGTAGCTCGTAGTTATGGACTCCAGGGTACGGTGTTCTCCCACGGGACACTATCTCCCACATGGTGATCCCAAACGACCACTGCAATGACAATAATACACTCATACCATTCAGTTCTAGTGTCAACGGGACTGCTCTAGAACGAAAGGTTTTATTTTACTCACTACATCACTTTTTGTGGTATAAACAGACTCAGACAGACTCTCTATGGCCATCCATTTAATCGGCACTCGGATGGCATCTTTCTGACGATAATAATTGCTGTCACAGATTTTTTTGGAAAGTCCAAAATCTGCCACACACACCTTGAGGTCATCGCCTAACCTGTGGGCACAGATGAATACATCAAACACAAGTGCATTTATGCTTTGAACATTGGTGCTTTCTGAAGCTTCCGTAACATTGGACAGGCCACAGTGGAATACCAATGACAGAGGACAGCAGCCCAGTCATGGACAAACAAGGAGTCGTTGATTTAAGACTAGGACCAATGAGCCACTTCCAGTCCTTTTTAAAGCCTCAATGAACACTGTAGAGTTGGTTTTAACCTTAACGTATGATCTAAGTAGAATTATGTCCTCTGCAAGATATACACAATATACAAGATATCCTGCCTTTGTATGGAGAAAAATCTTTCTGAAGTATATACTTAAATAACTTGCTCTGAAATATGTAGGATTCTTATATTAAATAAGCAGGTAATTTGAATTAAATTGCAATACAAAAAAAGCCCTAGTCCACCGCAGAGGTGTGCAATGAAAGACTTTGTGTCTGTTCTAAACTCACATGCAGTTGCGAGCTGCCAGGTCTCTGTGTAGAAAACCCTGTGAGCTGAGATAGTCCATCCCCTCAGCAATGTCCACCATGAAGCGCAGAAGAGTCTGGTACGGCACAAACTGGAACATATAAATAAAGTTAGCTACCTATATAAATAAAAAGTTAACTATATAAATGTCACTTTTTATTTTAAAAGAAAATGCTAAGAATATACAAATGTCTTGAGCAATATGTCTGGACATGCTGACATGGCTAAAATATGATGACGCTGTTGCTGTGGAAGTAATTTTATCAACAGGATGGAAATATAATCATCACCAGAAGCTGAGTTCTGTGAACTGAGCACTTATACTTCCCCATTATTAGAGGTCTTGACCAAAAATCTACTGTCACTGTGTGTTTAAAACAAACATAAATGTTTTTTGTATTTTTCAACTGAAATTCATATACCATGGGGATGTCTCCATAGCGTGTAGCAATGAGGAAGCGACGGAGGTCCCCGTGTTTCATATAGGGCAGAATGACCAGGGGGACAGGCACCGAGCTGTCCTCCTCCCTCTGAAGAGTCACCCCTAAATAGTGATAAGGATAAGGTCAAAAACTGTATTCTACTGACAGACAGTAGAGGGCACCAACAGGCCAAAAGATAAACTTCAAATAGTTGTAAAACTTAGTTTTTAACAGGTATATGGCGAGTTCTTATGTCTCTCACCAAGTAGTCGCACCACATTGTCATGATTGAAGCTCTTCATAATCTCAGCCTCTCTCAGAAACCCATGTAGGTCTTCCTGGCTATGAAATCCAACTGGATAAGAAAGAAGATTTAAGCAGATATCAGACAAAGTCCATTTGTGTAATAGTCATTTTAGTAATAGTCATTTTACCTCTCATGGTTTTCACTGCAACTTTCATGCTCACATTTTCCTCTGGAGTAAAGACTGCCTCGTAGACTGACCCAAACTCTCCTGTCAACATAACACTATTAGGAATCATTGTATTTTAGCCATTTATATTTGGCACAAGGACAGTCAAACAGATGTTACTAAAATCATTGTCACTGAAGTTTACTGAATTCTTTTAAGATATTGTTTTTGAGCAGTTCTATCTAACAATATTTTTGTTTACATATCTTTGAATAAACAACAATCTCTATCTAATCTATACACTAAAATTAGGAGTAGAACTAGTTGGTTAACAATGATCTCCATTATAATGCAAATATACTAAATACAGTAATATGGACAGACTCCTACATGGGAGCCCACAGGGCGGCTCAGGACAGTGAGCTGGAGGTTGCAAAATTATTTAAAGTTTAATATTAATGGCTATGTTTTTAATCTCTATTGCATAGGCTGTATTTTCTTAATGAAATTAGGTGAAATCACAAATAACTGCTCAAATAAATGTCATTAAACCAGTTTTAAATTGTTTGGTCACTAGAAATTGTAACAGAAACGTTGCAAAAATTTAATTTAATTTGGCAGTGGGGATCTGAGTTGTTCATATTGTTATTTTGGGCGCTGCCCTAACAGATCACATAACATTCTTAAACTACATCAGCATTATCAGGGTTTGCTCCAAAAACACACCTTTGCCTAGTTCCTTGCCCAAAGTTGAGAAGACGCCTCTCCACCAGGACCTCTTTCAGTGAAGTGGCCAGTCTCTCCCCAAGCCCCTCCAGCAACCCCAGCACACTCTCGTCTTGAGCCGTTTCTGGTCTCATACAGACATCCAGAACAGAAGCCTGTTCTGGACGTCTGTATGAGATCCTAGGATTTAAGGGGGTCAGTTCCACATCCTGTTCCGGTCTGGGGAAGGAGAAGTTAAATTATATCAACGTTTTATTTATTTATTTATTTATTTATCTATGACATCTTTTTTTTTTTTTTTTTTCAATTGTTCTTATACCCTGTGATGCAACAATGAAATGTCCCCATTATGGGATAAATCAAAGATTTCTTATATAATGTGATTTGGTAGTGATATGTCTCGAAATTTGTTTCAAAACAAATATGTGAGTAGTAAATCTGGCCATCAAATTTTATGTTTATGTAATGCCCAGTTTGGCCATTGTGGGTAAGAAGTAACGTAACTACAATGAGCCAAAATATATGATGAATGAACGAATCACTGAAAGGTATTTCTGGTTGTTGACATTTTGCAAAAACAATACACTTTCTATTTGATTGGTTTCAACCAGAAAAAAGGATTTGGCAGAGTCAACTTACTTATGTAAGCCCAACCATCACTGTCACATGACAACTCAACAATATACAGTTTTCACAACATAACAATATCCTTTTACTTTAATCAGTATCCTAGACACAAAAGTCTTGTTTCATATAAAACAATGTACAGCAGTTTATATGTATGAATTAAATCATGTCTTAAAGGTTTTAAAAAATTTGGATGGAGTTTCAATTAACTTAAATTCATCATTAAGATCATTCCAGAGTATTAATTATTTATTCCTAAAACAGAACACATCTTTGTCTTACATTAGTTCTTAGTTTACAAGATTCAAACCTTTATACATTTTATACATTTTAATATAGATTTTATGAATAGTTCATTAGTAGGATTATGGAATAGTGCTTTATTAATCATTAGTAATAAACATGTTCGTCAAGTGAAGCTCCATCATGTATCTGATGTTGATATTCGACTGTCACCCTCTGTCACTGTTCGATTGGTTCCTTTGTCAGATGCTGCTTTTCATAAAGCCTTGTGGATTGAGTAGTGTGTGTTCTGTGGTACGTTGGCTGGTCACTGTATTTCGGGTTCATGTAACGGGTTATCAGCGAGTAAAGCACAGAATAAAATTGTATGTTGCTTTTAGAGACAGATATTAATTACATACTACTAGTGCATATACTTTGCCATGACATTTCGAAAGGCAAATTACTTAATATGGAACCTGATCATTTCTATAACTGCCCTTTTCTGTAGTTTAATCATGGGATCTATATAAGTTTTACATACATTTTCCCAAATTTACAAGCAGTAAGATGGGGAAGCACAAGTGATGAATATCAGCACGTGATGAATATTACTAGATATGCATCAACTCAAAAATGAGGTGATGCATCTCGAGGGGTTGTTCCTCTTCATAAAGACATGTCTTTTTTTTTTTCTTTTCTCACTGCTGATGTTACATTTTCTATTAAATCCATTTTCCTAGACAATTATCTAGTTGTTGAACAAACAACTTTTCCAGTAGTTTAAAAAATTGGTCCAATAAAGAAACTGGCCTATAGTTGCGTGTCATCATCTTTACAGATTGAGGCACTTTAGCCAGTTTCATTTTCTCAGGAAATGTTCCTTCTGCAAATGAACTGCCACAGATAAAAGTTAAAGGCTTAAGTATTCAATTAATTACTTCGTTGATCATTGACATGTCAGTATTCTTACAGTTTGTAGATTTCTTACTCTTACTCTTTTCTGACCACCTCTAGTACGTCACTCTCACACATTGGCCCAAAAAACATGACATTTTTATTCATGTCAATCCTAAGTTTTCCATCTGCACCTGGTTTTGTTGTATTTGATTTGTTAAATTTGGGCCCACGTGAACAAAAATAGTATAAAATTCATTAGCAATTTCTTGTACATTATCAGTGACTTTGCCATAATTTTTCACTATTTGTGTTAATGAATGTTTAGAATTAGGCTGGTCAATCACCTTCTTAATTACAGTCCAAATTGCCTTGATATTAGTTTTAAACTTTTGCAGTAGTATGTAATAATTCTACTTATGTTCTCTTATAATTCTAGTTAGTTTGTTTCTATACTTTGTTGGATGTATGTATGTTGGATATATTCTACTTTTACATTTAACTTTAACTCTCCTCACTGGACAATAATATTCATACAAGGACATAAATGTGCCAAGAAATGCATTATAGGAATCATTTATATCTTCAACACAGACCTCATTCCAATCCTGATTAAAGAGTTCCACTTTAAATGCCTCAGTTGTCTCTGTGCTGTACTATGAAACTGTGCAAGGCTTTATTTTTGTGAGTATATTCTATATGCTGGCTTCTCCCTTCACTTTCAATGATTTGTAATGTTATTTGAAGTTACAAATGTTGGTTTGGTTGTTACCTGAGTTCGGAGTATTTGCGTTGGAAGATACACACTGTGATGGGGATGACAGCCAAAAGAAGCAGGACTCCAAACATGACCCCCAAAAAGACCCACAAGAACAGGTTCCTCTTCTCCTGGACCTGCACTTTGGTGCGGGGGGCGTTTACTGGTGTTACTACCGGGGGCGCTCTCCCTGGAAACACACATAGGTCATGGTTACTTAACAGAAGAGCTAAAGGATAACTATTACAGCCTAATAAAATGCACTTACTCAGAATGAGTACAGGCAGAGTACTACAGTCCTGTAAAAACATGTTGGATATGACGCATACCATGTTTGTGTCTGAATCTAGTGACAATTACTACTGAATAAATATATAATAATTGTGATTCATCAGATGCTTGTTGTAACCTGATTGCTTCTATTGTGACAGACGCCATGGTTATTCTACTGTAATCTCTGATAATTCTCACACATGATTAGAAATACAATCTGTCAAATCTGTGAGCCTTTCTCTGTATTTGATGCTATGATATTCAAGTTTGGGCTAATTATGTGTGGTTTGTGTGAAATTCATTGAGTTCCCATGTGTTTGATGCTGCTTAAAAGTTCATTTTGAGAGACAGCTTGCTGAGAAATGCATACTGTCATTCAACTATGTAAATGTTGAGGTGTACATAGTAGTCTTTCTTACATCTCTGAATCGTTACAGTGGCAGTGGAGGAGAGCGGCGCCCCCTGCAGGGAGGATATGTCGTTCCAGGCCTCCACTGACAGTTTGTAGTCCTGATAGGCGTTAATCCCAGAGAGGTTCACAGATGTAGTGGTCAGGGAGTCAAGCAGAAAAAGCACTCCATCACATGTCTTCCACTGGCTGCCATGTTGTCCACGTGTCTCACAGCGGACATGGTAGGACACGTTCAGCCTACCCCCACGGTCAAGAGGAGGGTCCCACATAAGAACCAGCATAGAGTCATTATAGTGATGGGCCGTCACATTCAAAGGAGCTGAGGGTGGCTCTACAGACAAAGATTCAAATAAAAGAACAATGTCATGACCTACATCATGGTCTATTGTTTAAACAGGTTCCTTACTCGCACAGCCCAGGTCATAGGGGTGAGACGGCAGGCGGCTGAAGCCCGGCACACACTCACACGAGTCCGAGCCCACCTTGAGAGTGTGACTGTGTAGAGGGCACTTCTGACATCCTCCACTCTGATTGGCCCATTTGTAGAACCCTATGTCACAGGCTAAATGAGAAAAAGAAAAAGAAAAATGTCATGAAATGTAGAAAAAGTAAAAAAGGGAAACTTAAAGGGTCCATATTATGCTTTCCTGATCTATGTTATCATGTTTCCTCATCCAAAAACAAACCCGGAGTTGTGTTTTGTTTCATTCACACATTTATTAACATACAAACTCTGCATATTTAGTCTGAGTTCTCTCAAACAGAAAAATCTGTTCCACTTTGTGATATCTGTGTAGCCTGTCTAAAAGCTCAATCATCAATTGTGAACAATATAGGAAAATTCTAATACATTCTAATACAGTGAAATTGATATGAAATCTAGTGAAGTCAGGTGCATTAGATACTACAGTTGTATACTCTAAATTGTACAGGCCTACTAGTATCTCCTTAAAGAGGTGTGTTACAGTCAGCGCTTAACTTAAGTCATTGCTAAGTTATCCATCCATCCCGGAACATCTGGAACAGATGCGTGAGCCACCTCGGCTTGCTCTTCTTGGCATGGAGGAGCAGCAGCTCTACTCAGAGCTACTCACCATATCTCTAAGGGAGCACCCAGCCACCCTGCACAGGAAATTCATTTTGACTGCAGATGACCATAGATGAGGGTAGGAACGTGCAAAGACCAGTAAATTGAGAGCTTTGTCTTTAAACTCAGCTTCCCCACAATGGTCCAACCGCACTGCAGACACTGCACCCGTCTGCATGGCAATCTCACACTTCATCCTTCCCTCACTCACGAACAAGACCCCAAGATACCTGAACTCCTCTATTTGAGGAGGACTACTAATTTATTTAAAGTATTTATTTGATCTGTCTGTGTGTGTAGATTTTACCTTGGCAGTGATCAGACATAGGCTGGTGCCCTGGTCCACAGACACACTGTCCCTGCTGTGGCCCCCACACTCCTTCCACACTGCAGTTTCTCTCAGGTGGGCCCTCCCCTTCCACTGCCCCCTGCACACAGGAGCCCCTCACTGGCCCCGAGCCTCCAGTGGCTGCAGAGAAGGAGCTGAGGGCCAGCACACTGTCTGGACACTTCTTGTAGAAGACCCTGATGGAGGAAACTAGCACACAGGCACCTCTGTAGGACAGGCCCAGTTGGAAGCCTGTTCTCCTGACAGGGCCCAGAGACAGGGCTTTGCGGGTGAGGAAGAACGGGGACAGCTTTTTCGGGTCGATGATAGCTGGAAACCGCCGGGACACATTGAGCTCCAGTACTGACCAGCGCGCTGATATTTGTGTGCTGGGGAAGCTGGAGTCCAGCAGATGGATCTTCAGTGGGACAGGCTCACCAGACGCTGACAGGGCGAAGGTGATGTCCAGATACAGATGTGCAGCATCTCCGCGCTCTGTCCACGCACTGAGGGCACTCCTAGTGTGGGGAGAGCCACAGGCCTGGAGCATGAGACCTGTGCCTCTAGGCATAGTGATCTTATTAAACTGGAAAAGAAAGAGTATAGGTCAGGTTTATTATTATTTATTTATTACACACTTATTGCATTGTGCAGTAATTTCACTGTAATAGTACCTCCGATGCAGGATTCGATGTCCATTTTGACTCTTTGTTCAAATTCAAAACATCCACTAAACAAACAAACACATGTTATATGTTTAAACTGGGGAAGAATGACAGATATTAAGTTAAAAAAGTAAATATGGTGTAAATATTCATGACGTATGCACCGAACTTTGGCTATAAAACTCATGACTCATGAAAATATTTGGTGCACTTCCTCTTGCTCATGTGTCGCAGTTTCACTGAAGTTCAGTCTTATACTGTAGGCCAAAATCGTCAATGTAGGTGGAAAATGATTTGTTATAAGACCTATAATATGAACATAATTAATAAATTGCTTTATACAGACAATCTACCATTTTGGTTCCATTATCTGTGTTTTGGTTTATGAAAAAAGAAGAGCAGGATTCAAAAACAAAACAAAAAAACTACAATACTAATTGTATTAATATTTGGGGATTTGTAAAATTCTAACTAAGGCAAGACACTGCAGGTCTCTTTTTCTTTCACTCACATAAATGTAAGAAAAAATGTATTGCAACTTTTACATGTGGTGTTTTCATATAAAAATATGCACTTTCTGTGTAAAAACAGGAACATTCAAAGCAGAACATGAAAAGAGCCAGGTTTAAATTTCTTGCTTCTTTTAGTTGTCGTATTAAATACATATTACATACAGAGAGGATTTATAGATATTCTATTTAAGTATTTGAGTAAACTAGGTCTGACAGAAAAACTTCAAATTTTAAAGTTAGAACTTAAATAAACCAGAATTGGAATTAGATATCAAAAATCCTTCTGTATGTTTGTTTATTTATTTATTTGGTTTATTTAACAGGGACAGTGTACATTAATCAACAGTTCTGCAAATGTACCAGAATTAGCCAGAGAGGATATTTTTCTTCTGTAGTCGCTGGACAGATGGTAACATGGTCATGGTTTGTGTGAATGGTGAATAGCTCATATACATTTGGTGATACTGTAAGTCCAGCACAGTGTTTTGGAGGATTGCTCTTGTCTATATGCAACAATGAACTCTGGACCATGACATTAAAACGCACAAGCTCTAATCTTTTCCTGAAGGACTTTCCTATCGTTTCCTGACAAGCCTTTACATAACATTTCAGTTTGACAGCATGTAAACACACTCACCTTCTAGTGCTCGTGGAGGTTCTGTGCCAAAGCAGAGCTCCCAGATGCAAGCACAGAGCAGGAATCGAACCGGCAACCTCCTCATGTCGTCTGCCTGAACCCGGGGCAGAGGTGTATCAGGTCTTCAGCAGCTCTTCTGTTTACTGCATGAGTCAAAACTGTTGAATTACAGAGAAGACACAAGACTTCCCTCCTCCTTAAAAGCACTTAACGAGTGTCCAGTGTCACAGTTGGTAAATGGTAAGTGGAAAATGTCTCCACCTTATTGTGATCTATACTATACGACACTGGAGCAGAGGGCTGTTGAGCCATTTAAATAAACTGTACAGAGTATTTATGTCACATGCCTTTTATTTATTTATACACTTAATTAATACTATTTTATGTTGAAAAAAATTTACTGAATGTATTTAAATTATTACATCATTAATTAAATATGTAATGTTTAAAAATATCATTAGGACTTTTTTCTCTTTACAGAATTGTGCATTTTTTCCACAAAAGGCAGATTACAGATAGAATGCCGTGTTTTTTTGCTGCATTGACAAAAGTCTAAAAGAAGTGGAAGTGTTTTTTTCGTTTGTTTGTTTCATTTTGTTCAGGATCAAATGTTAGAAATATTTGTTTGTACTTTAATCCGCGTTTCGTTTACTGCTGTCTATATGAGAAATGTGGATTTATGTGGAAATGTGCGCATATGGAATTACCAGTTTTTCAAAACATTACAAAAAACCATAACATTTGCGCAGTCTTCGCTTCCTGTTTCTTTGACCTTTTTTTAGAATTGATGAGTGAATCTAATTTTCATCTCTGTCATCATCCTGAATTTTCCGCTGGTTTCTATATTTGAAATCAGATACACCCATGGTCCCACATTGAGCAAAAACTAAGGCTGATAACTTGAGGATCATCTTATTATCAGTTATCAATATTAACAAATGAAAACAGGCTTGGGAGGGGGAAATTACTGACAATACATAGAGGATGTTGCTCATGGTAAACCATTTTATAGAGACGTTTGAGCAAGTTTAAGCAAGAACCTCAAAGTTTAGAAACAGGTCGACTTCTCACAAGAATTCTATATTGAACGTGTAGTACAGTATGAAAGATTAACAATATTTTGGGGGTCTCAATATCACATGGGCCTGTCTTTCTATTACTGTCATATTTTTTATTTTTTGTATAACATAATATTCCAACTGCACAGACTCAAAAAACTGAACTTTTTCTAGATATTCAATAGCTACTTGGGTATTTTATTCTTCTATTTAGTGATGCTCATGGTTTTTGAACTATTAGATAAGGGTTTTTTAGGGTTTTCCTGTTAAAGAATTATTATTTCAAGGGCAAGTAGTTTCTGTAGCAAAATATGTCACTTTAATCCTGGCTCTTTTCCTTCCAGCTCCACTGCAGTTAGAAGAAAAATGGTATCAATTCCACAACACATGCAGCCACAGAGACACTTAGAGATGCGTCACTTTGCGCCTGTAACCAACAAAACTGTCTTAAAGATTGACACCAGTCTGAGTCATCCACATGCTGCCTCGACGTGTTACCCACTAGATTTCTAAAGTCTGTCCTCAACAGTTTGCTTTCACCACTCGCTCACATAGTTAACATGTCTGTCTCTTCAATCTGGAACATTCCCAAGAGCTTTGAAAACTGTGGTCATCAAGCCTCTCCTAAAGAAAAGCTGCCTTGGTGCCACAGAACTGAACAATTTCCGACCCATCTCAGATCTCCCATTTTTTGGCAAAGTCCTTGAAAAAGCTGTTTACCAAAAGCTTACTAACTTTCTCCAAATTAACAACTCCTTTGATGTTTTCCAGTTTGGTTTTAGAGCCACTACTGCACTGAGACTGCTCTTACCAAGGTGACAAGTGACACCCGCCTGAACACTGATGCATGCAATGTCTCGGTCTGGGTCCTGTTAGATCTGAGTACCAGTTAATAAGCAGCAATAATGTGTCCTACCACAACTCTGCAGATGACACTCAGATCTATGTCTCACTGGCAGCAGGAGACTCTGGACCAGTGGACTTACTCTGCCACTGCATCCAACAGATCAGTGTGTGGATGCAAAACAACTTTCTCCAGCTAAACTCTGACAAGACTGAAGTCATAGTGTTTGGTCCACAGAAACAAAGAGACAGTGTCAGCAGTCACCTCCAGTCACTCTCTCTAAAACCTTCCAATCAGGCAAGAAATCTATGAGTAATAATGGACTCAGACTTGATCTTTAACAGCCACATCAAATCAATTACATCTTCAGCCTTTTACCACTTAAAAAACATAGCAAAAATCAAATCAAAGGTTTACTGTTTAAATCAGACTTGGAGAGACTTATCCATGCATTTGTACCAAGTATTAGACCACTGTAATGGCCTCTCACTGGTTTCTACAGACGAGCTGTGAGACAGCTGCAGTACATTCAGAACGCTGCAGCTTGGGTCCTGACTCAAACCAGGAAGTACGAGCACATAAGTCCTGTGCTCAGGTCTCTGCACTGGCTCCTGTGGCTCAGACAATAGACTTTAAAGTGGCTTTGTTTGTGCACAAGTCTCTCCATGGCCGAGCACCAAAGTACATCTGTGACATGTTAGTGTCATATGAACCATCTCGCACTCTGAGGAGCTCAGGAACCGGCCTCCTGCTGGTGCCCAGAGTCAGGACTAAACACTGGGAGTCAGAGTTTCAGTTTTATGCAGCTAAAACCTGGAACAGTCTTCCTGGAGAAGTGAGGGCCTCTACTTTGACTCTGTTTAAATCCAGGCTCATAATGGTTCTCTTTAACCCTCTCCAGGCAGGAGTTGCAGATTTGCAACAGCTAAATTCCAATTACCTACTTACTCCACATATATTTATGAGCTTTTTTTACTCAGGAGCCTTTTCTCCCATCCATGCTGATAAACATGGACGATGCAGACTGTGCAAAAATGGCTACACGCAAATGGCCTGCCAGAAGTGCAAAATACTTTTTTTGTTTACAAAGGATAAAAAAGTCAGAATTGTATATTACTACCCCATATTATAATTTTCCCCAAATATCAGATTTTTCCTGATACTAAAAATTAATTTGAGCCTGAGAGGGTTAACTGCATATGACTGAAAAGTTTTTATTTTGCACTCTTCTCTCTCATTTAATGTCTCTTTTTATTTATTTTATAATTATTATTTATGTTTTGAGTTGCTTGTATTGTGATTTTAATGTATTTCTTGAGGTGTGTGTGTGTGAGTGATGGTGATGGTCAGACGGACTAATGGTGCAGATTGGCAGCCTCACTTCCGTCAATCTGCCCCAGGGCAGCTGTGGCTACAGTAGTAGCTTTCCACCACCGGGTCTGGAGTGAATGAATAATGCTTTGAAAAGCGTCTTTGAGTGTGCAGAAAAGCGCTATATAAAAGTGATGCATTATCATGGTTATTTTTTCTAATTCTGTAAAGCACTTTGAATTACTTTGTGTACGAACTGTGCTATACAAATAAACTAGCCTTGACTTGCCACTTACAGATCTAGTAAAAGACAGTGTTAATGAGAAAGGCCTACTTCTCTCACCTTCCTATATCTGATATAATATTTTCACCATATTCCACTAGGGGGCGCCAATGCATTCACTTTGTGATCATCTAACGTGAATAAAAACAAGATACTGTAAGTGATTGCTTTTCATCATTTTTATTAAATCAATAAAAAAAAAGTGCAAATATACCACACAAACAAGCAATAAAATGTCCTTGTTCAGATATTAACTCAAGACACTACAGCCAAACAAAAACACTCTTAACACTCTAGGCTCCTAAACAAGCCCCACATCACTCATCCTCTCAGTGCACAAGTGATGTGCTAACAATAATATATTACCAGGGATGCACACAGTTGTTATTGTCTGTTTCTCTTTCAACTTTACAGAAAATTAATTGTAACCATGTCACTGTCAAATAGGGTTTCTGCTCAATGTTCAAAACACAGGCATGAATTAAACAGTAATTTTCCAAAGCAACAATGTATGTTACAAAAATATAGTCCAATAAATAAATACATACACTTTTATGTTGCTGTAATTCCATTATGGCTTATACTGTTAAATGCTACATAAGAGAGAAAACCTTAAAAAAAAAAACAAAGGAAACCTACCACAGATGATGCCCTGAAATGCATTCTCCGAGTCTTGATAAACAACAATTCAATGCCGAAAAGTAACATATTTCTAAATGCAGGTGTAAGAAGTTGATAAAAGTGTGACATGCATCTGCCACTTACACATCTGATGAACCTGTTTTTACAAACAGCTGTATTTGAACATGAACAAATATGTATGTGTAATGTGCAACTGTTACTTAAGGCATTTGTGAAACTGAGCATATTCTCAAAGATAAGGCACCTGTTGGTGCTGCTGAAAAATGGAGTTCACATGTCATCTACTTTGGCAACTAGCTGTACCAATCCTATAACATAAAACACAATCAGTAACAGTTAAACAACATAAAACTATTCACCTAAAACTCACACAGAAGTGCACAGTTCAACTTAATGTTTATGGATAATAAAAGCTTAGCAAACCATCCAGGGTTTCTAAATATTTACCATTATAAAATAACTTACTTTTTCCACAGACACATTCCAGACAGTCAGACTTTTCAAAAGGAGTTTACTTGTTTTTTTTTTTACCCCAGTGTGAGCCTCTCTGATGTGCTGCTTCAGTCCTGTCCTCTGCAGTAGCTTCTTTAGTATTACCTAGGCTGTGCAGGTTTGTCGTTCACTGCATCACACACTTCTCCTTTTGTTGTTTGGAGTACTTCCTGCGTCGCTGCTCCAGGCCCCGCTCCAGTCGCTCGTCCTCCTCCAGCGCGCTGGGGCAGCACATATACAGTCATTAGGATGTATAAGATAATGGTTTTATATTCACTATGCTGGTCCACAGGGGTCTTATACTTCTTATACTTCATGGCTCTACCAGGAAAGACATTGATTGTAATAAAGTTCTGTATAAGTTCTTAGTACTCACCCTCGTTCCTTGGCATCCATGTTCTGCACCAGTTCATCTCTCTGGTTCACCAGAGACACCAGCTCCTGCAGCAGCAACTGCTCCCTGTGTTTATGGTCTGGAGTCTTCTGCCACTCTGCACAACACACAGCACTCAGCAATGCCCTCCACAGACTGCATTTAGTTTTATGTACCTTCTGTTGCCATTATGTCTCTCAGTTCCTTCTTTAACAGCTCAAATCTTGTTTCCAAGTCTTGTTCTTCCAGTCTATAAAACCATAGAGAGAAGAGAAAAAGAGAATACAAGTTAGTGCACAGATCACTACTTGTGAGGGTCATGAGATACAGGGTTTAACCTGTGACAGTAATATAAGTTTTGCACAACACTCAGTGATAATCTTACAGCAGCTGAAGATGGTCTTGTCTCCGAATCAAAGCATTCTTTTTGTTGACCAGTGTAAACCATTCCTGGATTAATCGCTCCTCCTCCACTTTGTCACTGCCTCCTGGACACACAAGTTATGCAGCTGTTGTTTATGTAATATGTATTTTTGTTTTGAAAAAGCACACAATATTGGGTCCCTTTGTAATCGTGTGATAAAGATGGATTTATTACCTGTTTCCATGAGCTGTCGGAGTTTCCTCTCCACCACACCTGCTCTGTTGTCGATGTGATTCTGCTCAGCCTCCAGAGCCTCCATCTGATTCAGCACATACTGACTGGTGTCCTGGAAGAGTTAAACATGTACAGACCACAATTTAGAGCAGTTCAAACTGAAAAAAATAAAATCTCTCTTTCATAATAATTACAGAGAGAATACTAAGGTTCTCATTGATATTATCATGCAATATATGATTTCACCTGGCCCTCTGGTCTTGTTTCCTCTGGCACACTTTCTGTCCTTTCTGAAAGAGGAAAACAATTACATTTTGACAGGATCAGTTATCCATCTCATTATGCCAGGTGAATGTTAAAATGTAGAATTTGTTAAAACTTCACAAACCGGTTTCTGAGGTGCTTCGAGTGAGTGAACTGTCGCTGTGTGCTGCAGCTGCCTGTAAGAAAAACAAGACCATAGTACCCCTTAGTATTTTTCACTACTGTATTATGACTCTGTAAGTAATTTCTAATGCTGTAATTTTAAGTGAGAGGTTCACAATCTATCCTTTGTCAGTAAAAGCATGTTAAATGGCTGTTTAAAGTGGTCTTATCTCACTATTGACTTGATTCTTTTTACCGGTCTAATACCAGTTAATTTTTTATTTTTTTCAGGGGAGTTGCTTTTCATAATTATAAATAGTGTTTCTGTTTTATCAATAGAAAAAACATCAACATACCGCTGAAGATTCTCCCTCATCCACTGAACTGCTCCTCCTCTGCGAGCGTCTCTTTTTAACCAGATCTGCATCTTTAACATGAGAAAACGTGGACTTGGACAGGAAGTGAGTCCGAGGTGGTGCGACTGGTGACTGCGTCCCCCCCAGCGCCCTGTGGTCTTTTCTGTCTCGGAGGTGGGACAACCTCACTTTTACTGTCCTTATCCACTGCTGTACCATTTGTCTCTATACTGATGCCCTCTTCTTGTAGCCGCTGGGTGCAGTACCGAACGGCTGCCTCGGGATCCTCTGGAGTGGCCCGGGAGCCCACCGCGTAGCTAGAGTCGCTGCTGTCTTTTTCGATGTGGAGCACGCTGAGTTCCTGACCCGTGAAGTGAGTGCGGATCTGGCTCAGGTACGTCATCACAATGAGTCGGTCAGGAACAGCTAGCATCACCATATCAGAGGGTTCCATCAATCGAGAGATGCCCAGCTCTGCAAAGCCATCAAACGCCTGAAAAAGAGAAGATGGAAGATATAAGGTCACAGTTGAACAGAGAAATTCAGGGAGTTAAAACTTATAATCAGTTAAAACATCACCATTTTATTGTTTTGCTTGATGTCATATGGGTCCAGCGTTTCGTAATTACTGTCAAAAGAAATACAAAATATATTGTTAATGGCAGATAAAACAGACAGACTACTTACAAGGTGCTTGGGATATTTTCTTACATCATTTCAGGGTGAAAGTGGTGTAAGATAGCACAAAAAGCCAGGCCGTTTCTCCATGATGTGCTGAAGTTGGTGATCTTTACTCCGTGGTAGTTCTGGGTGACCTCCTGACACCACTCCAAAAGAGACTGTGTAGATGTTACTAAACCCGGGCTGGTCATGAGTTCCTGAAAGATAACATGTCTGTACTGTAATACAAAGTAAAAAATCTAAAAAAATTATAAAACTTTTCTGGTGGTGGATCCACCAGACACTTAATTGTCTCCATGGAGATGTTACTGCCCCACAATATGTCATTAAACAATTTTGCATTTATTAATTTGCAGATGATTTTAAAGAATATCTTGAAAAGCATTTATCTTCCTATGACAGGGGTTCCACTCTTTTTCACTGACAAAATTTCAAAACTTTTCCATGACTTTTTCATGACCTAAAGTGAATTTTCCATGACTTTACAGCACCTACATGTGTAGAATTTATCATACTTTTAGGGCTAAATATGAAATGTTAACCCTTTCCACTCACCTTATGGTTTAGTATTATAGTTTTTTTAACATTCAAAATACTGTCAGTGTATTTATTGTTGTCTCTTTTAAACAAAAGGTGTGTATGTTCAGAAATAATCATAATAGCCTAATGATAACTTAACAGAATGCTGTAGTTGCGTGAAAGAGATACTAAAATTCCATAACTTTTCCAGGATTTCCATGGCCGTGGGAACCCTGCTATGAGTGGGGTCGCCTCTCTACAGATCTGACCTGTAAGTAGGCCTGGTGGCATGACCTGTTTGTTTCCATGGAGGGTTTGGCCAGATTGATGTCATACTACTGTAGAGCAATTTACACACAGCAATAACATGACATGCAGGTAGCAGACTTCTCCCTGAAAAGTTACATAAATCTCTTTTAAAACCTATTTAGTATTTCAGATTTTCTTACAGCAGAGACAGTTGCATCTGCTGGCTTTTTCTGAGGAGTTGTTGCTTCACTGACTTGAATGACGTTGGACTTGCTGTCATCTAGATGCGACCCACTGACACGCTTTTTACCTCGAGATACAGGTCTGGGTGGCTCCTTCGACCTAGAAAAGACAAAAAAAAAGATAATATCAATCCTTTTGTTGTTATGATTTCATTATTCACACCTGACACCATGCCACCTAGTATGGAAAGGGTTAAAAGGTTAGAATAACTGTGAGATGACAAGTGTTTGGACGTACCACCACACCCTGTTAGACAATGACCTCACCTGTCCTCCTCTACACAACCAGACGCCACATCTACAGCCTCAAAGCCACTCTCCACATCTTCAGTCTTGGCCTCCACCTCCATAGCTTCACTGCTTTTGCTATCACCCACATGGAACCAATCGTCTTGAGCTGATGAGGCAGTAGAAATAGACCTGGAGAGCTCATGAGCATCTTCGGTGTCCCCCAGCAGCACCGCTTGAGAATCTGTTGTCATGCCTTGCTTATCTGTAAACGTCCAACTTCGTATCATTTCCTCTTCAGTATCCTCTATGCCACCTGTCTGGATGAACTCAATATCGGACACGACTTCATCCTCCCTTGTGATTTCAGAACCAACATCAGAAATTACACTAGACTCAAGAGAAACTGGGCCTTCAAATGTTTCTTTGCTAATTTGCGATGCAGCGTCCATATTTGCTGGTCCGACATCTGTAGGCTTTAGCTGTTCTGTGCCACTATCTACAAAAGAGGCACTTAGACGTTTCTTCTTATCGCGTGGCATTGGGACTGGTAAGGTCAACTGCTCAACCTGACGCAGAATTTCAATGTTTGTCTGAGAAGTTGAAGTTTCGTCAGATTTTGGTGCAGGCATGCTCAACTCATCACCTTGTTGGAGACTCTCAGAGCAAGTACTATCTGTCAAGGTTTCATCTGGGAATGAAGCACTGAAACGTTTCCTTGATCTTGGTTTAGGTACAGGAAGTAAGCCTGAAGGCGCTTGCTTGTTCCGTAACTGTACAATGGTTATGTCTGACGCACTAGTTGGGGTAGAATCCTCCACGGGAAGAGATGTTTTGCTGTTGTCCATACTCTGCATTTCTTGGGACTTTGGAACTAGTTCTCCTTGTATCATTGACTCTGTAACCGTGAAGTCGTCAGGGAAAGATCCACTTAAACGTTTCTTTACTCTGGGCCGTGGGACAGGTAATGTCTGTTTAATAACCTCTGGTTGAACATCCGACTTTGTTTCAACAGGGGTGTCATTCACTTTCTCAGTTACAACCTTTTCCTCAAAATTCACCTCAACCTGAACACTTGGTTCTACAGATTTCTTGGTAGTATCCTTCTTGCCAGGTTTTCTTAATGGTAGCTTCTTTCCTTTAAGAGAAATTCCTATCTTTTTAATAAGTGAAACAGGCTCTTTTTTCTCAACTTGAGACAGTTCTTGCTCTGGAGCAGGGCCTATAAGAGCTTCTGTTTTCAATGAAGTATTTACAGGAGCAGCTGGTCCTGTGTTAATTATTGAAGAATTGGTTTCTGTTTCAGAAATTTCACTTGTTAGTGATATTTTTTGAGTTTCCTTGACACCCAATGTTTTTATGTCCTTCACTTTAAGTCCATCATCTTTCTGCGCATCATTTGTAGAACTCATACCTCCGTCCTTCTTTTTAGGAGGCCAAACAGGAGCAAATACTTTTGTTTGATCTCCTTTTTTCTTTGGCATCTTCAAAATTCTTCTTTTTGTTTTTTTGTCTTTTGTTCCAACTTCACTGATATTTTCCGCATCTGGTGCTGACTGAAGAGAAGTGGCACTTTGTTGTGGGCTTTAAGAAAGAAAAAGATAAGCTTCAGAATTTAATTAAACATCATTCTGTCTGTGAAACTAAAACAGAGCCACTCCTAAACACAATTATTATGGCTATACACTGCTTTTCACAGTTAAGTACATTCCAGAAAGCTCAGAAAAGCGTTAAATACCACAAAGACACAAGACAACGTTACACTGCTTTCAAAAATACTCCAACCATACACAAACTTACAACACCACCCCTTCCCACGTCAGTGTCTATTACTCTGCAGAACTTGTCAAGCAACCATTTTATTTGGCCTTGGCTTCATCACAAAGGGACATGGAATAGTGACAGTTGCTCGTACCATGCAACATTTTCATGGTGCACTCACCCTGTGTCCAGCTCAGTGCAGGTCAACACTGTTTTAACATCATCCTGTTCTGCCTCAGTCAGCTGCTGTACTAACCATCCTTCACTGTCCTCCTCAGAGCAAACCGAATCTTGCCCTATGACCAGAAACACTTCTTTAACTTCTTCTGCCTTCTCAGTCTTTTTCTCAGTCTCTTCAAAACTCTCATTTGGTATATCTTCTGCAGTGAGTGGTGGCCATTTCTTGAATCTTGCCCAAACTGGAAAGCCGTCATCTTGCGTGGATAAAGGGACAGAACATGACCGCTTCTCAAGCAAGTCCCATGAGGTCGGCTGAGCACCTCCTACTTTCTTGTCAGTGTTCATAAACTGCCTCTCTGAAGAAACTCTTGGCATGACATTGCTTTTGTCCTGCGCAGGTGGAACTGTCCTGTCCTGCAGGCTCATGGATGAGGTGGTCTTCGAGTGTTGGTGATCCTCCGCTAAAGTAGAGCTAGGTGGCCCCAACATAGTAGCTACTGAATCATAACTGTGAGAAATGGAGAATGGAGACTTGGGTAAGTGGATGATATTAAAATCCATGCAAATAGTGATTTTTAAAATAATACTGAGTCCAACCATGCAACCATGTCTAGATTCCTCTAAAAATGACCAACTCATTATGATTCTTCATGCAGCATCTTACTTACCCTTTCTGAAAGACATCTACAATTGATTTAAAAAGATGGGGGGATGTTTCAGCCTGCTGCTCTGTTAATGTTTCCTCTGCTTCCAATACCTCCCAACCTGGTTCTGACATATCAAACGTGTCCTTCTTTGTTTCTGTCATCTCAAGCTTTTCTTTTTCGGTTTCACTGGAGACCCAGATAATAAAAGTATGAGAGACAACTTCCACATAGAACTAGCATGATTTCCATGCACTATAATGCTGCTATAATGTTATGCAAGCAACCTCACAGCAATCCAACAACACAAGTCCGACTTACCCAGTCTGTACTACTAGGTCACGAACAACAGCCATATCATTTTTTACATCTGTTACAGAAGCAAATATGCATAAAAAATATGAATGGCATTAACATGGCATTGTGATCTCAACATGCTTTCTTACCATATGACTCCTCTGTGCTGAGGGTGGGCAAAGGGGCAATGGGAATCTCCTTTAAACAAGATTGTTTTGTAAATTCTTCAGAGTTTTCAGGGGCAAATGTTTGAGCCTTTTTATAACTGTCACCATCTGGTGTTAATGTAGTGTTTGGTTCTTTAGATTTGGCTGGGACCTGTGATTCATCTAAAGGATAACCATCAGTGGGGAGAGATGTCCCAGATCCAATCAGTCCTGTTTTCATTTTCTGAAGGTTCTCCTTGAAAGGTTCTAAGGGTTCCATTGTTTCTTTGACAGTACAAGGAACCAAGGACTCTGATTCTCCTGGAAGAAATTCTTGTAAGCCCTTTGCAGGAGACACTGGATGGCTAGTTTCCCCATCTTCATTAGTTTTTTCGGCACAAGGTAAAGGTAGGTCTTGTTCTGCAAGAATCCTCTCACTTGCTACGACTTGAGCGATTGGGACATCAGACAATTCTTCAGAACCATTACCAATCTGGGCATCTTTGTCAGAGTCACTTAACTGCAAAATACTGGGGAATCCTGGGGCTTTGGCCAGTTGAGGACACAGTGGTGCCATATCTACGGCATGCTTGTTTCCTTCCAGGTTGGTTTCATGTTTTATTGTGCACGCTTTTCTATTATACGGTCTTTCAAATAGCGGGTTCAGCTTTGGTGGCACAGTTGAAGGTAGACAATCTGTGTTTAACATCCTCGCTGATGGAAAACCAGGTAAACATGAGACACAAGGCGTGCATGCATAAAGACTCAATATGCTGGGCGGCCTATTGAGAACTGGAGCAGACGGAAAGCCCAGCACCCGGGCTTCTTTTGGGCAAGACAGGACCATCTTAACCATACTTTGTGCTGTGAGGGTTTCTAGGTGGGTAGGCCCAGCGTTTATTATTATCTTTTTTGCTCTCTTATGAGAACCATCCCAAAGTGGTTTTGTTGCACGCGTGGGCCAAAGTGCACTTGGTGAAATTGTTAGAGAGGCAAATCCTTGTTGAAGTGAAACACGGGGACAGCATGGCACCAGACGAGAGTTGTTAAATTCAGTGGTAGTACGAGGAGCAGAAGGACAACCAACGATCGTGGAAGCATTGGGACAACATGACAATAATGACAACATTTTATTTGATGTTTTCTCATCAAGATTTGTAATACCTTCAACAACAGCAATTTTTTCAGACCGTTCACATTTGACTAACAAGTCACCAGCAATCCAGTTGGCTTTTAAGTTGACTTGAAGAGAAGGAAACCCAGGAATCCTTGATAGATTAGGACATAAAGATATAAAATCATTCATGCTGTATCGAGGAACTGATGGAAAGCCTGGATTTCTTGCTGCTCTTGGACAGGAAGGAACCAGAGAAACATTGTCATCTGAATTTCCTAAAATGACTGTTGAAGATCTAACTCTAAACTCAATAGTCTTCTGTAGATTTTCAACAAATACATTTTTAGAGATAACTATTTGATCTGTTTTTTCCTCTTGGATTGACGGGAATCCTGGTATTGCAGAAACTTGGGGGCTTGAAGGAACAAGCCTGGTTGCACATGACCCATAATATGCAACTTGTGGATTTGGAGCAGAAGGGAAACCTGGACAACCTGGGACTTTTGGACAAGACGGTGCGAGATATACCATGCCTTTCATTGCTCTTGTATCAAATGTGCTGAATAGTGTTGCTTGGACCTCTGTTGATTTGTGTGCAAACACATCTCCTTTCTTTTGAGCCCACTCTTTAGAATCAGGACCGGATATAAACCCTGGTATTTGAGATAATTTACAGTAAGAATTTGACAGACTTGACATGATTCTTTGAGGGCGAGATGGACATCCATAAATGTTAGAATGTTTTGGACAACTTTCAGCAAGGCGAATCATTCCATCCATACCTTTAAACATTTTCTTGGTTTCTAATGATCACATGGACTGTTTTTAAGCTCTTTTCCAAAATTAAACATTGACTGATTTCCCAGTTTCTGCTATCTGCCTTCTGGAGAGATGGAAACCCAGCTGAAGATGCAACCGCTGGGCATGAAGGATATAGATTTATCCCACTGGAACCATAAGCAGACTCAGAACCAGATGGGAACCCGGGAATAGTGGCAAATCGGGGACAGGTTGGGACTAGTGTAGACATAGCTTTTATATCATCTCTAAAATGTATGTCTTTAATTGGTGCCACTTTAGATTTTAGCAGCCTTGCACCTGACGGTTTGCAACTGGTTGACCAAGTTTGCTTACATGGTTGAGACATGGATGGAATTCCTTTTATAGAAGAGTTAAGAGGGCAGGAGCTCACAAGTCTGGTCATATTAGATTCATCACACTGAGATATTTGTGAAATTTGTTGTTTAAAATAAAGTGGTTCTGTGATATCCTTGTGTTCAGGATTGTCTTTACTTGGTAATGACATTGTTGTTCCTATAATGGGTTCCACTTCAGGGTGTGCACTAGCATTCTCTTCCAGTGAAAACATTGTTTCTTCCAACTTTTCATTTTGTTTTGCCAATGCATCTGTATCTGTCCATACCTCCATAAATGCATTGTCACATTCAACACATTCATTCCTCAGCACCAGTAATCCATCTTCTGCTTCATTAAGTTGCTTTCCGTCCAATCTTAATGAGGATTCTAAAAACGTTCCCAGTGAACCCTGTGGATCTTTCCTGAAGATGTCCACCTCATCTCTGGCTGACTCTTCAGTAGTTTGGTTCAAGACTGTTTTTGGAAGTTCCTCCCACTCTATAGAGTTTCCAGAGGAATATTTCGCTGTAGATGATTTTGGTAACTCCTCCCACACAATAGTACTATCTCTCAATGGCTTGACCAACTGTTGGGAATCATCGACTACATCACAAGGCGGTTGTAATGAAACCATGGGTTCATATCTAAAGAAAAGGTAAAAACATAAAACATAAAATGAAGATACTTAAAGACTGAGAGTAGAAGGAACTCAATCAGTGCAAGTTCACATCAAACATGCACATGTTTTTGTTTGTGCTGTGGTAAAGCTGAAAAGGCCAAATGGATCACACCATGCAAATGTTAATACCACTCTGTTATTTTGTTAATCTAAGATGAAGATCCAGAAATGTTTTCTAGTGCATCATTTAAGAGGAGATGAAAAATCAACTTTTAGCAGCTTTAAACCATATTATAATGTTTTCCTCTTTTGTTTACCCACTTGAAATTGTATTTATAGTGGTTCATGCATGTTTGAGTAATTCTTTTACATTCAAGACACCTTTGCTCTGTAAATTTTCATCAACTCCTCCATACCAACCTGACACTGCTTAGGTCTCTGATTTTATTTATTTATTTGTTCTAAATTGGCAATAAATGTAGGATTTAGCCGAACCAGCAGACAAAATTTGATGCTCACTAGCATCAGAGTCAGTCAGAAGTCAACAGAATTGTTTGCTTTATTAAGTTGGTTTAGATAAATATTTTAAATGTCCAAAGCATAAAATAATGGCTAAAGATTACAATTATAGAGCAGACAAGGCATAATATCTTGTTTAAGGTACATTGAATTTCAAATACTGACAGCCAAGCCACATGCAACAACTGAAGTAATATTCGATCCCAGGGATTAACTTTGTGCAAATGCATTGTCATCCCAATGCATCACAACCAAGCAACCCACCTTTTCCTAACACTCAACAATATTGGCATTTCAGGAACTGTGTGCCACATTCTGCACGGCAAGCTCCTGAAACAAAAGCAGATGTATATTTTTTTATAACCTATAATATTTAAGATTAATAAGAGCGATCACAATAATTCCAACACTCACCAATAGTCTAGGCTCATGTCTTCATCTTTCTTTAAATATGGAGTGTTTAGGCTCTCTTCCATTTGGACACCAACTAAGGTATCAATAGATGCTGGTACATCCATACTGATTTTATTGTCAGGGGCAGGAACTCTTGGCAAAATGGTTTCTCCATCCCATGCTACATTAGGAAGGCTTTCTGATTGTTTTTCAGTTGATTCTAGCAAAGAAAATGTATCACTAGGCCAGTGTTTTTCTGAAGGATGAGTCTGGATCGATGGTAATCCAAAAACAAATGATTTATTTGGACAAGACGGCACCATGTTTACAGAAGAACATTCTTGAAGTTGAGCAGGCACACAGTGTGAACCAAAAAGAATCATAGCTTTCAGACATTTCAGTGGCACAATATCCTTAATCAACTCTTTAAAACGAAAACTGTAACTGTCGAAATGTGGACAATACTCTCTGGAAGGGAAACCAATGACAGCTGATTGTCTTGGACATGATGGAAGCAACTGACCCATGTGAGAAGAGCTTTGGCTTGGGCTACACGGTTTTGAGAGGTGTGGGGCTGATGGAAACCCAGTGCAAACCGCTTGTTTCGGGCATGATGGGACCATTCTCAGCATTAATAATTTGTCTTCACGTGACATGTCCATGTTTGGATGATGTATGATAGAAATCCTTTTCAGAGGCTTTTCCCAGATTGGACTTTTTCTGATGTTCCAACAATCACACCTTTTCAGTGATTTTGAAGGAATACCTGGAATTAAACCATGTTCTGGGAATGTTTCTAATGATTTGAACATATCTGGTGATTTCAGTATCAAATGTGTATAATACTCATTGGAAGGAAAACCAGTGACAGTTGATTGTTTTGGAGATGATGAAAGCCACTGACCCAGATGAGAAGAGCTTAGGTTTGGGCTACACGGTTTGGAGGGGTGTGGGGCTGATGGAAACCCAGAGCAGAGTGCTTGTTTTGGGCATGATGGGACCATTCTCAGCATTAATGATTTGTCATCACGTGACATGTCCGTGTTTGAACTGTGTATCATAGAAATTATTTTCAGAGGCTTTTCCCAGATTGAATTTTTGCTGATGTTCCAACAGCTAAACTCTTTCAGTGACTTTGAGGGAATACCTGGAATTAAACCATCTTCTGGGAATGTCTCTAATGATCTGAACATATCTGGTGATTTGGTTATCAAATGTGAACAAAACTCATTAGAAGGGAAACCAATGACAGTTGATTGTCTTGGAGATGATGGCAGCAACTGACTCAGATGAGAAGAGCTTTGGCTTGGGCTAAATGGTTTGAAGGGGTGTGGGGCTGATGGAAACCCAGAGCAGAGTGCTTGTTTCGGACATGATGGGACCATTCTCAGCATTAATGATTTGTCTTCACGTGACATTTCTGTGTTTGGACTATGTATGATGGGAATCCTTTTCAGAGGCTTTTCCCAGATCGGAGTTTTCCTGATGTTCCAACAATCAAACTCTTTCAGTGATTTTGAGGGAAAACCTGGAATTAAACCATCTTTTGGGAATGTCTCTAATGATCTGAACATATCTGGTGATTTGGGTATCAAATGTGGACAATACTTATTAGAAGGGAAGCCAGTGTCAGTCGATTGTGTTGAAGATGATGGAAGCCACTGACCCAGATAAGAAGAGCTTTGGCTTGGGCTACACGGTTTGAAGGGGTGTGGGGCTGATGGAAACCCAGAGCAGAGAGCTTGTTTCGGACATGATGGGACCATTCTCAGCATTAATGATTTGTCTTCACATGACATGTCTGCCTTTAGATGATGTATGATAGAAATCCTCTTCAGAGACTTTTCCCAGATTGGACTTTTGCTGATGTTCCAAAAGTCAAAGTCTTTCAGTGATTTTGAGGGAAAACCTGGAACTGAACAATCCTCTGGGAATGTTTCTAATGACTTCAACATATCTGGTGATTTGGGTTTCAAATGTGGACAATACTCATTGGAAGGGAAACCAATGACAGTTGATTGTGTTGGAGATGATGGAGGCCACTGACCCATGTGAGAAAAGCTTTGGCTTGGGCTACATGGTTTGGAGGGGTGTGGAGCTGATGGAAACCCAGAGCAGAGAGCTTGCTTTGGACATGATGGGACCATTCTCCACACTAATGATTTGTCTTCACATGACATGTCCATGTTTGGACTACCTATGATAGAAATCCTTTTCAGAGGTTTTTCCCAGATAGGGCTTTTTCTGATCTTCCAACAGTTACACTCTTTCAGTGATTTTGAGGGAAAACCTGGAATTGAACCATGTTCTGGGAATGTCTCTAATGATCTGAACATATCTGGTGATTTGGGTATCAAATGTGGAACTGATGTTAAACATCCCTTTGAGGGGAATCCATAAATATTTGACTCTTTAGGACAAGGTGGTAACATCGATACCATTATTTTACCAAATAACTTTCCAGTTGAACATGGTTTCGGATCGGATATAGTCTGTGGCATTCTTGCTGGCTTTTCATAAATTGATCTCTTATCGAAGATCCAATTTTGAGAGGCTTTGTTTAATATTGAAGGTGCTCCACAAATGTGTGAATATGTAGGACAGGTATGTAGCTGACACACTATACTTGGTATATGCTCCAAAACCTGACCAGACAGAGATGGAAATCCTGGTAAACACGATGTTTGTGGACAGCTGGGCTGCATACATGCCATATTCAAGGTTATATAATCATTATGCTCTGCTGCTACATTTGATTTAGACATTAGTTGTAGAACTGACTCCCGTTTCTTCTGTAAACTCTGAAAGTGTGTGTTTTTACAAAGAAACCATTCTGTATTAAATGATTCACAATAACTCTTTGAAGGAAATCCCTGAATAGCACTTTGTTTGGGACATGATGGCATTGAATTAACCATACTGGGCTTTTGGCACGGAGCAGAAGGTAAACCATATATTGTGGTTTTTGGAGGGCAACTTGGCACCATATTGACGATTCCTCTGAGTATCATTTGATCTGCTGGAAGCTCCTGAAGGATATAAGGCTGTAATTGTTTCTTATGTGTTTTGTAACTTACCGTTCTCAACATATGCCAGTCCTTATACAGTAAACTGTCATTTTCAATACTGGCATGGCTTTTAGATGGAAATCCAACAATTGAGTTTTTTGATGCGCAACTAGGCAAAAGCTCTACCATACTGGGGTATTCCCTTTCTAAATAATCAATAGTTACAGTTTTTTCTTGTGTGGCTGAAGGAAAACCAGCAGTTGCAGCTGCAAAGGGACAGGATGGGAGCATGTTTACCATTTTTTTGAGAAATTCATCATTTTCCAGTGTTTCTTGCGCTATAACAAAATCACACATTTTCTTTTGTGGTATCGTCTCATGTTGGAAATGCCATTTGGATGTTTCTGTTTGAGGTTGTTTTGATGGCATGCCTTCAGTATCGGTTTTACTTGGGCATGTTGGGAGTAGACTGGTCATAGCTGGACATTTTGTAGAAATATGTGGCTCAGCTGAAGGGAATCCAGGTACACTAGCCATTTTAGAACATGTTGGCAAAAGGCATACCATAACTTTCATCATCTTGGGGTCAATATTTTCTTTTACATTATCTGAAAATATGTGCTGTTTTGTCAGTGGTTTCTTTAACAGAATGCATTTCTCCCAAATATGTGTTTCATGTTTGATGTTTGTATCCAATGAGGGTAAACCTGGAATGCTGGATAATTTAGGGCAAGTCCCCAAGAGATTGACTATATTTAGCTTCAAAGCAGATGGAAAGCCAGGAATACTTGTAGACCTTGCACAAGATGGAGTCAATGCAACCATTTTTGGAATATTTTCACTAGCAATGTCAAGAGAGTCCAGGTTGTGTGATTGCAAGAGTACAGGCCTTCCTTTGGTGGGTAACTTGGTGAATAACTGCTTATTATCTTCAGGCCAAGTGAGATCCGACAACTGGCACAATGTTGGCATCCCAGGGACATTAGACGTTGGAGGACAACTTCTGCGCATCTTGGTTGGTGTTTCTTCACAGATATGTTCATGGTGTGTTACAGTCTGTATCTGACAAACAGATCTCTCTTTTGGAATCAGCGGCCTAAGCTCCACTTTAGAAATAAACAAATCACTCTTAATGAGTTCATTGCCTGACTTTGATGGTGACCCATGGTCCTGTTTCAACGTAGTCTCTTGAGTAGAACTCATGTTGGATAAGGTCTGTTTGGATTCAGCCAATTTGTTCTCAGCAGCAGTCATCACAGTTTGTGATTTGCGAGTATGCTTAGTGTTGGTTAAAGGTGCACACCCAGGTATTGAATGACTAGATTCTTCAAATGAAGGTACCCTGGCACCATTTTTTCTAAAGGAGCAAAAAATACCAACAGTTACTGTATAATCAAGGCAATGTATCTACTCTAGTTTATTATCTAGTTCATAACTTACCCCAAATCTCTTATATGGACATCTGATTTAGTCACTCTTGTAGGGCTCATTTTTTGCAATTTCAGTGCTGCAATGGGGTGTAATCCCAAATCAGGTTTGGGCAGTGTAGGAGGAGGGCACTGCCCCCCTTCTGGTAGAGCTGCATTTCCTCTGTGGTTTGTTGGTAGGTGACTAGACTTGGCCAAAGCAACACCATTAGTATATGGATCTTGTTTTTCTGTACGACGTTTAGGGGATGCTCTTGTTCGCCTGGATATTGATGGATCCTTTTGAATTTTGGAATTGTCTGCAAGGTTCAGTCCTGGGTCTAATGATGTTTTAGGACTAGTAGGCAGGAGTGAAGCCATGCTTTGAGGTCTAAGGAATAAACAAATCCAATATAAAAACAAAATGTAGAGTATGTTAAAATATTCTTATGCCACTACACAAAAAAGCATTGTAACCAACTGCTTTATATCGAGTAGAAGCTTATTACTGCACACAGTTTGCCAACCAACTACCCACAAATGAGCACAGAACCACAGAAGCTGACATTTAACATGAACAAAATTACATAACAAGTCAAGCACAAATAACAATTTACAGTCATGTCTCTTTAACTACAACTTCCTTTTCAAGACTAATTACTTGGTAAATATTCTGGATATTTTTATTACTTTTCAAGCAATACTCATTCAGTTGACATTTGACACCAGCGTTTTTGAATGGCATGACAAAATGGGAAGCAGAAGAAACGGATGCTGGCCTACAGTATGTATTAACTACAAACATCTCTCAGTACTACCATATCAGCTTCAGTGTATGCTTTGGTGATTTACCGTATATAGATTTTCATAATGCTACTACTAACATGTTAGTAGGAGAATGGATTTGAGCATCATCATTAATAGCATACCACAATGTAGTCCATACCAAAGCATCACTCCGAGGTCATCTGCCATTCACATGTTAATAACAAAGATTATTCAAAAAGTATCATTGAAAAACAAAGCAAAACCACTCACTTCAACCAACTGAGCATTCTGAAAAATGTGTAAAATAAAGACTAACCCGGGTGATGCTTTGACAGCCTCCACTCCAAAAGATCTGACGCCAGGTGTTTTGTGCTCAGCAGCTGAAAAACATGATAGAATGTAATATAAATACTTACATAAAACAGATGGAGTGTAGGGGAGTGTGTGTACACTTACATGTAGATAAGGGGTCCTCCTCATTCAGAGTGCTCAAGTGTCTGAGAACCTCTGAAAAATAAAAAATCACTGTATGAATAAAGATACATTTACTTTTATTATAGTAAAGCTATTTGTACAAGCAATCAGTCATTTACAGATGAATTGGGAAAGGCGGGGCCACAATAAGTTGGCATGTTGATCAAGTATGTATGTAAAAAGTTGGACTCCCTCTGCAAATGGAATGTATGGAGAGCTGTGGGAGTGTCCTGTGCATTTCTCTCCCCGGATGTGCAATATTTCTATCCTCTCACATATCAGGGCCATCGATACAAGTTACAGGCTTTTATTATTGGATACCTGAATCCTGGTCTTTGTCAGAAGCTTTGACAACAGTATGGAACGGGAGAGGCTGAGGGGGCGGGCCAGACACAGCAGAGGGGCTGCTCTGAGCGAGTGTCTCTACTCGAGGGGGGACAGGAGGTCTCCAAGAGGGGACAAACCCAGAGGAGGAAGCTGACAGGACAGACACAGGATAGACAATGAGAGAGCAGGTAAGGATGGAAAAGAATGGAAAGAAACTGGGAAAAACAGAAAAGAATGTTCTATGCACAACTTCTAAAGCAGTGTCCAATCACAAAAACGACCATTAAAATACATGTCAGTAGCAGTGCTGGGCGATATGGTGATACAAATTGTAATCAAATTTTTGTGAAAATGTTCTATTTTGATAAAATCGTCATATTGAAATTCACTTATATCCTCTTAAATGCAGCTCTAAGCTCAAATAAAGGCACTTTTTTTCAGTCCACACCTCCAATCAGCCTCAGCAATACTGTGAGTGACAGGTGAATCTAACCAATTGCAATGAAGCAGATAACTTCAGTTATTTTTTATTTGATTCTATTAAATTCTCTCTCCACAACTTCTAAAGCAATGCCCAATCCCAAAGCTACCATCAAAATGCATGCAAGTAGTACAAATAAAAAGTTGCCAAACATCGGATGCACTTAATATACTGCTAATTAAAATCTCACATCATGCCAAATTCACTTAAAATTAAAATTCTATGTCCGTGATGGAACACATATCTACAAATTAACAATGAAAATGTTAGTATTTTACAGAACAGAACATGTTAAAACCACAGCAAAGCAAGTGTTAAAAGTACAGACAGCAGGAGGTGTTAGACACATAATATTACATGTCGTGTCTAATTTCTGCTTTTTCTGCCCCACAGCGCTCTGTCCTGGCTCGTCAGCACACAAATGGAGAAACTTGGGAGAGAGACCGGGCTGTGAGAGGGGGGCTTGAGATTTAGGGGGCATCCATTCAGTCTGCCAAGGAGCTGGAGGAAAGACCAGGAGTAACGATAAACATGTCGATCATAAATAAATCTCTTTACTTTTTGGCTATGGGCTCTACCTGATTCGGGGGCAGAGGGCAGACTGGTGGGGCGGGTGAGAGCGCACCCAGTGTCACCCCCAGAGGCCCGGGTTTTGGGCTTCTTGGGAACAGCTGGGGGTGGAGGTAGGACAGGTATGTTTACAGGAGGAGCTGAGGAAGAGGAGGAGGGGGGAGAGTAGAGGGAGGATATGGAAGGAACGCTCTGAGTTCTCCAAGAAGTAGGGCCAGCTGAGAGGGAGGAGCCACACAGAAGGGGTTAATGGACATGAAATAGAAAACAAAGACACGTATTGAATTTGGATAAGACAAGGGTCCATGTACAATAATAATAAAATAATAATAATAAAAAACAATAAAATGGGAAAACAGTTTGTTATTTAGTTATTCCATTTTAGTGTCAAGTTTATTCCAAATAACACTAATCAAAAACAGTCTCGGTACCTATTTTTATTATAATTCTATGCATGGTGTCAGCTGAACAAAGGAAAGTTTATTGCTGCTTCCTGTTTCTCGTCATGGAGTTCAATAATTACTTTCTAGGACAGGAAAGTAAACACGCTGCTATAAAAGAAGAGGACATATTTGTTCACAAAATTGCAATCATTTTTCAGATAAATCCTTCTAGCAGCAGATCTTCCGGGGAAAATAAATCAGAGAGATTAAAATATCCAAATTGAAATAAGCAAGGGGACTGTTTTTTGACTGGTGTTATTTGAAATAAACTTCAAATTAAATATTGGAAATAGAGGTTGAAATCTGTTTTTTTGTTTGTTTGTTTGTTTTTTTGACACTAAAGTGGAATAATGAAAAAACTAACAATTTTCCCATTTTATTGTTTTTTGTTCTTAATTGAAATTCAAAAGAAAGAATGGTACACGACAAGGCATTTCTAAGTTGAATTTTGAATTGAAGTTCGTGAGATATGCAATGCCATGTTACCTTTCTCATAATACCACTTAAATATTGTGGCGCAACCAGTTAGCATAACAAAACAGATTTATTTATTTTTACAGTACAAAATAGCCTTGATTCATATTCATCATAAAGAAGAGAAAAACTTCAGTGTTGACATGGGCTACCTGTTTGTGAGGGCTGAGAGAAGGTAGGAGGATGGGGAGCAGAAGACAGAGAAGAAGAGAGCAGAGTTTTGGGAGGGGCGGAGGAAGACAGACCCAGGGCCTCCCAGCCCTCAGCAGGAGACCAGTCAGAGTGGAAGCTGTGGGGCCTTCGGGGAGCGGCCCGAGGCACTGGAGAGAAAGCAGGAGTGAGAGACAATCGCAGAAGGAAAGAAAGAGATGTGCAGTGAAAAGATAATGGCAGTAAGAAAAACAGAACAGCAACGTATGTATTATCAATGTAGTTCTCATGGTAATAGCAAACTCCTGGAGCCAATGATATCTATTTAGTTCAGGGGTCACCAAACTTTTTTTCTCTGGGGGCCACATTATCAATCCTGACTGTGATGGGGGACCAGGGTCGGGTTGGCCATTTAACAGATTTGTATGACCCTGACGACACACTTTGTTTACATATGTTTGATCTCAAGCTTGTCAGGTGGCAATATACAAATACTTCATATAAATAATTATTTTTAATTGAAAAAAATCAACAAAATACAAGCTGCGGACGTGTTTAAGGTAAAAAAAAATAGGCCATGACAACTTTTGAGGATTGCCTATAGGGCCAGTTTAAGTGGTGGGGGGCAGAGGAGCCTGGGAGCCGGTCCAAGGGGCATGACAGGCTGAAGTCGGTCTTAGTTTGATGACCCCTGATTTAATGTGTTTAAATATGTTTGCTGAATGTCTCTCCATAATCTTCAGTTCTGGCCAAATCCAATGGGCCAAAAAAGTTACAAAAATGAAATACAAAAATGAATACATCTTCATAATAATCAAATCCTCATTTCAAGTGTCTTAATAAAAGCTTTAGTCACTTAATCAAATGTCATTTATTGTTCTCCTGACTGATACCTGAGGCAGCGCCAGGCTGGAAGATGCGAGGCAGAGCAGGAGGGTGGGCGGGGGTGAATGCGGGCAGTGAATAGTCATAGAGAGATGGTTTAGCTGCTTCTGGGATGTCAATCGGACAGGTGGGCGAGAGAGGGAGGGCAGAGGGGTAAAGGGGGGCTGAAATGGTGGAGAAAAAGGAAGGAGAAGAGCTCTGATCCATCTCTGGAGGTAAGACACATGAGAGATGCATGGAGGAGGAAATGAAAACAAAAATAAATGAAACGTGGTTCAAAGAGACAGAAAATGAGTAGATGAAAGCATGGTTAAGTTACGCATATGAGATTCATTACTAGTTTGTTATGACTGGTGGAATGGGATGTAAGTACTTAAAGTTGGCAGTATTATTCATGGATGCATCAACTTTAAGTCTAAAACTGTAGAACATTACCTATTTACATTTTTGACCTGGTGTGCGTAGTAGAAATAAGATCAGGGATTGATGTGTATATTTTTAGAAGGCTTCTAATTTGAACTTTCTGGAGGTAAAGGATTTGAGAAATATTTTAGAAGAATCCAATAAAGTGCTTCTGAGTAACTTTTGAGTAGTGTTACCTGTGGAGCCTGGTTGAATGACAGGCCGCCAAGCCATATCATGAAGTCTATTGACAGAGGAAGCAGAGCCTGTTGAATGGTGCACGGACAGAAAGAAGGAAGAAAAAGGAGGAAGTGTAATTTACAAAAGCGAAAAGATGAAGGAGCGGATCTTAGAGACATGGCCAATACGTAAAGAAAAGTGTTTTGTATGGAGAGAGGTGCATTGATACTTTGCAGCTGATTTCATTAAGATTTCCTGGAGCTCAATTACATTTTAATCTAAGATTTATTTTGACATTTTGACGATCTGGCCATGAAGAGCTGACTTAGTTGGAACTACAACAGGTGAGCGGATGAGTGCTGTTAAACAAGTCTCTTACTCATAAAATTACAGTCACAAGCTCCATTCACAGTTCTTTATGAGTCAGTCTAATCCAGACGTGTCAAACTCAGGCCCGGGATCCAAATTTGGTCCGCGATATAATTATATTTGGCCTGCGGGATCATATCAAATATGTATTAGAGCTGCCCCGCCGGCTACAGATAGGCTACAGAGACATTATTTATTTAAAATGTTATTATTTTATATTACACTTGTCCAGGATTCAATGTTTAAGCAAAACTATTATTAAACATTTATTTTAATAAGAAAAGATTTAACATTACATATCTCGAAAAAAGAGAAAATGTGAAGATGTTTTTGAAATTTTTAAATAAATATTTACTTTGGCCCATGACTTAGTCCAAGTTTTTAATTTTGGTCCTCTGTGAATTTGAGTTTGACACCCCTGGTCTAATAATTTTAGTTGAAAATCAAACTCAAATCAAACTAAACATCACAGGATCCTGAAAATGTGTTGTTTAAATCCATTTTGTATTTTGTCTTGAGTTTTCAGGCCATCTTAAAACTTTTTTGTCTGTGTTTGTTTGCAAATGCATTGTGTCTCTATGGTAACTGCTAAACATTTCACCACAGAGATACATGTAGAACACCCCCAGTGTGATATCGATAGATTGTGTTCATGTGGCATCACAGCATTACATAATTCTAAAAACTGGCAAAATGTTATTTGTTTTCTCTGTTACAATAAATAAACAAAAGGGAAACTCTTTTATCACAATAATTTCAGAACGTTACGCTCTTATTCAACTCCCAAGACATAATTATTGTCAATTTTTTAGGACTTGAAGACATAGGACCTCATTTCCTATTAAGCCAGAGTGTTGGAGACGTGTGGAGATGCTTTTTTAAATATTCCATCCAGTCCTTGTATTTGCAGAGGTCTCTGATGCTAGGCTAGCGCATGTCAATGGTCATAGTTATCCTGCCACTAAAAACAGTCTTACCCACTCCACAAAACACCTGAAGCAAATCTATTATTACACCAGACTGTCGATGTGAATGTCTGTGTTGATAGAATAATTTTAGATGTAAAACCAACCTTGCATTTGAAGGATTTATGTCTGAGCAGCATCAGTGAGTTGTACTCCCTGATAGAAAGCTTGGCAGCAGTAGACTGATATCACCAATCACCTATCTTACCAGCAAAGTAAAATTCCACTGCTGCTGAGAAAATAGTCCCTCAACATGTGACGATTCATGTGATGCAAGATTAGTTTTATTTCAAACATTATTCCATCAACACAGACATTCACATCGACAGTCTGGCATAATAATAGATTTGCTTTGGGTGCTTTGTGGAGTGAGTAAGACTGTTTTTAGCACCAGCGACCTCTGCAAATACAAGGACTGGATGGAATATTTTAAAAAAGTGTCTCCACACATTTCCAACACTCTAGGAAATGAGGTCCAAAATTCTGGACTGTCCCTTTAATGTGGTACATTTGTGGAGCCAGTCTCCAACAAATAATGACAAGGTTTAACATTTGTGAATAAATTTGGATATTTCTTCTAAAAACAGTAAATCTCCTCTAGAGTTACATAGGACCTTGCTCTCCATCCGAAATTATGACAACCTTAAACTCTAGTTGCAACTTGCAAACTCTCACCAGAAACCGAAACAGCATGCGTGGAACCGTGGCTGAACCTCCGCTCCTCGCCCTCATCGTCACTGAAGTCCTCGAGGTTTCCGATGTCACTCTGCTTCATGCTCATGAGGCTGGCCAGACTCTGCATGTCCTCATCCCTACACAGCACAACACCCTGTCTTTAATTATTTATTTAAACTAAACACAAACCTAGATGACGGCCGTGCAAGTTGGACTCACGTGGCCTTGCCCTCCTTGAGAAAGATGCAGGAGAGTTTGATTTTGAGCGTAGCCTCGACCACCTTCACCGAGAGAGGTTTGAGTTGGAGCGTGATGTCATACTGGGCTGGAGTGGCGCTGGCGTATTTTTTCATGTTCACATCAGCAGAGGCTAGGATTTTTCTGCGGCCTTTACTCTCCTGAAATAGAAAATTGGACATGAGTAACAGTAGCAGTAACAGTGGTGGTAAGAATAGTAGTTGACCATACTCAGGGTAGTAATGGTATGACCTGTAGGACCAAAGAAGATAAGCACATGGGATTTCCTGACTTTGTGAAATGTTGTGATGTTACAATAACAAAAAATCTCGGGCATATCATCACTGCAGACGTGACAGATGATGATGATATGTATTGACAGTGTAGGACGATCTATGCTCAGGCAAATACTCTTATGCGTAAGTTTGGTTCTTGTACAAAAGGATGTAACATTGTTATTGTTTAAATCATATTGTACACCACCATCGTACACAGCCCGCCTCTGGATTAATTATAAAAAAGACAGTTTGCAAAGGCTGCAGGCAGCTTACAGTGATGTTTTGCGGGTGTTTTTGAGGAAGCAACAGAGATGTTTGTTACTGCACGAATGAACACTCTGCAAGCTGCACTAAGAACATTAATGTACAGTTTACTCACAGATGAGGTCAAATATCTTGGACATTATGTCACCAGTGACCTCTCAGATGATAGAGACATGTATAGGCAGCAGTGTAAGCTTTATGGCCAGGCCAATATGCTTGTCCGCAAGTTTTCTATGTGCTCCAGTGATGTCAAAATTGCACTTTTTAAATGTTTTTGCTCACCCTTGTATACTGCGCATCTTTGGCGCAACTATAAGAAAAAGAGTTTGCAGAGTTTGACAGTGGCGTATAACAACTCTTTGAGAATATTACTGAAAGTGCCGAGGTTTTGTAGCGCCAGTGAAATGTTTGTAAATTGTGATGTGAGACCCTGTGTCGTCATAATCAGGTGTTGTATTTATTAATTTATGTGTAGAGCAATGAATCTGAGTAATCAAATCATTGAAGCTCTAGTGTGTCCTGTGAGGAGCTCTGTCAGATTCACCTCTAAGCTGTGGAGACACTGGCGGTCTTGTTTGTATACGTTATAACATGCACTGTATTTATCTTTTTATTCTTACTATTGTTTTTTTTTTAATACTATGAACCAGATATCATGTGTTCTTAATAAAGATTGAATTGAATTGAACTCACAGTTTTATTTGCGGGCTGAACAAATCTGACAATCAAATAATAATGTCACTCACAAACTTGAGATTCAGTGCAATAAGATCAATATGTGGAGACACTGGTGTGGCTGTCTTTTAAAAACATAAATGTTGGTTGTTTTGTAATGTCACTGTCCTTGTCTGTTTTAAAAATGAATCATGAGTCTGAAATAAAGATGATGATGATGATGAGTAGAAGTAGTAGTAGTAGCAACCCTAGTAGAAATAATATTAGGAGAAGTAGTTGAAATAGCAGAAGTAGCAGCAGTAACAGTAAGAGTAATATTAGTGGTAGTATTGTAGTAATTTACTAGTAGGAGTAAATTCATCATCATCTGTTCTTCAACTTTAGTAGAAGTGATAGTAGTAGTAATAATATAAATAGTACAATAAGTAGTAATTACAGTAATAGAAAAAAGTATTAATGGTAGCAGTAATAGTAGAAATAGTAACAACATTAGTAGTAGTTTTAGCAGTTGTAGTAGTAATAGTTATAGTGGTAGTAGTATAGTCGTAGTACTGAATGAGGATTTAGTAGACTTACATTCTCAATCACAAACGTCCAGTCTTTATCCTCAAACTCCTCTGCTGTAGGTTCCTGTTGATTAAGAAAAGAGTATTAGTATAAGAACATGTCAGAAAATCAATACAGTTGTGTGTATTAATTAAGATTACTTTAAACAGAGTGACTGTGATGTCCAAACTCTCAGGGACCTGCCACATCACCAGGCCTCTGTATGGATTTTTGATGCCAGGCTGCCAACTGTGGAGCTGAGAGAGAAAATAAATAAGACTTTTAAGATTTTGAGGACTTAATGACAAAGATTGTGAATGACTAAGAAACCTGAGAATGAGATAAAGGAGCTATAGATAGATGTTTTTTTAAGGTATCACTATAAACAAGTAACATAAGAGTGCTTAGGTTACCTTAGAATCATTTTGAACCAGTGTTTCCCAAACTATAGTGTGCCACTGGCCTCTTCAATTCTAATGTTTCCTTAATTTTCAATACATTTTATGCACATATCTCACCCACAAGTTCATGTTTATAACTTCTAAAACACCGGCGTAGTCCGATTAAAGACCTAGAATAGCTTTGGTTTAGACCTGGTGCTACTTTAATATTTTTCTTTTGGTCTGAAAAGTTTGAGAATGGCTACATAAAGACAATAATTCATTAATTCAGAGCCAGTTTTATCAAAATAATACAAATTTGTGCTTTAGTTAAGACAAACTAGAGAGTGTGGGAACTTTTGGGACAGAATTTGAAGCTGCTTTCAACAAGATAATCATTTGTTACAAAATTTAAACCTAAAGTTGTCTGAAAAATCAGCATTTCAATATCTTCCAATTAAACAACCAATAGGAGATGTTTTTTTGTTTTTTTCAATACTTGTCCAATCATAGAGGTACGGGGCTAATCCCAAGTATCTCAAGCTTCCCACCAGAAAACACAGTAATATTAGATAACAGATCAAAACAGACTTAATTCCTACTTTGAAGCCATAACAGAATCTAAATAATCTCATAGAGTTAGTTTGAAGTATTACCTTTGTACTGTGCCGTCTGTTTCTCCTGATCCACACCACTCTCAGTTTGTCCGGCTGCCTGCAATCACAACAGAACACAAACTTCAACTTCTGACCTTAAAACTATGTGGAAAAACAACAAACAAAACCATAAAGCATTTCTGAACAAAATGCAAATGTCATGACTTATATCAGGAAGAACAAAAGCTAAGGGTAAACAAAGGTGAAATATTGAATGTGAAAGTGTGTTACTGCTCCAAAATGCATGACTAGTGTTTTGTGTTGGTGACTATGGGGACAGAGAGAACAGAAATAGAGGGTGATGAACTTTATATAAATCCTTTCTCCACCTGTTGCCAGTTTATCACATGCTCCACTGACCTACAAGTGACTGCGCAGTATAGTCAGCAGACTGTCAGGCTAGAAAACAGGACCCATGCCAATGCACTGTATATGATATCAATGGAAAGTTAACAGCATTCACACGACTCTATATCAATATCACACTTATACAAGTTGAGAATATACAGCAGATCAGAGTAGCAAAGACAGGTTTAACAGCAGTTGTGCATTTCATTCATACTGTCTAGAAAAGGCTGGGCAAAAAATCAGTTAAACCAATTAATCAAATTTGAAGTTTAAATGAATTTGTTTGGAAGGAAATCAATTTTTATTTTCCCACTTTCTTGCATTAGAAATTGAAAATGTAAGAAAGGCCGATCACTGCAGTCACGGGAGCAAAGTTTAGGACAGGGTCATGCAACGCTGACGCTTTGAAATCACTGACGTTATATTCAATGTTGGGGCTGCAAGTTGAATGCGATAATTTGTTTTATCTCATTGATTAAAAAAAATAAAAAATTCCCCAATAGCCAATGGGTTAAATATAATTACAGAATATAGTCTTTTCAGTTTTGACCATTTTCTGTAGTTTGTAGAACATTTTTTAGTGGAGAAGGGGAAAAATCTTATTTTATTACAGGCAAAATCACCCCATGTCCAGCTGTGACCAGGCAGCAAACTTTCTAAAAATTCAGATGTACATTTTGCAATCTATAAATTAACTTAAAATAAATAATGTTGGCTTTAAAGCATCTTACAATACTTTCAAAGTTTATTAAAACATTTATAATCACAATTATCAATTCTTGACATCCCTACATGATTTGTGGAATATTTTTCAGTAAAAACATAAACTCATTGCAATGCTGGGAATTTTGTAGATATTTGGATTTTTCTGCATTTTGCTTGGATGTAGTTTGGAAGAGAAGTCAGTCGAGATTGTCTGCATGTCAAACATTCCATCAACCATCAGGTTTCTAGAAAGATAAGATTATGTCATACAGGTCTGTGAGTCAATTCACTTTCACTTTGTTTATTTAATTGTTATTATTGCTTAACAATTCCCACTAATTGCCAGTACAAACACAGTTACAAATGTTTACTTGGATAATCATGCAAAAACAATGCAAGACAAAGACTGAGATCCAAATATTACTAAAACAAGATTGGGTAAAAACAGCACGCAACAGTTAGCTTTATGTAGGCCTATCACAATAATTAAAATAATGACTTATCATTCAATATATGAAAGTTGGAACAATATATCTGGGGCTCAGTATTTATCGTCTTCTCTTTCTTTGCAATAGTGGAGAGATTTTAGCAATTTTTCTGCACTATGCTAATATTTGTGGTCTAGAGAGTTGAATAAGTCACTTCTGTGGGCAATTATTAGTTTGTTCTGCTATTTATTTATTGATATGATACAGTCCAGTTAAAAGTTTATTATGGGGATTATTTTGCTTTGTAGTTTCAATATTATCGTTTATTGCAATATTTCTCTGCATCAATATACCAAAGTTTGTTATTGTGACAGGTCTGGCTCTATGTTTTCCATCTGCTGAGATATGCACCAAACTGGGGTATAATTTGTACAATATTTGAGTTGATTAAACATGTAATTTTAGATATTCTTATCTCTGATGTCCAGTGCACTGAAGCCAGCTATTTTGTTACCACAGACCCACACCCATACATTGTGCATCCCTAATAGAAGTTGTAATAACATGTCTGGAGCCGGCTGACCTTTAATGATACACTACAAGGACTGACTTCAATGTGAATCAGAATGTCACGTAATGATATATAAATACAAACTACAGGACACAATAAAAACAACAGCTCCTCTCACGTAACCAGAAAACAGCTAGAAAAACGTGCAGAGTTTTTTCAAATCTTGGAAAACTTATTTTAATATCTAGTGCAGAGCAAAATTTTTCTCTGCATTTGACAAACTGGCAGGAATGGTTTACATAGTTGTCCACAATCATGTATTAATGCATCTGAGGCTGCTTTAAAAGGTTTGCAGAGTTTTTATTCATGTATTCGTGCTGATTTTGAGAATTTACTGTGACATTTCAGGACAATTTCACATGTGCTAACACAATTTACAATAGGCCTAGTTTCAACTATTTAGACTATTTCCTGCTGTTGCTTTGGTATAAACTCTCCACAAACCGATGTGAGCATTTCTAACACAATTTTCTCGTCGAATGCACTCACAGCAAGAAGGTCTCAGGTTAAATTCTCAGACCAGATAAGGCGTAAATGTCTGTGTAAAGTTTGCACAGTGTATATATTCTGCATGCGCCTTTGTTTTTTCATGTATCGATACACATTAATATATCATTATGAACCTCTGTGTTTCTGTATCAACACTGCCATAAAATATTGTGACATTTGGTACTTCACCATGTTGTGAAAACAGGTCTGTCTGTGAAGTATTGCCAGGCATTGCACATAATACAGGAAATGTAGGAGATACTGTGGCTCGTGGCCACACCAGCATATTTGTTTTTGGAAGCTGTAATTCTCTGTTACATATTAAATCCGCTAACACTGTTTAATACTGATCACCATCATACAGATCTTTGTATTGCAGTATTGTGAGGGTATTGCAGCATCAATTACAATATGTGCTATGAATCAAAACCAGTTATTTACACACATTTTCTCGACCCGGTGTACAACACATCATTTTTATCTAGTTTGAAACTCCTCCTATTTCCTCTTAGCCAGGCTGGTGTCACCGAGTGCCTCCGCTCAATTTAATTTCTCTCCAGCGACTAGGTCAGGTATCGGAATACACTAGACGGTTTGCAAGATCCCGGGAAGTGCGAGTCCGGGCACCAGCCAATCAGCGAAGAGCCAGACATTCTACATACATACAAGAGCCAATGATTCCTGAGATCGAGGATTTAAAGCCGGCACAAAGAGAATGTTTGGTGAATTTTATCAAGGGGAAAGACGTTATTGTCCTTCTTCCTACGGGATTTGGAAAAAGCTTAATATACCAGTTAGTCCCGTTACCGGTGCATTACATACGTCAAGACCAAATAGCAGCAATTGGGTAAATGAAAAAAAGTACCTGCCTACAGTTGAGAGAACAAATTCTAATGCTGCAAGGTCAAACGGTTTCCATGAAGTGAAAAAGGCTGATGAATCAGGCTAATTCCCTCTGTCCTAGAGATGAAAAAATATGTGTAGATAAGTGCTGTTGTAACTTTGTAATGACATGATCCACAAAGGACTTATTCACTGTATGTGTTCATAAGAGCCAGAGGACAGAGTGTAACAGGCTGCAGTGTGAGGCATGTTGATACTGGTGACTGTGGATAATGCATCCACACTCACACAAACAGACAGGGCCCAGCCTCAGAGCAGCATAGCGATTGGAAACACATGCTGCTCCCTGACTAATCATAATGGAATTAAAGGCACTCCTGCAGTCGGACTGTCCCACTGCCAAGTGTCCTGTGAGGACCGGAGACGCTATTGGACAAACATTGTGTTATGGGTGGTAAATAAACTGGTTAATTTGACTAACATGGTAAAAGAAGATAACATTATTCATCTTGTTTATTCATTCATGTTTATCCAGGACAGACACTGTTGTACATTTCTATTAAACAAGCCATTAGAAAGTGATGGAAAAACAAACCACCCTGATGGCTGTATACAAAAAGCCCAACGATCTTTTCACACTAAATGGTGTGTAAAATGTGTGAAGAACCAAGAATCATGTGCTCGATGTTGTCTTAAAGGATTCGATGTCCTATAATATGGAATGCTCAAACTGTACTTTGAATGTTTCCATAGAAGACAGAGACTTTTAACATTTTTATTAATATGTTCAGCCTAATAGTTATTACTGTAAATGGTTGTGAATTACCATGAAAAGACTGGCAGTCCAAGTGCTCTTTCACTTAATAACTTCCCTTTACAGAAGTGTCACAAAGCTTTGTAATAATATCCTATTCTATACACTATTGTCTAGTTTTCTGTGTGAAATGTTTGAGGCTGACTGAAGATCTAGGCCAAAGCACCTTTATGAATTAGGAATATCAACACTTGAGTGGTCATGGCCATTTGAGGATCCATGTCACTGTCATGTTAACATGTAGGCAAAATGTGTGCTGAAATAATAAATGTCTCAGTTGGAGAAAATAATATGTTATTATATAGTGTGACTTTTTCATCTGAAATCAGTATAGAACACAATAAATAAAATGCCAGTACAGTTTCTGAAAATGCACAATGGTAAAGCACAGTGTAACATTCATTCATATGTAACCCCAGTGCTCCTAGTACTAGTGAAGTCTTGTATCCCACACCTGTATGAGTAACACTTGGACTGCAGATCTTTGCTAGCATGACTGTGCACTGGCCTCTTTAGCTGTGGCATGACATGCTTAAGATGTAACTCTACACAGGTTCTAAATAAAAAGACGGAAGTGGAGGGGCGGGTTTCAGTGGCAGACACACTAGGAATAATCGTGCTATATGTAACAAGGTGTGCCATACGTTTAGACCTACACCAGACTGATCTAATTAGACAGGCCATTACGCGCTGTTGCCAGGCTTCACGATGAAGGAAGACAGATGAAACAAAGACATGGTTTTAAGTTAATTGCAGGATACTTCCAAATTAATATCAGCACATTGCAGCCCTACCCTCGCCCTCTGCTGCAGCCTGTAGCTTTTCCTGATCATCATGATTGTAATAAATAAGGTATAACAAGAATAACCGAAACCATTTTGACCATTACTTCAGACGTAAAAATTGGTATTTGCTAAATAACGTAAGCAAAGATGTTATCAGCATCATGAGACGTTAATAGCCCATGCGCTTTGGAATAGTATCACTTCTCTTCCTGAACGAGTTTAGTTTTATTATTGATTAAATATTCCAGATTAAACTGAAAACAGTTGAACAATCGCTACTCATTAACTACCTGTAATAATGTCTTACCATTTATTAGTACATTCTATGATGAGCTCTTGGAAAGACGCAGCAAACTGAAACTTGGCCGCCTTCTTCCCGACCCGCTGCAGTCGTTTCCACACCGAGGTCATGGTTAGTCCGACTATCCAGCGCTTTTCTGGACAAAATAAGATGAATGAGACGAAGCCCAGTGGTGTGTCCAGTCGCCGTGCGTCCACATGAGTGAAGGAGCCGGGCTGATCTCCACCTGCTGCCGAGGTAAAGCCCCTCTGCCCCGGGTCCGCCTCAGTCTGTCACAGCCTCCAAAACAAACACACGCCTCACGGCGGAGAGCGTCAAGCGCAGCGTGACCGTGACGCACACGCCGGAAACTCCCTGCGCACTTCAAAATAAAACTGATTTATTTTTTACTATAGACTGCTTTTTACATTAAAAGTTCTTCTTGTCATGCACAGTCATTGGTTCTACCAGGCCTACTTACGGTAAAAGAAAAACAAATTTAAACTACAAAATATATCATTTATTACTTGGTTCAAAACTGAAATACTGAAATAGGTAAAATGCATTGAAGAATAATAGGCTTAACCAGTAAAGTTAACTATTTTAAGTCTTTATTTCTTCACTTCAATTTGTTGTTTTCAGTATATCTTTTTATTCATTGTTTGATTACCTTTTATCACTATATTTATTTATAATTTATAATTTTATCCCAAATAAGTAACAGTGAAATTTTTTTATAATTTAGAATTACAGGGGGACAAACAGCTTGTAAAAGCCTGGGTCATTTTACAAAGTTTAGTGAATGTGTTAAAGGACAAAGGACTGTCAAATAAAGCTTAAACAGGAGGGAAAGTGTCCTCTGAGAGGACCGGGACTTTTCCAGCTAAGCTCTATGTCTATTTATAATTAGTGTTTGACACACAGAGCAGCTGGGAATATGATGAAACTCTCAGAACACAACACACACTCACCAAACACTTCACATTTATTCACATTACAGTCGACAAATTTGTGTAGTCTAGTCTACATGCTTAATTTAAAATGCTTGTAAATTGTCACAATAAGAACATGAATGGGCATTTTCTTTAAACCATACTGAAGGCTTGTTTTTGTTCATCTCAAAGATAACACAGACATGCTCTTGTTTTGAAGGGTTTCCAGGAAGTTGGGACATTTTGACCACCAACAATGGGGATATTGTTAAAAAATACAATGGATATTTCTAAAGCTATAGAGCACACATAATAACTTATTGTGGCAGTTTGGGTCAAAATCTGGATCAGACAGGCACAACAAAGTTAGGCCTAACATTAGACCCTGTGGTGCCTCCTGTTACACATGGATAGTGTATGCTATTATATAAGAGTACATTGTTACTGTCAGTGCTTCTGTGATTAACTAAATAACATAAAACAGCAGGAAATGGTCAAAGATAAAAGTATGTCACATGGGCCTATAGTCACATGTTAATGGCGGTCAAACGTCAGGCTTCATTAGGCCCAACTCTATACACATTTGATTTCTGTGTCTATCTTGAGGGTTTTTTTTTTCTTTACACATTATTAAAATATAATATAGGCCCAACAAACATGTGGATAAAGAATTGCTATTTGAAATGTCCTAAAACCAGATCTAAAAGTTTTCAAAGTTCCCAACTACTGCATATCCACTTTCATTTCTCACATAAATGTATCTTTTCGAGGAATTATAATTGTCACTGTACCAAAGTCAAGCTTTTCCCCACACTGAAGCCTTTGTACATACTGTCCTTGTCTCCATCTGTTGCTAAGTGATGTGTCCGGCTTCACGGTCATCCTCTGTCTCCCATCAGTGCTCTCTGTGTGCGCTCTGGAAGCAGCTGCATTTGGGAGGGTCAAAAATAACACGAAACACAAGAGAAACACAGGGAGTCTCGGGGGACTCTAAATCTGTGTTTTGCCAAAGCTCCACTGGGAATTGTTTATCTAAGAACTATTTTGAATTTTTGACTTCCTGTTTCCAGCTGGTTTAGCATCTTAATATGGGAATACATGTTTGTGACATTTAAGTGGGACTTTCCATTTGCCCTTTTGATAGTTAAGATAAACCTGTTGTGATTAATTTGTAATATACTTTTTAAAAATATACTTCACAAACTACTTTAAAATTGCCTTGTGTGTAATAACCATGAAGTCAACCCTTTCCCATGCAAAGAACTTCCTCTGCCACCCATTGCTGAGAGAGTATCCTGTTTTTAAAGTTAAAGAGGGGGCACTCTTTTGTCTCTCCACTGTGGCTAAATTTATGGTAAATCTGTCAGGACCACTGTCCGCAGGGTATTAGAATAGAGCAAGGAAAAGGAAACTTTAAAGGATAACATTAGAGGATGGCAGTCCATAAATATATAAAAATCTGGTGTAGGTACTCCCATTATTATGCTTGTTTTTTACCTTTTCTAACTGACAAGAGTACAAATCTCTAATCTCTAATGGCTGAGGTTGTAGTAAGAGCCCATAAAATGTCATTAACAACACTTTTCACCAAATAAATAATAATGACCAAAAAATTACACATTGTGCTCCACCAGTAATCCTGCATTGCCTAAAGAATGACTCGTAGATTATCTTACTTATATTGGCAGTACTGTAAAATGGCTTGTAAAAATTACCTTTATAATATGCATATTTACGTTCTAAAGGGCATCACTTACATTTAAAGGTGCATTGTGTAACTTTTCTGGTGGAGGGTTTGTCACCTTCTTGTTTTTGTGGAGATGTCATTGCTTGGAAGATTGATTAGAAGAACAGGCATCTTTAAAAAATAAATGAAGATAAGAACTAAGAAAAAAAGTGTTTGTATTTCTCTTCGAGGGGGTAGTGTGTGGAACAACCTGAGTGATGATTTTAAAGTCTAACACTGCAGAAGCCTTTAAAAAATAGTATAAAGCATTATGTTTTGAAAGATATAGAGCTCTGGAATTAATTAATCATGCATTCAATTTTGTTTGTTTTAATTTATATTTTGTCTCTTATATATACAGTTTACATACAACAATACAAGTCTCAAGTGAAATTGTAAATGCAAACTTGCTGTTCATACACTGCTTTTCTTTCTTGGAATCCTGTCATTGTTTTATAGAGTTAGGCATTATAAGTACTTTTTAACTTCAGCCTAAACCCTTTTGGTCATGATCTATGGGGTTTGTAGTCTATGTTTTGTTTAGTTTTGTTTTGTAGTGCTCAAAATGACCGAATAAACTACTACTACTTCTACTACTACATTAAACAATTTACATTTATTTTATAGCTCAAAAATACCTAGAAAAACATGCATTCTGATTGTGAGCAGGGTTGTCTCTCCACAGATCTGACGTGTATCTTGGCCTGCTTTGATCTCCATGAAGGCGGAAAGGTTTAATATCATACTGTGAAACATTCCAGACAAATTAATAATGTCTCCATGAAGAAAAGCATTTGACAGACCCTCCACCGTGCACCTATACAAAAAAAAATGTCTTCAGTGTAACATACAAGCAATCCTACAGCATTTGCCCCATTGACCTATTTAATAAATCTTGCCAACACTTCTGATATAATTCAATACGCCGCTGGCTGGGTACGGCATGACAAAGCATCCTGAGTAGAAAGTCTAACATAAGTTCACAGATCAAACATTGCTTATAATTTTAATCGCCTAACACTTTGGTCTGTATAAAGGAACAAACAGCAGGACGTTATAAGAAGGAGCACGCTGCAGTAATAAGATCGTGTTCCTTGGGACTGGGGTAAATATAGAAGGGCACCTGTTGGCGACTGTCACATGCTCACTGGGTCACCGACGGCAACAACACCGCCCTCTGTAAGGTCAGAATTTACTGAGGTTACAAAGCATTAAACTATTATGTTGCAACACATTCTGATTAGGGCAGACCTGTCTATTATTCATTTGTCGAATCCAGGGGTGTTCAAACTTTTTTTCATCAAGGGTCACATTTCTAAACACAGACTAATCAGAGGGACGATCGAGGGCCGTAGACTGGTGCTCAGTACAGTGAATAATTGAAATATGTGCATTTTTAACACATTAGAATAAGCCATCGGTCTTTATTCATGCAAAGATCTTTAAAATAACACACTAAAAATTAACTATTAGCTTTATCAAGGTAGATTTTCAAAGAACTTGCAGTAGAAAGTTAATTTTTAATTGATGCAAGGTAATTTAGGCCAATTCATCTGGAAGCTTGAGGGCCATAGTTTTTACGTGCCTGGTCTAATCTATACTAATATTGTAATAACACGTAATTGCAAGAGACTGGTTTCTGGTTTGAATCTTTTATTTGATTATGTTATTATGGAAAAACAGAACATCATCTCAAAGGGGAAAGAGCAATTCTTCAATAAATAAATATATATAAAGCGAAATGGCTGATTAAAAGTCTGTATTAGGGCTGGTTATCATTAAGAAGTTGCCGATACGATACCTTGATACATAGGCCACGATATGATACATATCTTGATACAGTGAGTTTTTTGATTCGATAGATTTCAAATTGATTCAGTATGATTCAATAAAAAATAAATGCTAAATCATGACTGTAATTCTAAAAGTCTTTGTTAAACCACTTCCTGTGCAAAGTGAATATGAAACACACACATTTTAATCATCAGAAAAGTGAAAATGTCAAATGACTGATGAGTTTCCTTCCTCTAAACAAGCAACAAAACTGTAGCACTGTAACACAATTATTTAGTCAAATATATATCGTTAGCCTAATAGTATAATTGCCTAAGTCATTTTTTTGGCCAAATTGTGATATCTGCCTAACTTTACTCTCCTGCCACTGCTGCATCACCCTGCCCTGCCTCAGCCTCTCAGAATGCTTGTTAGAGTCCAAAATCACTGTCTGCCTTAGTCATTTCTATACAGTATCAATAAAAAATACCAATGTGGTTTCTAAAAAATACCAAAAAATACTCTTGGCGATATATCAATAGAGCAGCCCACGATATCGATACTATATCATCACATTAAATGATACAATATTTTGAGATTTTTGCACACCCCTAATCTGTATTTTCTTTATGTTCACAGGATAAGAATATTATTAGTTATTTATTTGACAAAATAAAATGGAGTCAAAAACTGAATAAATCAAAATATAAGAAAATTGAAAATCTAAATTTGTAGAGGAAAGATCTTTTTGTCATATCACGCACCCCCATAACCACTTACTTTTTACTGACATATAAAGGCCTGTTTAGTTGGTTTAGTTAAGTTTTCCTGTGCGTCTGACTGAAAGGTTTTCATTCTACATTCGTCTCTCTAATTTAATGTCTCTCTCTCTTTTTAATTCTATGATGATTATATGTTTTGATTTGTTTTTATTGTGATTTTAATGTGTTTCTTATTCTGTAAAGCACTTTGAATTACTTTGTGTATGAATTGTGCTGTACAAAAATACTTGTCTTGCCTAGTTCTGCTAACATGCAGAGTACCTGTCCTACAGTAAAGCTATTTTCGCCTCAGTCTTTGTGTGGCAATTGTCATTTGTGGTTTCCTGTCATGAGGTTACGATGACTATCACTCACAACTGAGCGACAGAGTAGGCTACTGCAGAGGAGGTGGACAATGAGGCCTTTGGCTCTGACTCAGCTGGACTCAACAGAACTCTCATAAGGCTTTTGTATTCAAATGAGTGCGGACGTGACTCTGTGTCCAGTTACTGTATGTTGTGACTGCTTACAGTAAACCAATGAGCGGCCAAGTCTACCGCTTTCTGAAAGTGAATGAGTGAGTGGTTGAATCACTAATGGTTGATGTTGTAGTAACAGCTCATAAAGTCCTGTCATAAAGTGTCCCATGATACTGGAATACATCAGTTGGTGGTATTTTGAAACCCAATGACCATACCAGCATACCAGTGAACTAAATATGTACAAATGTCTGTCATCTTTGAACCATTTTACAGTATTACATAAGATTTCTGGTGGTTTTAGCAATGATTTAAACCATGTAATATAATACGTATTTTAAAATATTTGTCATAAATTTGCCAAGAATATAAGACAACTGAGGACAAAGCAGTGACTTGCAGGGCTGTGTGACCTCAGTGTGAGCTCAGCGTTTGACTTCTGTGTTTACTCAGAGCTGGCACTACTGGGCACAATGGGGACTATTGCCTCGTGCATAAAACAGCATTAGGCAGACAATCACCAAACCTGAGCAGAAAGTAAACAGCTTGTACTCTGGTCTGAATATTTGTATGTCCCTGTAAAATGTAGTTTTACCATCACAGTGGAGCTCAGGATGTGACTGGCTGCCAAATACTAAGAAAATGCAAAAGCTATATCAAAGAATGAGTACCTCGTTTGGGTTTTTGCCAACTGGTTAAGTCATAGGTTCTGACGATGCAAAGTGAGAGGCTCAGTCTGCTTTCTGATTGAACAATCCCAAAAATAAAACATAAATATATATATTTTTTTACATCAGTGTTGTATCAGTAAAACCAACAGAACATGTTTAGCCTTCTACTGATAGTCAAAGATGCTGATGTTACAACCATAACTAAAATATCCATGGTAATAAACAGTACTTCTACATATTTACTTTTTTAGAGTTGCAAGTTTATACAAACATCACATTAGCACACTATCAAAGGTTTGCTGTGTGTGTGTGATTCATTGGCTCACTCAGGTCTTGTCATACACTTGAGGATATTGTGCAGATGGCTGTAGAGTACTGCAGCTCCTCCTCTGGACCCTCCACACTCTCCAAGCTCAGCTCATGGAGACAGAGCATGTCCTCCTCTGAGCACTGAGGCCCAGAGAGCAGCCGGAGCAGGGCCTGCACCTGGGGTACCTCCAGGATGGTGTTCTTCAGAGTAAAAATCACTATCAAACCAAGCAGTAGGTAACCTGTGGGGAAGACATGTATCACATTTCATGTTTATGTATGAAAGGAACAACCAGTAGCTTTTTGTACATCAGTAGAATGTTGTGCCTATGTTTCCTCTGTTGGTTTGAAAGTTTGTTAATAAAATTATGTCCAGTTTTGACCTTATGATACAAATTTGTTTATTTTAGCATCCTCAAGCAAGATCACTCAAGAGGTTAGTAAAAGTACAGTTGAATCAAGACAATTGATTTAGGATGTACATTAGAATTTTGGAAACATTGTTCTCTCAGTATATAAGGTACAATTATTGCCATAGCTGACACAGAGCCTGTAGCTTTACTGATCACTACCAATCACTCATACATCATATACATAGACAGGTAAGGTGCGTGAAGTGTCTTGCCCAATGACACAATGAAAGGATGCACTGGTTGGATTTGAACTGCCAACTTTCATCATAAGACAACTTCTCTATCACCAAAATTATTGTTTACTAAAACATTTACCAGGTAAACTTACATCTTTATCTGAAATAATGATTTCAGAATAGAAATATGGAAGTTGCAAAAATGTTTTTCTCATAAGAAGAAATATTTTTGCGTGTACATGTGTTTTGAACATGGTTGAGCATACATGTAGTGAGCAGCTCCAGCGCCTCCCTTGCGTTCAGACTCCAGTTCCTCCCCAGTGCACACCCGCCTTGTCCCACCGTGCTCAGGACCACAAAACAGAAGAAGAGGGCATCCAGGAAGCTCCAGTCTGGTTCTACAGCGGAGATGAGGAGGGCAGGGAGGAGGAAGAGCAGGCCCAGCACCAGCACAAAGAGCACAGAGGCATGGAGCAGGGCCGCCCGGGAGAGGGACATGCCCCAGAATGAGTGGAGGTGCCTGACAGGGGCATAGGTCACCACAGGCATGAGGAGGGTCTCTGAGAGGAGCCCCAAGAGGAACAGAGTCAGGGGGATGCCAATGACACAGTACACCAAGCAGAAGAACTTGGACTCATCTGACTGAGGGTAGTAAACATCGGAACCTAAAAATGTACAAATATTAAATGTAAAGAAGCAGTAAGAGATATCATGATATCAAAATTGTACTAAGCTAAAATGTATTGCTTATTTATTTGGATTCTTTTGCCATGTTAATTTCAGGCACCACCCAGAAACTGACTAAAATCTTTTTAAACACAAAAAAAGATTTCAAAAGTTCATTTCCCCCACAAATATATAGAGTTTGATCTTTAGACCAGGGGTGTCCAAGCTGTAACTCGGGAGCTACCATTTACCATTGTAAATGTATCATTTTGAAGCCCAACTTTGTGCACTAATAAATGGACAATGACTTATTTTTTATAGGCGTTTAACTGTACCCCAAGGCGTGCCCTCTTTCTTATAATCATCTCAATTTATTGTGGCCGCTAAAATGAGTAGCTCTGTGGCATTTTTGTTTTGTAAAAGTAGCTCACCGGAGGAAAAAGGTTGGAGACCCCTGCTTTAGAGCATTATTCTTGTTCTAGACAAATCATACAACTGATGATTCTTTTTCACTAAAGATTGTAAATCAAGAACAATTTTATTCTGGAAATTCACTGGACATATTTTCTAAGCATAAATAGGAAACAATTTTTTGTGTGCTTTTTCAGTTGACCCACTATTTGTTATGTATTACCTCCTACATGCTTAAAACAAATGATCAATTCCAAAAACGTAACCCTGTCCAACTGTCCTTACCCATGGTGGTGAGGGTGACGATGACAAAGTATAGCGACGAGGTGAAGTCATAGTGCCTCTCGTCCTCCTCAGCCTGAAGCACGGCCACGTTGGTGTGGTGGGCGGACAGGGCTTTCCCCAACAGATGTTGCAGTTTGGACTCTTGGACACATGGATTCTCCCTCAGAAAAGTCCTCCACAGTTCTTCCACCTCGACCTGCAGCTTCTTCTCCACAGGCATCTCCAGCGCCCTGAACACCAGCCCCCCCACAATCAAGAAGAGGATGTAGCAGAGCACCAGGCAGGGGAAGGCTGCAGTCTGCCAGCGCAAGAAGCAGCTACGCCATCGGGACATTGTCTTTAGATGACTGGGTCCTGAAGGAAACCAGACCCAGGGCTTTAAATATTTAGAGCAGGTTAGTGATACAGGTCTAAACAGAGACGAAGAAATCTATGTAGGAGTTTCCAAATGACCGCAATGACAGTTATTTTTTAAATATTTGCAACAGGGATGTAACAATAATCGAAATATCATGATGCTGTATCATCAAAAGTCCCACAATAATATCGTGGGCTGTCACAATATATTGAATCACAAGTTTCTTTCTTTAAATGCATGGTTTTACAGTAGCAACACCTTATAAACATCGGAAACTACATATCCCATGATTCATTTCAGTGCAGACAACATTAAGAAATATGTTTTTACTTGAATTCTTGGGATTATGACGGTAATAATTCACACCAAAATCTTGTCAAGGTATTTCAAAAACAAAAAAGTGTCTGATCTACAATTATATTAGCCTCTTCGAAATATCGCAATAAATATCGTACCATGAGCTTTGGAGATTGTTACATCCCTAATTTGTAATCTTATGGCTGATAGGAGTTTTGATTCTTAAAATTAAAATAACATCTGAAATTAAGTGAGGTGGCAAAAAATGAGGTGAAATTGTTATAGAAATTTAGGTGAAAACGTTATTAAGTGCACAGTGTCTGTTATCAAGCAATCCCATTCGTTATCAAAGCCCATTCAAACTGGTTAAACACTTTAAACTCATTCAAACTGAACTTTATCAAGATCAACAATATTGGACCAAACAAAATCAAGCTGCATGGCATACTGTGTACTGAGGTGTATGTTGGCACTGCCTAAAGTTAATTTATACATTCACTAGTGTTCACTTCATTATTATGGTAAATTACCTTAGCATTAAACCACTAGGAGTAGGTTTTGGAATATACTGCATGGGCAATTTACAAAAATAAACTAATACTTAAGTTTAACAAATAACAATTTAATGTAATCACTTCTTTAATTACAAACTACAGTGAAAAATGATACATATATACAATGAAAATAATACAAAAATGTCCATTTGAGACTCTGTAGTAATAGTTCTCTACAGAGGAAGGTGAAGTGAATAGTGAGAATGTGCCCAGCGCCGCACAGGTTTGCCCACTCTGCCAATCACGGACAGTTTGTGGGCATAAGCTCGCGGTGGGATGGCAGAGAGAGGAGGGTTTGGGGCAAATGTAGTTTGAAAGGGGCGTCGGCCTTGGCAGTGGCGGCCCATCTGACGTCCACCAATCAGAAAAGAGAAAGCTGGAGGTGTGTTCTGGGAAGAGGTGAAACGGGCCTTGGGAAAGACGTCCCGGGACGGTCCGACCGAGCGTTGACCTGAGCGAGACGAGGAGGACCTGGAGCGAGGCACAGAAGAGGAGCGCGCCACAGATCTGAGGAAGAGTAACAGGCATGTGGTCAATACTGTAGATTCCACTACAATACATCACAATTTATCACATGAAATTATAAAAACGCAGATGCATGATGTTTTTTTTGCATTTTTTTTTCCTTTTTTATATAGGCTGTAAGTAAAGTCAAAGTCAGTTTCCTAACTATAGAAGTTGTGTATGTTTAGATCTGTCAGCACAATCAGAAACAAAGCATGTCCACACAAAGAGCCCTTTCCCTCACCTTCCTGACCCTGTGGCGGCCAGACTGGGAGGAGGGGGGTCAGTGCGTGGACTCCCGTCCTGCCTTGGGCTGATGTTGAGATTAGCCGTCAGCTGTGGCATTTTCCGTGTGGTGTCACTGTTGGAGGTCGGACCTGAGACTTCCTTCTTAGCATCCCCAGTGTGAGAGGGGGCACAGGCAGGGTAGCTCCCAAAGCCCGGCCCTGTACTGAAGCGCACGGCCAGACTGTCCCCAAAGAAGGAGTAGAGCTCAGAGTACATGTCAGGCAGTGGTACAGGGGTCCACTCCTCCCAGGGGCAGCCTGCTCCCCCAGCCTGAAGGTGGCTGGCGATGCCCAGAGCAGCCTCAGACAGTGGCTCCGGAGGGGGGCTGAGGCCGGGGGAGCTCACCCTGTAGCCCAGGCCTCCTGTCATAGAACCAGGCTGACCACTGGAGCTTCCTTCAGCAGGCTGGGACAGAGAAAGAGCCTTCATCTTCAGGAGGCGCTCTACTGCCACCTGGAGTACACACAATCAAATAGTTTTTATACTTTTTGAGAGACGATAACCAGATAAAATAAAACATTTAGTTTAGTTATAGTATAGATTTCACACATATCTTAACCAGGCCTTATTTTTAGATCATTCAGCATTTAAGGTTTTGTGTTTATGCTCAAACACTCAGACATTCCTCCTTATTTTAATTTGGAGATCATCAACAGAATTTACACCAAGAACCTTAAAGAAAATACCACCAAGCATAAGACCATACTGACCAAAATGGCTCCATAGACTTTATGCCCATCTGCTTTGACCTGGGCATTTGAAACAGAGTAGTCATCTAGAACAGCCTGGAGGTTGGCCCAGTACGCAGGGAGGTGAGGGAAGAGCACTCTCTCCACGGCCTGTCACATGATCACATCTGTTAGAAATGTAATTGACATTAACAATAAGGATTTACATCACCCAAAAAACAGACCTTCCACCCTAGAGCGTGAAGGCCCACCACAGCCCCGTAGTGTGAGCAGAGCGGCGCACGGGGTCAGACAGGACTTTCTGCAGTGACAGCAGAATCTGATGATATAAACCACTGACCAGATCTCCATGGGTCCTGCAAAGAGCCCACAGTAAATACAAAGAACTAACAATCAATCATGCTTTTTCTTCTCACAAACCAGAATATATGGCTGAGGAGCAGAGCTGCGTAGTCTCTGAGAGTCCAGTGGTCGTTCAGCGGGTTGATGGAGGCGGCCAGAGGCTCCAGGATGCAGTACATGACACTAGAGACCAAACTGCGCACATACGAGCCCAGGTAGAGATACGGGTTCTGGACCAAACTCTTCACCATGTGCAGGAGCCTGTTCAGCTGCTCCAGATCGTGACTCACTGACTTGACCTAACACAGGCCAAAACGGACATAAAATACAAGTAATGGAGATACACGTTTAATGTCATGCTGTGGCACACTCCTCGCAAAAATAACATCTCCAGGGTGACAATCAGGTGATGGAGCCTGGACCAGAAAAGTAACATGCCGCATCTTTAAATTTCAATCTAGTCTAATTATTTTGTTAAGATTAAAATACATTTTAGACAAAGACAAGGTAAATGTCATACACACCCCACTGATGACATAAACAAAGTAAGGCAGAAGGGCAGCAATCTTAGAGTTTGACTGAAGGTCTAGAAGAGCCACCTGAAAATCCACAGGCAGGTCAGAGAAACAGGTGATGGAGACTCACCAAATTCAAAATCAAAGGCTCATATTAACTGAATTTTACCTTCATAAGATGGAGGTCCTCCCCCAGAATGGCCCTTGTGATCTGCTGATAGTATTTCAGCAGGTCATCAGACAGAGACTGCACTGCTGTGGGAACTGAACAATAACACATTAATAATATAACATATAAAATATAATATAATAGCTATTTTATGTAAGGTCTTACCAGTTCCTTGGGGTTCCAGGTTTCCTTTTCCATCAAGATATGAGACATTCACTAAAACAACAAAGTGTAAAGAATAATTTGTAGTTTTTGTATTAAGTTTTCATTATACTCTATCGATAAAAAAGTCCTTACCTCGCACCAGAGTCTCGGCACAGCCTTTGGGTATGTTAGTGGCTAAGGCAAGCTCCACCAGGTTAATCTCTCTGTCCTCAGTGAAAAATAGTTCCCCTTCTTTAAGCGAGCGAAAAGGCATAACATCCTGAGCACCATATCCACAAATGGCCTGGGAGCAAAAAAATTAGTAAATGATCTTAAAATATGTAAGACGTAGACTGTAGGTCTACTGGAGGTTACCTCCACATTACTCCATCGCAGAGCTCTGTTAAAGTCTTCCACAGTCAGTTTCCTCCTCTTTGCATGTCTCATGAACTGGGAGCTGCTCTGTTGAGTGACAAAACATGTAATTTAGGGATAGCAATATTGTGGTGAAAACCAAATATAAGGGTAGCTGTGGTGGAAGCAGGGCAAATGAGTAACACACGTTCAAATGCAAAAAGAGGAGCGATGTAATTTGGAACAGCACAGGTAAAATGTGTAAGTGTTGTGAACCAGAGTAACCTGCATATTTGACGAAAAAAATCTGGATTTTATTGTTGCTGCAAATGAGAGGTGCTGCCAAAGCGGGCGGTGTGCAAAGTGTGCATTTATTCATCGCACGGGTTTGATGTTTCTTGGCTGACTAAAGGGCACACACCTGTGTAGCTTCTCTGAGTCGGTAACACACATCCTCGGCCAGAAGAGCCGCTAGTTCATCTCCGAGCTCCACGCCCGCGCTCTCGGCCATCAGTTTGACAGAGTCTCGGGAAACTTCGGCAAAACGGCGCTCCTCCCGGTCCGCCATCCTCCTGGAGACGCTGCAGCTCCGGACACAAACCCCACGGTGCTGAATATTTCTGGAGGTTTGCAGTCACAAAAGGCCAAAACAAAGCATTAAGCTGGTCTTATTTGTAAGTTTTTGTTTTTTTTTCGTTAAGACTAATTGCATTAGAGTAAAGGCCAATCGTGACTTCACGAAATGTAAATTTGTGAGGAAAATATTAAAGTTTAAAATGACTCACCGAGCTTTCAATTGAACTGCTCAATATTTGTGTTCCTCACTGAAGTTTGGGTAGTCGCATAATTATGACGTCATTGTCACACATTTCCGGTACCAAAATAAAAGCACTTAAACCCATAGATCTACAGTTCTGTGCTTAAACCATCGAGCTTTGATCTAAAAATAACGACTTAAGCTTCCAGCAGAGCTGCACAATTCATTGATAAAAAGGAACGTTTCTAAAAAAAAGGTGACCGTGTTCTGACAAGATTGCTCAAGACTGACTGGATCACATACAGTATGCTTAAGAAAGGTTATTATTAGAATAGTAGTTTAAGCCTATGCCATGACAAAGAAGGCAGCATTGTGTTGTTAAAATAGTTTATTCGCAATGCTGAAGCATTACTGAAACCATTGATTATTATGTACAATAGTTAAAATGTTTACATTGAAACGAGACCTATTCAAAACATTAGACTGAAGGTCTACAACCGAACAGTTCAAGTCCAGCTTGACCTGCTTACAGAAGCACTCAAACCTCAAGTAAAAAAAAAAAAAAAGTGAATAGTTCCTGAGGAATAATAATAAAAAAAAAAAGTAACTATACAAATGCCAGTGAGTGCTGCTGTGTGAAGAGAGCATGTCAGAGCGCCCGGTTGTCACAGATCTCCTGGGCCTTGGTGCTCTCCAGCTGCTGCAGGTGCAGGGCTAGGGGCAGCAGCAGCTCACTCAGGTGCTGGCTGGAGAAAGTGAAGGCATTATTGGCTGTGGCCTCTGGAGTGGGGGTTGTGAGTGGGGGAGTCAAGGGAGGTGAGGAAGAGGCTGAAGAGCCTGGGGAAGATGTGAACCAGGGAGAAGGCAGGCCACTGCTGCCCTGAGAGGATCCGGAGCCGAAAAAGCCTGGACTGGGCTCAGCCCCGGAGATCTTGTTGGGGAGGCCGTGCTGGAAGCGACAGCGAGTGCCATATAAGCAGAAGCCAAAGGAGCTGAAAGTGCGGCAGATTGCTCCTCTGGGCTTCCAGTCCTTGGACTGGGGCTGCACTTGGGGACTGGTAGGACTCGGAGCCATGGGGTTAGGAGCCCTCTCTACATTCTCATTAGAGTCTGTGAGACTGCCTCCGAGCTCGCCACCCTCAATATGCAAGAAGTTACAGCGAGTACCAAAGGGACAGACACCAAAAGACCTGAAAGTGCGGCAGGGGATGTTCCTCTTGCGGCGCACACAGGGCCTCTGCTCGTCAGGGCTGTGCACAAACAAACAGCGGCTGCCGTAGTAGCAGTAGCCTGTTGTGTGGTAGCTTCGGCACAGCTCAGTCTTGTATTTGGGGTGTCGGAAGGGCACATGGAGCTCATGGAGGCCGTGGGCAAACTGACAGCGCTCAGCATACTTGCAGACACCAGAGGCAGAGTAGGTGGTGCACAGCTCAGTCTTGTAGCGAGTGGAGCAGACAAAAGGGATGAGCGGAGGGGAGGACGATTCAACCAGGGGCAGCAGGGCCTGGGCCAGAGACAGGCCTTCACCACCACTGTCTTCATCAGACTCCTCGCTGGACAGCAGGTTGTCCACCAGCTCCTCGTGGTAAGCAGGCAGGAACACATCATCGCTGCTAGTCTAGAGCATTAAAGTGTAGTGCATGAGTTAATGCAGTTTGCAAAGTTCATAAAACTGAAAAATAATAAAATCTTAATAAAAAAAATAATAAACCTAGATATTAAATACAAGCCCTTTTAATTCTGTAAGTAGTTTTAAAGGACATGCATTATGATTGTAGATTGAATCACCTCAGTCTAGACATAAAATAGTGTGTTTATGTACAACACTCACCTCAAACATGATCGCGGTAGAGGGTTTTTCGCGTTGGAGAGCGGAGAAAATGTACTTGGAGTCTACAGCGTGCTCAGGACCCACAGTGAGGGGTCAGACCCGGCTTGTGTTGTGTCAGTAGAGCGACATAAACTTAAATACTCCCGCTTTATGGAGTCACAACTGAAGAGCAGAGCGGGTGTGCAGCATTTGTACTGCGGCCACCTCCAGCTCCGCCCACAGCGTTAGGTCCACGAGTCTCAGGTGTGCTCTGTCACGTGACCGAGCCTAAAAATTATAAAATAAACTAAAGCAAATCACTAAACATTAGATTCAAAATTGTTATTTGTGTATAAGTAGTATATTACGTTGGAATTAATATTTTGCGAAGTAAATGTATAGCTGCAGAGGTATAGAGTAGCGCAGGCTCAATCCACATCGGTGAATACACGTTCAGTGACAATCCTCGTTACTATTTGTAAGAAGTCACGCCTTTGTAGGAAGTGATTGTACAGCCATTTAATTAAAAGCCGTCTGAAACAAAACTAATTTCTTTTGAGAACATTAAAGAAAGAAAAGCGTTTTAAGTGTAAATTAGGGACGCACTAATATGTAGGCTAAGAAGGTAGGCCCTACAACTATATAAACATTATCAACAAAAGTGACGCCTTCATGGTTTTACATCCCACGATTTTTTAATATTTGTTCTTATCATACAGAAGACCTGTACCTTCTGCCTTAGTAGTTTTGTCTTTTACTTACAAGTTCAGACTTCTGTAACTCACTGATAAAGATACAAATGGTGACCACAGAAAATCTTATTTATTTTTTATGAAGATACATTAAATGATACAGACATCAGAATAAAAAACAAATTGAGAAAAGCTTCAGTTGTAGCATGTTTGTCTCTCCATACAAAAATCACAGCCCATCCCTTAGTCCCCAGTTTTGAATGTCCATCTGCCCATGAAGGAGAGCAGGATGTCACATGTACAGTAGCCTGTTAGAGCCTTCTCCACCACACGGGAGCAAAGTTACACACGTCAAATGTACAAAAGTTTCCAATACACCAGTTTTTGAACTTTTTACACATCATTTGCTACAAAGTCAACACTTCAATTTCTTTTATTAGAAATATTACAAAGCCCACATTGGGACCAAACTTGCCTCTAACTCCACTGTCCACTTAAATTATGGAGTTATAATTTGCCAATCAGCATTTTAGTGCTCACCTTTATTACAGTACAAACAACAAAAGTCAAATTATGTGAAACTACAGGGGACATATTTTTTGTGTTTTCATACACAATCAATTCACTCAAGTTAGACATCACTGGTCTCCTACAGAGAAGATTAAGGCCAAATGAAAATCCAAAACAATTAGAATATAAAATAAGTCTTAACTTAATCTCACATGCCTTAATCCTCTTCTGTAGACTCCACATATTGCTTTTTTTATTCAAATTTGGTCAGATTGTTGACCCAACTTTTCATTGCTTTTTCTCAGGTTATTTTTAAATGTGTATTACACATTATGGCTTGTACATATGCAGACACATACAGAACGCCTAATGTGTTTGTCACCATGGTGATCAGTCATGGCACAGTCACCCGTGCAAATCCATGGTACGCATTTATCGAGCCTCAAAACTACACAAGATTTTGTCCTACAGATCTATGATCTCTTTAAGCTACAGGGCCATCACAAAGTTTTCTGTTGTGACCATAAGGTGAGAAATATGCCTCCAGACGCAGCTTAGCATTACACCAAGTAGTAAAAATACTACTGACTTACATCATTCATTTCCGAAAAACAATGTTAGGAAATGCAAGATGTGTACTGATCAGGCTGTCAATGATTTTGAAATGGAGACACACATCTTATTTTATGATCTGTGATTATAAATGAGAAAATATAAACTCTACATAGTTTTGACACATTGGGGAGGCCCTGCAGCCTAAAAGTGATCACTAAAAGGTAACGAGTTGTCACTGCAAACGAACTCTCAGACACATACTCTGCTGTTAACAGCCTGAATGTTACGGGCTCTAGGCCCCTGCAGCTGAAGTGAGGAGTGCAAAGCAAGTCTTATCAGACCTTCGGCTCCGACAGGTGCACACTGTCCCCCACTCCCAATACTGGAGGGATGACCCCACTAAGATGCATATATTTACATAAAGACATGGGGGAACATTGTGTGCTTTGTCATCATATTAGGATGAAAATATCTGCTTTAAATTACACATGTAAAAAACGGGTGTTATAAAAGGGCAGACAATTTAGGACGTGGAATAAAAGTCTGGACAAAGTCAACTTTTGGGAAGTAACAGAAGTGAAGGGGCGGACAAAGAACAGAGTAAAGACACAGCATCCATGTCCAGTGCACACTGTCCTTCAGTCCTCCAGGACTATGGGCTCACTGGTGCTGGAGGGCAGTAGGGGCATGGCCAGGGAGCGAGGGGGAGGGGGCAGCTTTATCCTGACCGGGAGGTGTGGCTTCCTCGCTGCTCGCCGCATCTCAGATTGGGTCAAGTGTTTCCTCAGCGCTCTGTCCAGTGACAAAGGAGGAGCTTCTTATTAGATGAACACTAAACAAAAAACACTTGATTGCATTTATATGATGTAAAATACCTGGTATCCTTGGTGGCCACAAACACCACTGGGTTGGGAGCCTCTCCTTGGTTCATTTTTGGTCGCTTGATGACAGACTGAGAGCTGGTCCTTAACCCTGATGTGTATGGCCTTCCATTGGCTGGGTAGGGAACCCCTGTTGCCTGTGAGAATAAAGCAGAGATCAATAAACAAAAGCACCTTCGTACTGAAATGCAGAAATCACAAACTTCAAATTAATATTTTATTTCCCACAAATTAATTAGTTATAAATTCAGAGTTCAATTTTTTGATCTTCTCATTTCATGACTGACAGTCGCAAACAGCACAACAAGCCAGGGGATACTGCCATCTAGCCATTAAGGTTTAGGTTTAAACTCCAAATGAAGCAGCACCACTAATGTCACTCTTAAGATGCAATGTGCTTGTGCATCAACAGATCAGAAAAGAGCATGTACTATGAACACAAAAATAACATCAGGAGTGTTGAAGCCAACTGAAATGAAAACATACAGTGTCAAAGCCTCTCTTTCCCAGCAGGCCTTGGCCCACACGTGGCTGTGTGGCTTGGTTTCTGTTGATGGGAGTTGGTGGGCCTCGGGATGCCTTGAGTTTGAGGGGAGCAGAGATGGCTGCACAGAGGAGCTTACAGTCAGTATAAACAAAGAGGAGCTGAGGACATAAAACGATTGTTCAGAGTCATACCCAGGTCTTTGACAATGGTCGCCAGTGACGGTCGAGGGATGATTTTGGTCTTAAGAGGTGTCTTAGTGGCTTTTGGCAGCCTAGTCATACCTGAACAGAAATACTTGATTAGAACACAGGACACAGCACAGAGCTGCCTAAAACACAGACAACATACACTCAGCCTTGACAGCATTGGCATTGATGGAGGCGTACGGCCGGCGGGCAGCTCGTCGTGGCTGTAGTATATCCTCACAGACTCTCCGAGCAACACGCGTCAGTTTGGTTGTCTGGAGGATGAAGGTCTGACGATTCTTGGCGAGAAGTTTGGCTCTGCCTTCATTTCGGGTGAATGGGGACATGCCCTGCACCTCCTGTCGAGTCATGTGACCTCGAGGACCTGACTCCTTAATGGAAGGATGAGACTGATTAAAGGCAGTTCAGCACATTCAGTAGATTTTAATGTTGTTCGGGATGAGACTTACAGAGCCTCCGCGGGCTGCACCCTCCAGTTGTGTGGGAGTCTTCAAGCCTCCATACTTCTTCCAGTAAATCCAGCACGATGCACATAGTCTGCACTGCATGTTTGGAGGCCCCCAGGCGTACCACTGAGGAGACTGGGCAGCTGTGGGTGACACAACAGTTTAAACAGTTAGAAGATTATATTAACATGAATTAATCTTACTGAAATAATGTTGAAGATATAAATGACTTACTGTGGCAACTCTCACAGCTGAGGCCTTTCTGAAACCCAGCGGCTCCATTCATCCCTGGTTTGCTGCCTGGCACCATGATCTGGTTGGGGTTAGGTTTGGTGCTGTGGACAGACATCACATCATTAAAGACGTAGTTCTGACAGCTTGGATTTTTGTGTTGTAATTCTCGTCATACTCACTAGGTGGGGATGTACACCTGCTTCAGCTTGCTGTCAGCTTCAGCTGCTTTTAGGCGTTTCTGATAAAACATACAGATTACATTAAATTACTATACATAATATTGTAACACAAAATGCTATACGCTGCCCTGTTATTTACCTGCTGAATGTAACGGTCTGTAGTTTTCCACATGTAGTAGAACTGCACCACACTGGCCAGTGACTTCCATGGCAGCTGCAGAGCAGAGGAAGACAAATGTTTATTTAGTGCTCTCAGTCAGGAGAACACAGTGCAGTGTTAGTAGCCACTTACAAAGTCCTGGCGGATGTCGTTGAAGTCTTTTCCATATTTCTCCAGGGCCTCCTCAAACAGCATGGCCTCAGAGGCACTCCACTCCTCCATTTCATCTCGACAGAGCACAGGGCCGCCCTGAGGAACTAAAGTGGACATGGCTTTGGCCAGGTCATAGCCATTCTTCTGCAGGGTGTCCATGGCATGGAACTGTAGAGGAAACACATTTTAATCATTTCTGCACGTGTATGTTTCCAACAGTTGTTACTGTTGTTACACTTACCAGCGTGATGTCCCTGGATGCTGCAGCGGCACTCATGTGGAGACTGGGCTGTCGGATGGAGCTGCTGCAGTCCAGTGCCCTGGCGAAAGTGCCCACCGCCCTGCAACACACAGGTAACTCTGTAGTCTTAGTGTGCTTTTGAAAGTTGTATGGTGTGTGGACATTCACTATTGCTGTTGCACTATGTTGCAGTATGTTGCACTTCATTTGTCAAAGGGTTGTTGTCTCTCACAGCTAAGACCAAAGTCAAATGTCATCATGAGGCTGGTGCGTACAAGCATCACCCCAAAAACAAACATGTTGATATAAGAAACTGCTACACCTCAAGGATTTTGGTCCAAAAGTCTGGCTAAGCTTCAGTGACAAATCTCCATGGTAACAGGCTGAGTCTGATAACTCAAGTGGGACAGATGGCTGGGTGCATACCTTGCCACCACTAGGAACTGGTCGATCTGGGAGTCTTTGAGCTGGTTGTCGGGGTCCCACACCTTGGTTTCCAGTTTCTCCTGGACTCTGGTGTCTGATTCATCTGCCAAAATAAAGGGAGCTAGTTCAACTACATGACATTACATCACTGTTAGGCTCCTGCAGCTCTAACATACCCTCAGCCAGCATGTCTGGGATCTCTGCCTGGTACTTGGAGCCCACTCGGATCTCTCCCTGGTCAGCTAGCAGTGTTTTCTGCACAGGGTCGAACACCAACGAGTAGAAGAAGCAGTCCTGAGCAGAGAACAGAGTCAAACACACTGGAGCGGAGGAGGTGAGAGGAGGTGAGTGGAGGTGAGAGGAAGTAGGAGTAAGCAGGAAGAAGTATGAGGAAGTGGGAGGAAGTGAGAGGAAGAGAGAGGAAGCAAGGGGAGGCGAGAGGAGGTCTAAGGCACATAGCACTCACCTCTTTGTCCAGGTATCCGGACAGAACGTCGGTCTCATTGAGGAGTGTCACATTACATTTGCCCCTGAGGAGACGGCACATAAGCGTTGCACACACTTACACTGTACAGATAAAATGAATTCTGAGGTACTCAAAGAAAAAAGAAAGAAAAGTACCGTATGTGTGTCGCAGGTAGAGACTCAAACTGTCGAGATAGAAACAGCTCTCTGTGCTTGAGCTGGTGTTTCTGTTGTTCTGATAGAGTTGGCTGTTTGGACTCTTCCTCAAACTCTCCTGAAAAATAGACAATTTAACCGCTATTATATTTAATTTTTCTTACATAAGCCTTTATGTTTTTCTTAACGTAATATCTACAAAACATCTAAATGATGTATCAGGCCTTTCTTGATTAAAGGGAAAAAGTTTTGCACTTAGTTATTAAAAGAATAAAGTTGCAGTTTCATAGTTAATCCAAGTGACTGGCATATCACTAGATATTCACACACACTGTACGTTTATGCTTGGCCACTAGATTGCGCATTCCTAATTTCAAGGCGGCCGAGTAATTTGTGGCAAGCTGTGGGGGCGGGACTAGAGTGCTCCATCTGCGAGGACTCCGCCCCTGCACTCAGCCACGGGAAACCCTGTGAGTGAGGCCAAGGTGGAGAGAAAAGCACAGATAGCTGCGGAGTGGAGAGGGACGCCACCTCAGGCCACACCCCCTTTCTGTTAACCTCTCACCCCCCTCTCCCTCCACCCCCTGTCCGGCTAGTCCCTGCCAGACTAAGTAGGAAACCCTGTGTGCCAAACCTGAGGTGCCCATCCCCCCCCAAAACATGTATCCCCAGAAGTCCCTCCACACGCACACACACACAAAAAGAAAACAGGGGGAGCGCACACACTTGTTCCTCACAAAGACGAGTCAGAATTAACCCATTCTGTGCCAGAGATCAAGGGCCTCTTTGTTGCCTTGAAATCGATGCGAGTGGCTGTGATGCAGATAGAGCCAGGTTTAGTGATAACATGTCCAAGAATAAGCTGGACATGTCTTGAGTGTGCCACGCTAAGCTCTGCCCCACTGGAGCAGGGCACAAACGCCACTTTGTGTCCGCTCAGGGCTGAGTGGACTTTGAAACAGAACACTCTAAACTAAAAGGACATTATGGACCAAAGCAGAGGGGTGGAGAGTTCAACAGCATCGTTTATACTTTAATATAATAATATCTTTGGACCATCTACCCATTTCCTAATATGAAAAGGTTATTAAAATCAAGATTGCACAAGTCAAGGTCATTCTAAATTTGTACATTTTTACCACAAATGGCCTTCCAGATTATTTGGACCTGCTTGTGCAGTTCTTGGCACTTTCTATGGAGCGCAAATTTAAAACTTAAAACTCAATAGTAGCCACCGAACATTTGAGACAAGACTAAACTATGAACTGCTAAACGAACAGACATGCATTCCAGAAAACTCTGTAGCGGTCTAAACCAAGGGGTTAGCAGGTTTGTAGTATTTTGTCGTTTGCAGAGGACATCATGTTACTTAACTGTAGTGTTTGGCGTTTGTGACTTGCCAATTGGAACCATTGCGAATTTGGTTTCATTGCCATTATTCAAACACAGTGGAGCTGCACAACTGAAGTGCTGATTTCTTGAATAATAAGAGTACAGATGGAATGATCTGCAACTCTAATACATATGATACTTATATTTGATATATTCATTTACACTATCTCTTCTCCATTCATATATAAGAGTTAGGCCTTTATGGAGCCGTTTTGTTATGTATTTGTGTGTGAAGATTAACGCACACTTGTACTGCACTGTGAGGGTCATATTGAGCGATCATTATTACATTCTAATAAAGCTACTGGGATTCTTTTTGGTTTAATATCATTGGTATAAATCATTGAAAATTAGAAGATATTAATCTGATGAAATCAAGTGTTGGATTTGTTTATGAAATGATAAGATGTAGGCCAATAAAATCCTTTCATACTTTTTACTGAGATGCAATTGTGAAAGATGATGTTATTAAGTTTCAATCCAATAAAAAGTCTTATGTTGAAAGGATTGTTCCAGTGATACTGGGAATTCAATTTTTAATACCTACTGTATCACAAGACCTGTGCCAGAGATGGTGTGTGTTAGGACTTCCTGTGTGTGGTGCATTGATTTGCACTGGGCTGTTGTAGACGTCTTTGTCTGGAGCCTCAGGAGGAAGAGAAGGTGGCGGGCTGCGGTGGGGTGTGGGGAGTGGGGAGTGTCTGATCAGGCATCAGTCGTCTGCATACCATTAGCACCAGTCCCCCTCACCCCCCTCCTGTTCCTCCTCCTCCTCTGAGCCCAGACTGAGCCATCGGGACGGGTGCACAGCACTGCACGCTACACAACAATGTGACATTTGGGCAGAAAATCCTGTCACCACCAGCACACTTCATTTGAATATAATTCATGAAAGCTCTCACATTGGCTTCATGTCATAACACTCTTATATCTATCACCATGTTAAAGAATGGGTTAAAATTACCATATTTGTACAGTATCTGTTACACTTGATGTTCAGCACATTTGGCTGTCTGTAGTATTTTTAGACAGTGAGAGTTACATTATGTCATAGGACAAAAATCAACAAAACCATGCAGAACTACAAGTCCCATACCATGAATGACCAATCGTCTCGTCAAACTATGTTCCTACATTCCTCACACACAGATTCTAGGATGTGATGATGTTATACTCTCAAATGGGGGCAAGAGGCAGGTTTCACTATTCATTATATTGACCTTTCATTGAAATATCTTAAAGAACAATAACAATGTTGCCCTTGATAATTTCTGATGTGAATATTGACTAGACTCTTGCTGTATTACAAATAAACTGCCTTTTAACAATTCTAATTTATTAAATATTACTGGCCAGTAGAAAGTTTAGATGTCATCTGAAACCCAGATAATTAGAGCTTTGTTATGTGTTAAGTGTCTCTGTGTAATACCCACTTGCGTTGCTGTCAGCCAGAGTGTTGAGGTTTCCTGAGATGTCCCTCCTCCTGAACAGACACACCACTTTGGCCTCCACGTTGCCATTGGCAGTCTGTGGGACATGGAACAAGTCAAGATCCACTTTCAACAGATAACAAACAGTAGTGCAAACATGAGCATTACAGATAATATATCACAGAGGGTGTCTTTAGGCAATATCAGATTAAAGTGATGAAAGCTGGCATTGTGTTATTCACATCAAAGTGTGTAATAATTATGCAACATTTGTGTTTGTTTAAGGACATTATGCATTTACCAGTTTCAGTTTCATTCAGTAATTATTTAGTTGTTTGATCATATTTGACCAACAGAATTTTTACTGTCACACAGGAATATAAAATGGGAGGTAGTTCATAATTTATTTAACACAAATGCTGTTATTTAATTCCATTGAAACCTATTAGACCAGACCTATTGCATCAATTAAAACTGTAAAACATTTATTCCAATATTTAGGTTGATAACCACCAAAGGAAAATGACAGGAGCTTTATATACTCAGGAGTATACTACTGTACTACTGCATTTTTTCCACTATAATTACTTTTAGACTCGTAATGTTTTTGTGCATTGTTGACAGCCCTCACTTTCTTGTTTACTACTCTAATGTAAAATAGGTGATGAGCTGAGCAGCCATTGGGCCCGTGGATGAGGCTAAAGCGCACCAGTTAAAGAGTTATATAAATGCGTTTAATCCTGAGACTGTGTCACTAGTGCTGGGTGTTATAGAGCAGCCTGGGCCATACTCCACTGTTATTACACTGGCCATAATTAACACTCTGCATCCAACAAGTGCAGCTGCTTTCCACATGCAGCTACAGTCAAGGCACGAGGATACAATGGGCTCAACTAGCTACAGTATGGGTGAAAATAATCACTCCTTCCAATTGTACACTTTAAAACAAATAAACGAAAAGAAGTCACAAAGCAAAAAGGGTTAGATATTCTGTACGCTGTAGTGTTGACATTCTAGGGGCTGTATGGTGCAGGGCTGTTCAAAGTAAAGAGTATATGTCCTTAATCTATGGGTCAACCTCGGTCAAAAAGCTTTCCACAGAGCCTTATCAGTCTCAGTTTTTCAAATCCAGTTTCAGTCCACAGAACAAGACACAAATTCGATTACGTCTGAAATAAATTGCATAGAAAACAGCAATTTGAGGAAGTTTAGATATATAAGGCATTGCAATCTTTTCTAAAACAAGCAGCTATGATTGGTGAGGGAGGATAAATGTAGTGAGGAAGGGTCTGAGTAAGATTGGATTCATACTAATGCATGAAAACAAATGGGGCAAAGACTGTACCTTGTTGAGCTCCTCTATTCTCCGGATCAGGTACGGGTTACTGGAGGAGTTTTCAAAGTAGACATAATCTGCAAGAGACACACAACGCAACACTTTAGACTGACTGGAATTAAACAGGAAGTGGTGGTGATGGTCAAAAAACCCTGCTTTATTTCCTGGTAAAGTTGTAGCACATTTAACCTGTGGCCTGTCATTCTAACAGTGACAGTTGTGAAAGCCGCAGCCTGGCAGCTCGCTCACAAGACTGCTGTAATGTGAGCAGCAGAAGCACTCAGCTGTGGATCTGACACTGCTCTCAGCCTTCATTTAATTACACACACGTTCTATCAATTCTCTTAGCAGCTTATCATTTGTTGTGGAAGCATAGTGTTTACAATAAACCCGAATAATTAATTAGTATGGTTGTAGCGCATTGTCTTTTCACATTGTCACAATATTGTCCCAAGTACTGACAAAACTCTCAGTGTCACAGTTAAAGATTTAAGCAGCAGACCTATGCGCTTATATCTGACAATGAACACTGCTGCAGAATCAAGTCAAAAATCAAACTCAGTGTCATTCAATTGTTTCCAACACTAAAAAAACTGTAAAGCGGACCTGCAACGTTAAAATATGTTAAAATAAATGTTCAGCAACTAGAGGTGTGAGAAAATAAAAGTACAAATATGCCATATCTGATTTGAAACAGATCAGAATAGAACAGGTTTTATTCTTCATTTTTTGCATGGAGGGGATAAGTCAAAACGATGATTAAATATTTCACAAATTATGACAATGCCTAATGCTTGATGCTTCAAAAACCTCCTGGCATCTCAACACCAGACACAAGTCTAATTTTTCAACCGTAGGACGCCGTTAGAACCAAATACACTGTCCTATCACTCTATAAAATGGAACGGCACAGAACACTTATAGACTCATCAAAACCTGTTGTCTATTGCTCAAGACGGAGCTCGTGCCAGCGCCTTCCCATCCGGCTCCATCTGCTCCTCCCACGAGCACGGACAGAGCCTGCGGAGGACACGGGCCGCTTCAGAGTTCCTACGAGGCTGGGATTTTGTGCTCTACTTAGCAGCACAGTGATGGAGGGACAGGGGCGGCAGCATCACCTCTGTGTTACATAAGACAGACGGGCTGAAGCAGCACAAGGGAAAGTGCTCGCTCATGCCTCTGACATGATGGAGCGGGGCATTCATGTTATTCATGTTATAGGGCCCCATGTTGTCTCAGCAACACCAGGGCCATGGCTGTTCCACTGGAGGCACAAATATTGATCAGGGAGACAGACACTGGGCTAGAGCCAGACGCAGACCAAAGCGGCATCTACATGCATTATAACCCCATCAGAAGGATGGTGTTTTCTGATTGTAAAAGGTAAAATTTGGGCATTGTGAACAGATATTGATATTATTATTCACCATATACTGTAATGTTGTAAAGGAAGTTTTAAAATCGCATTATTCCAAAGTACAGATAAATCTAAAATAGTCCCAAACCACTCTGATGAACTTGCATCACTAAAATGATGGTATTGAGGTGCATGGTGAAATGCGCTTTTAGTAATAGTGTGCTCCATATTGTTTTTCAGCACTAAGGAACAAATTAACTGATGACTCCTTTGAGCTGGCTGAGGGTGTATCGATCAGTGACGCACGACAGGACAGATCCGGCCAAATAGATAAATAAATAAATAACGGATGCTTCTCTTCTGCTTCTAATTTGCCTGTTGTATCCTCCGTAATGATGCCGTGTGTTTGTGGACCTGGATCACAAGGATCACAAGGATCACAGCACAGACCTGACACTGAAGTCAGGAGTGTGGTGGTAGTCAGCTCGAGTGGCGCAGTGTGGCGGCCGCTTTAGGCTGAATGAAGAGGAGGAAGCCCTTTGACTAATCTCAGGGGAGGATAATGATCTTACGTGCGAGCTGAACACTGTGTGCTTCTGCTAATGTAGGCCCTGCTCTCACTGACGAGCCTGCTGCCTGCAACAAAGGAAAACCTGATTCAATACTTGAATCAATACACATCAACACGCTGAAGAAGCCTAAAAGACTGAAAACATGTCCGCCACAGCATGCATTAGGAAACACATCTTGCAATGCGCTACACAAATTAACATTGTTTTTATTCTCCAATTAAGCACTTGGCAAGCTATTACATAACAATACAACATCTTTACATACATTGCACAGTTGACTGTTTTCTTTTCCCTCTTCATAGTTTAAAGTGAACCAGGGGCATGTGGGTGCATTAAACAGATCACACTGCACATCTATCACCAATACCAATGCCTAAAGTTCTGAATATGGTAATGTTTTAGGCAGTGGACACAAGCCCATCATATTTACACCAAGTGAACCCTAACAGCAAGAGAGAGGGGGGGGGGGGTGCTACTGGTAATTTCCTCTACTTAAAATTATATTTGGGAAGTACAGTCATGCAATACACTGTACCAAATGCAAAAGGTACTGACATGTGAATTGTACATGTCACAGACAGCACTGTGACCACACTCAGAGAAGCTCAGACCCAAACAGTGCAGCCTGGACCCGGCGAAGTGACATATGTGTAGTAGTCAGCACTGCAGCCGTAAGTGAAGCCTATCCAGTAATAAGGGGCTGTAAAGACATTCGGGACTGAACTACAAACTAACCCGGGGCTGTCTACTGTGAATGATTTCAGTCAAAAGGTCTCACTTGTGTCTCCGCGCCTTTTGCTGGAGCAGGATCAAAACGTGCGCACAACTTCGCAGCGCACGTACTAAAGACCGTCTGTCAAGCCACTGTCAACATTAAAGCCACAAATGTCAGCCGGCTGGAGTGCTTAAGCCGAGCAAACAGCCCGCACGGATAACGCAAGTGCATGAAAAGATATGGCGGAGGGGATAATGACTTTAACCCGCCCCACTGTGCGGCCAACAGGGCGAAATAGTCAATACGCTGATTGCTGGATAGCTGCTAGGTTAACTGCTAACGATTAGCATTGTGACTTCCCCATTCTGCGATACAAACTCAGAATCACTCCACTGAAATGCCACATCTTAAAAATGGTATGAGATGTTGTAATAAAATGATAACAACACACAAAACACATGTATGATCAATTATAATATCAAACTTTAAGGACATAGTGCCACGAACTGTCGACCGAGTAGTTCGCGTATCGCCGGGGTCAGCTTCACAAGTTCATCATTTTATTAAAAAAATAAAAACAATTAAAAATAGAGAAAAGTCAGTCAGAGTTTATAAGCGTGGCTCTAAAAGTAAAAGTGTGCACAGTGAAATAAAATATATGATTTGTTTTGGCAGAAGTGCAACACAACTCCAGTTTTCCCACACTAGTTTCATAGATTTTGACGTTCTTCCTCGCGGACAGAACGTACCGACGCTACCATTGGTTAGCTTCTGTTAGCTTCAGTTAGCAGCCAGCAGACAGCTAAAGGCTAGTTAGCCACCTAGCTCCCGAACCGAACAATCACGTTGTGGGGGTGTCTCAAAAACGTAAAACAACCCTTACCTCCTACTCGGTACATGTTAGCCGCCATTCTCTCGTGGCCTTCTGGAAAACTATCCCAGGGAATAGTCCGCTTGGGTTGAACAAAAGTCGACGTGGATCTCTTTTATTCCTTCATTTATCGCAGACACCCCCGCCGCGAAACAAAGCCGGCTCCGGGCATAAGCCGATGAGTGACGGCTAAAAGTTGAAAGTTCCGATAGTAATGTTCCAAAACTGTTTGTTCTTTGTTTTTCGGCCCCCCAGACGACCTTCCTCTCCTCTTCCTCACTCACTCATTCACACAGTGCTACAGCCTGTCTCTTACTCCACTCTTCCTCCCATCCTCCGCTCCCAGCTTCATCCTCCTCTTCTTCACCTCCGCTCAGTTCAACACACACACACACGCACACACACACAAACTGCACACACACAAACTGCACACACTCACTGGCCCCCTTCGCTCGTTCGTGTGCAAATCGTCATCTTCGGAGACTTTCGACAATCACCGGCACCTCTAGCCTATATTCTTTTAATAGATCTGAGGAGGTCATGACTTTATTGATAAATTACTTTCAAAACAATTTCTTGCTGGAAACTTGTGTTCCACCAGAGTCTTCTTTCAACCATGACCACTGACCAATTAGCAAATTGGGCTCATTTTAATGTCTGCTTGTACCATGAAAGTAAATTATATTAAAAAAATTTAATAACAAGGCGTCGCTACAACTATCTCCTTCAGCACACAGAAGATCCACGCGCCCATAAAAGCAGATTACAGGGATGCAGACACTGGATTTGCCTTTTAGTCACTATCGATTTATTTATTTATTTTTATTTATATGTGTGTCAAATATATAGTTTATTTACTATTTAGGTTTACTAAGATTTCTCCTGTTTGCGTTACAAAAATAGTTAGGGAAAGGAAGAGTTGGAAAAGTAGTCAGCGTGCCTCAAAATGTGGAGCAATACTGCCCACCACTGGACACCACTACACAACACATTTTGCAAAGTTCAGTTGCTTTATTTTGAAGATAGAAATTAAATACAATACACAAAAAATTACATCAAGCTCCTTCTTGGGCATATCATGATGTATTAGAGTTAAACAGTCACAGTCTGTATGGCATAATATACAGCATCTATGTAAGCTGTGAAGTCAAACACTGACAATAAACACAAATAGAAATCTTTGGTAAACAGGTTTGAAATTAGGCAGTAACAGGAATGTTCACAATTAATCAACAACTTGTCACCTGAAAACAAAAAGGCTTTGTTATTTTTGAGTTTAAAAGAGTATTCCTCTTCTTACATGGCATGTATAAATCTTGCTCGGGCTTTAACAGTCCATAGCCAAAATTAGCAAAATAGTCCACATGCAAACATCGACTCTCTGTAAACCATTTAGCACTAGCTGACAGCAGGCTCTGGAGAACTGGTGGACGTAGAAGACAAAGATGCCAGCCTCTCTCTGCTGTCCCCCACTCTTTGAACCTTCCACTGCAGAATACAGGTGTCCTTCCCACCCATAGAAAGAAGGTGAGAGTCGCTGTAGGTGAAACAAACGTTGGTCACATGACTGCCATGGCCCTCGTACTTGTGGCTTGGTGCCTGCAGAACAAAGGACATGAGTACACAGTCAAATCTCTATGCAAATGTACTGTCACATTTAGGAATGTCACAAAATACTAATTCATATAGTATTACTGTTAGAAAAAACACAATTCTACAGGATTACTTGAGGATTACTGACACCATGAACAGACAAAAGTGAAATCCCTAATTTTCTCTAATACGTGACTATATTTTGGAACTAAAAAATGAATTGTACGTTAGTTTGCTTCTAAATGTTTCAAAATTTAACAAAAGTTTCAAGTTAAATTCTGACCTGAAAACCACACAATTGTAATTTAATCTAATAATCCTGACCTCCAATTAGTTATCACTTCTTACATGGTCAAAATAAGAGTTTTTACTTAAAAAAATAGACTGCTACCTTTCTTATCCAGCGAAAAAACATATTTAAAACACGGTTAGGCGATTACAATAGGTTTTTAAGGTAGACAATCTAATTTTTGCACCCAAACACCTTTAATACGTAGAGACCAGACTTAAAGCTTTACTTATGCGAGCCTACCTACCTTGGGTTTGGGACAGGGGTACTGGAACAGGTGCACTTTACAGAAGTCATCAGCCACAGCCACCACTCTCTCATTGTGAGAGCGACACAAAGCATTGATGTCAGTGCCGTCAGAACCCTCCAGCCACACCCCTGAACACAGCCAGTAATAATCAGCCACATAATACAATTGTTTTCTTAGAACACGTTTCACTTTCTTACCCATAACATGAAAGCCCAGCACACATGTATATGAGGCCCATTCTCTGTCTTTGCTTTCATAGCGATTTCGTAATAGTTTACAGCCTCCGGCAATGTCCCCTGTCAAAGCACAAGCAGTTTAAGCTTACAGTACATCTGCAAAAAGTAGTCAAACAGTGCGCTGGTGTTCTCACAGTAAAGGATTTCATAGTCTCCGGAATTAGACATGATGTACTTCCCATCTTTAGACCAGTCTAGGTGAGTTATAAAGCTGGAGTGGCCCTAAATGAAGGGGAAAAAAATTGACATAATACATTTAAGCACAGTTCATCAGTCTGCACAAATATAGTTTCATTAAAAAAAACAGGGATTATGTTGTGACCTTCAACTCAAAATCTCAACTCAATAATTTTGGACTTTGTATTGTATTCACTTGCTCTCTGTATTTTTTACTGCTCAAAACAAAAACAAAAAAATCATCCAGGACTAATTTAACAAGAAGAAAAATACCTTAATACGTTTTATATAGGCAATATGAAATACAAATATATATTCTGAGTATTAAGCTTAATGGATTTGTTTAAACATATGGACTTAATTAGTTTTGCAGCTCTACTCACGTTACATTTCCCAAAGCGCGAATAGCGTCGGCCATTCTCAGTCACACTGTAGATATAGATGAAGTTGTCATGAGACCCAACCGCTAGAAAGCTGCCATCTGAAAATACAACAGGCCATTCATAGTTAAAGGGGGTTTCCACTTTGTCTTTCTTTTACGACCCATTTTATGAAATCTTGCACAATGCCAAGATTCTGTTTTTGAATTTTCCGAAATAGACAGAAAGAACAAGCCAGCGTTATAATTTTTAGTCTCTAAAAGTGTTGTTGATGGACAAACCTGGGGAGTATCTCATGACAGACAGTTGCTCATTGCCATCTATGGACTCAGAGACCACCTCCCTTGTGAGCAGGTCCAGAACCAGCCACCTGTCAGTGCAACAAGTGCACAAGTGTGAACAAAGGCCCAATGCACAATTGTTATTGCCCCACTCAACAGAGACAAAAGTAATTTGCCCTTGAGTGTTGTTTGTTTGAAATACAGTGATGTGTTTTTATTAACAAAATAGACAAATAATATCTTACTTTCCTGTGCTGAGGCCAATTGATACCACTGATCCTACAGGACTGAAGTCTGCACATAAGCCATACTCCTGTCAGAGAGAGAGTTATTACAACATACAGTCAACTTCACTTACATTTCTATTATACGCTTATATAAGACTCTTGCTCAAATTTCAGCTGTGGTGCCTCCTTACCTCCAGGGTGGTACACCAGTCCATCTTGTGCTCTTCGGCATTCCACAGAAACACCTGCTTGTCATTCCCACAAGAGAGGAAAACATCCTGAGCGGGATGTGTGGCCAGGCCCCACATCTCATCCACATGGCCCTAAAAACATTACTATTACTACAGTTCAACTAGAGAAGCTAATAACAATATAATAATAATAAGTCTCACCTGGACTATAACCACAAATCCGTCTGAGAAGCTTCCTCTGAGAATAGCATTTCTAGTTGTGCCCACTAAAAGTTCTACTCCATCAACATCGGCAAGAGTCCGAACTGCTCCGAACTTCTCTGGAATCTGCCACAGTGTACACAAAATTTATCAAGACTTCCACGGCTGTAAATGAGCAAATATAGAGTGGATCTCCAGACGTGGATCACCTCACACTCTCTCTCAGGGGCCAGGTCGGCACTCCAGCGGATTATCTTCCGGTCCTTGCCCCCTCCACTCAGCAGACCTCCACCAGGCAGAGTGCACAGGGTAAACACGCTGCCTTCATGGGCCTTGGTCTGACGCATGATCTGGAAGGTCTCTGGGAATGAAAGTGCAAATGACAGGTTAGACTACTCATTTCACAAAAACATTGTAAATATTTCATAGTTTCCTCTAGTGTGATCATTTTGTTGTTGTATAATTTTATTCTTGGTTGGACAAGGGCAGCACACAGATAGAGGCAATTTCATAACTAACAACCATACCATAAACAAAGGCCAAAGCTTGTAAAATTCACACAACTTATTATTTAACAACTAAAATTTTATTTCCTTTGGGTAAAAGTATCTATGTATGTAAGTATCTATGTATGTAAGTATGTAAGTAAGTATGTATGTATGTATGTACTGTATGTACTGTATGTATGTATATGTACTTTTAAAACAAGGTTTACAAGGTTTGTAGCTGTACAAGCAGCAATGAAACAAAAAGCATAAAAATAGCATACAAGAAAGCATACAAAAAACAGACAATTATGCAAAAAAATCAATTAATTATAATAAATAAATAAAAAGAAATTGAATAAAAAGAAATAAGGAATAAAATCAAGCTAAAACCAGTTAAAGGAAGGCCAACCAATAAAAACTGGTTTTAAGAAGTGATTTAAAAGATGATACTGATGGTGCAAGCCTTATCTCCTCAGGCAGGTCATTCCAAAGCCAAGGCACCCAGACTGAAAAGGCTTCATCAGCCTTCATCCGGAGCCTGGACTTTGGAACAGCCTCAGGGACCTGCGATCAATACTTGCGAGTGAGAATCAGTGCTTTGGGATCTGTATCTGCTATGTCAAGTGTATTAGATCAAATCTAAATTGCAGAAAGGAACTGGTGTAAAATCTTGTCACATGAATTCCCCAACCTTTAGCTCCTTTGCCGAGGGTTTTGATGTCTGCAGCCGATTTGCCCCATGTCAGAATGTTACCCTCTGAGTCTCCGGTCAGCACATCCCCAGTCAGGCTGAACACGAAGCACTGAATAAACTTAGGCTTCTTGTATTTCTGATGCAGAAAGAAAAAACATATTAACATCACAGATTATAACTTTAAGTATTTTACATATGGAAGTGGTAAAAAAAATAAATGGTAAACTATATTTGAACAGATGTGGTATCTTTATATCACTCCCACTTCCCATAACAAGTCTCAATTCTTCCTTCCCAGTTCCTTGTTTTAAACTTCTCTTCTCAATAGCAACAGCTCGGGTGCTACAAATACAACTGGCACAAGAAACTAGAAATGGCCTTACTCCAAAGATGCCCTGTTTCTTGGTAAATTGCCCCGCGCTGAAGGTCCAGAAGTAAACATGGGATTTTCCACAGGTGATGATGTTGTTACTGTCACTGGGGTTGAAATCCACCGCGAAAACAGCCTCGTTGGTGCTCTAAAACATTAAATACACTTTGAATTACTTCCATTTTTCAAATACGTATCAAATCTAATTGCAATGTTATTAAGACAGCATATCATAAATGTCATGAGAACATTAAGGGTCTTTGCTGTTGCTGTTTGCTTTTAGGGGCTTCTGTACTCAAGCTGCCCTGAGAATAATTTCAGCTTGGTTGTCGAGGCAACGGTGTAAATATTTTATACAGTGAAATGTGTGGAGCGTTTATGTTCTGTGATTTCTGCGATGCATGGACTGGAACACATTCAAGATGTTTCGCATGTTGGTCTCATGTAGTGTATGAGGGTTAGAAGCAGTATCTACAAGCAGCATCTATTTCATAACAAAAAGCCTAAAAACCAAACCAAGACTATTCAAATAGAGTTTTTCTTGTAAATGGTTGAGGCTGTGTTCTAAAATATGGTATAATTGTTTTAGTACGGAGTTCTCATGTTGATGTGGCACATGTGGAGTACAGTAGAGGGGTGGACAGGCCAAGTCAAAGGCACACTGTACAAACACACAAGTTCATCCAACAGGAACAGCGTAATTATACCCCCACCCCCTCGCAGCAGTGGAACAGTCCATATGCCACTGGACAGCAGCACCGTGAAGGAGCGTTTTGTGTGGATCTGGACACACTATAAGCACGCTCACGAGATGTGTCTTTCATAATGTGTTGAAAGAAATTAAAGCTTGATTTTGGCTGCCCTTTCTCAGTCTGATTATATATAGATATAAACACTATCCTGAAACGTGACCTCACATGCAACTATTCTTGCAACTAGGTGGTGATTTACTTAACAAGCAAGGATCCAAACTTTAATTAGACCAGGACTAAGCTTGGACGAGAATAGGACCAAACCAGTACAAAGATGAATGCAGTGGGTCTGAGCAGTCTGAGTATTAGCAAAAAGTTTGACCAATCAGAATCTATAACTCTTATCATTGAATATAATAAAGGTTACACTTAAAGTTACATTTTGTTTTGTGAATTATTCTTTGTAATAATATCAGTATAATAAAGGCATATCTTACCTTGACCTCTGCGTGTTTGGTGCCTTTGTTGGCGTCCCACACTGACAGCATGTGTTCATTAGAGTCGTCGATCACACACAGGAATGCACCTGAATCCTACAAATAAACAAATATAACTTTTACTTATTATATTTATGACAATATCTGAACCAACTGCGAGTCCAACTCACAGCAAATGAAAAGGCGACAGATCCAACTCCCCTCTGAAACGTGCCCAAACCAATCTGCTGCAGAGTGACGAGGGTGCTGGAGTCCCAGATGTGAACACAAGGCAACAGTGGCTAAGGCAAAAAATATGAATAATGTGTAAGTTATGAACACATATATGGCTTTAATAATTGCTTGCTTTGGCTGATGTCGTCCATGGCAGTTTTAAACTCTAAACGTATGCATAGATACGTTAATTTTTATTTGGTTCAGTAGTTTTGGTAAATTAAAAGCATTTCTTTTTAACACATTCAAAATAATCTTGTAATATCATTTCAACAGGTCCCTTGTGACAATGACACATTAAATCTCAAGAGGATAAAGGATTAATAGTACCAATAAAAATCTTCACCAAAATTGAGTAGTACTAAGTTACCTTGTCTTTGTCCACACCTGCTGTCTGACCAGAGGCTATTCGCACCTTATCAGGATGGATGGTGAGACTAAACAAAAAAATATTCAGAAGCTGCTAATAAATTCTTTAGTATAAATGTATTGGTGTGTGACTGACCAGCGCACACAGTCCGTGTGTTTTCGATAGTGCCTCTGTGTGCGGTTGTTGATGTGGTACAGTACAACCACACAGGCGATGAAGTAAACCGCCTCACCCGTGGGAAGAAAGTATAAGTTTGCACGACAGTCTCTGCCTCTGTAACCGTAACTGGAGAGGTGCAGTCAAGGAGAAAACTAGTAGTCACTAAACACACTTCTTTCTGCACATGATTAATCCAAACAATGTATGTTAAATAGCTCAAAGCAAACGTAAAATCCGTATAGGATACACCCAGTCCAGTTCTAGCCTCTCGGAGGGAGTGTCCATTTTCAAGTCTTCATAGTTGTGGATGTTGGAAGGTATGTACATAGTAATGGGCCGACCTCTGATGAACATTTTTATAGACTGTCCTGTGGGGTTAGAAAAAGACAAGAAAAATATGGTTAAGCACATATAAATATAACAGCATGTAATGAAAGAGGAAATAACCATCTAATACCATGGCTGTAGGTTCCTCTCCTGGATCCTGACCCTATGTGAAAAGCCAGACATGAAAATTAGAATACTGTGCTTGTATTTTGTATAACTCCAAGTCCCATTCACATCACATATGCACTAGCAAACATTATTCATGGCCAAATGTAAGATGTACTTGAGTTAGCTCAACCAGCGCAGACTAGGGGAGCAGAAGGGAGTTTTTGGCTTCTGCAGATCTGTCCATCATCAGGAGGTACAGTCAGGCTAACCACAGGTCAGCTCCAGCAGGGTGTGTTTAACTTCCCAAGAACGCTTATAAAATCTGATGGCACATCCACAGAGAAGAAACATTGGCTCGCTTAGCCGTATAGTTTGAGCCATGGGGGCTTGGTATGAGTTTTGGCAGACTGTGGACTATTTACACACTATCTAAATACTGGATAGTCCAATTATACGCTAACTACTCAGACATTTCCAACTGTCAAAAAGTCAGTGCTGGTTAAAGGGCTAACATTATGTTTTTATATATTATTTTTGTATGAGCTGCAAAAAAATCCAACTAATGTTACACTTCCTACATAGAGGCAATTTGAGCACTGACATGATTAGAACAAGTATAGATCTCTGGACAATAAAGAAATAAAAGACATCATGGATAATTCAAGGTACATTTTTTTATGCGGATACATTATAAAAGCATAACAGCACAAAATATCCAATTTGCTCAATAAAGGTCCTCGATACCATCACAAACACAATGTGTCCTCATATTCTCCGAGCTGCAGCCCTGAGGCCTAAAGAGGGCTAACTGAACTCAAACAGAGCTGCCTCCCCTGAGTTCCTAACCACAGTTGTGGCTTGTTGGGAAATGCACTCATTTGCGTTCAAACGGCTCCATAGGAGAAGTGCCAAGGGTCTGGGCACATGTACAGCTCCAGCACAGTCCTGGCCACAGAGCAGAGGAACATGGGAGAGTTCACTGAAGAGATGATAATCATCAATCAGTTCAAACCGCGTTTGGATGTACAGCAGTATTTTGGCTCAGGAAAAAAAACACTGTGTTACAGTGCACGGTCAGGTGAAAGGTCAACTGCCAAGTGTATTATACTATACTGCATTATACTGTATCACAAACGTGACAGTCAAATCCCCCTTATATCTCACATGAACTATGCAGGGAAATGTAGGTTACACTGTCTACTGAGTCATTGCTGAAAAAGAATTTAAGTTTCGGTTTGATGATGCAAGGTTTTCATTTTGCATATTATCAGGGTATTTACATTTTTAACTTTTTATTGTTTTAATTATAAAACGAAAACTCCAAAGAAACAAGATGAGGAAAAACAAACTCACTGTTGCTTTGGATACTTTCATGTGGAAGTTAAGCAAACTGCTTAATATAACAGAAATGCAGTATAACAGCTAAGCAGAGGACAACTCAAGTACAAAATCAAATGACTTTTTATGTATTTTTATTCAATACAATAAGAGAAACACATCACCTGCACTGGAAACCAGATCCTTGGCCCGGCTGTAGAGAGAGAGAGGAGACAGATATGAACGGCCGGATCAGTCAATAGCACGCACTTGTGAGGCTGTTCATGGGAATGGAATGTTATGATCCATGCAGGCCACCCCTTTTCCAGCAGCGTCTTTTTGATGAGATGTGAGAGGAAAAAGTGAACAGTTGGTGACAGCTGTGTGGTGGGAGCACTCACTTCTCCAGGCTGGGGGAGCGCATCAGGAGGTTGGCCGAGGACGCTGCCTTCTTCTCCAGTCGTTTCTTTGGCTTGTCATTGACCAGCTTCTCACTGTTCCTCCTGACCCTAGAGTCACAGGAGACATTACACTGTTATTGTTATTATCCAACACTGTGTATGATTTATTTATTATTAATGATTTGGAAATATTAGTGTAATTAGTCCTCAATTGCACCTTGCAAAAAAACAAAGCAGCAGTGGTGTTAAAAATAAGTACAAGAAAGTAAGTGAATAGGAATCAAAATAAGCAAAGAAACACCCCCTTTATAGGCCAACTTTGATTACACAGTGTGCTATTTTTGCTTGAGAAATGGGCCACTACGTAATTAGGTGCCCTCAGCTCTAGATATAACAATGGCTACATGATGAATATTAAAGGAAATGTATGTAAGATTTTGATTCCATAAACATGGCCTAAATGTGTCCGCAGATGTGAGGTGGACATGGTCAAATTAAATATAACTCTTACAGATAACAACTGTAACGCTGATTCATTCTTAATTACAAAAACGTTGGATGATGTCAGATTTATTTGCTTTGTAGCTGATAGCTAAGGTCAATTAAATAAAAATCAATCAATTAACCTGCCCAGGGACGACAGATGGAAATTAGCACTGGAGCTACAACCTGGTACAATGCGTCTCTCCTGTTAAGGTTAATGTATATTGTGCACTGTCCCTGTCTCATTAAATAAACAAAATAAAATAAACATGAGTGAAAATTCAGTTGGTTTAAGGACTCGCTCGCTGATCTGAATCAACACTGCTCAAACCCAAGCATCTGCAGCTGACTGTTACTCAGTGCCTTTGCTGCTAAAGTTTATGCTCTTTGCACTGAGAATGAGGAAAACTTGTCTGTGTCCTCTATATGCAGTTTAAGGCAATGGCAACATGGCTCTGCTGTGACTGTGATACCTTTATAATCTAATCCTTTAAAGTAGGTTATTCTGTATTGTGGCCAAGATTTTACCAGAGATGGTAACAATAACTCTTGCAAAGATTTGCGTCAATGGATTTTGAGAAGTGAAAGTTGTAGCATCTGTCTCCCCTTCCTTCACAACACATCTGCATAAAAAGGAGAGTTAGTAAAACACAGATGTAGTCACAAGTCACCTTGTTATCTGTGCTAGACCTAATGACAGCATGCAAGACATATTTAGAGGATTGGATTGGTTAAATGATTAAAAACAGATTGCTACAAACCACAGTTTAAACATTTACCCTGAATTTTATGTTTTGAAAGGTAGTAAATAAATACATAAAACAGCACACCCCAAACCCACTGGTACAGTACCCTTACCCTTTTGTGCCCTCACCCTTCACATCATATTTTCCACAGGGGCAAAATGTGTTTGCTGCATAGCTAATCCTGGAGCCATCACTCAGAGAGGCCTTGGTTTTCAGCTCTCCTTGTGTGGAAAAACAGATTATGACAACACTCACATTTTTGGGTTTTACTCTATTGCGATTTCAAAACTTCCCGCATTGTCCAATTTCATAAACAACTTAAGCATTTAATTATTTGGGAACCCGGACTAAAATGCTCTCATGATTGCCACTGTGATAAGACTGTATACATCAAGTAAATGCTGAACTGAGGTTTGTAGTCACACTAGACAGAAGAAAATGTGATTGGTCAAAAGCCATGCAGGTGAAGTAAAACATGAAGTAGTAGTAGACCAGGCCAAAGGAGGGGACGCACAGGGCCTTCTTGTCTCCCTCCAGGATGGGAGACAGTGGGGCTGATCGCAGGTTTTGGTCAGGGCTCCTGCCCAGGGTAGAGGTGGGGCTCTGTTCATCTGGAGAGGAGCTGCGGTCCAGGTAGTCCTCCCTCTGTAGGCTTCTGATATTGGTGGGCTGGATGGGCTCCTCTATGGCAGAAGACCAGCCCATCTCCTTGTCCTGCCCCTCACTGCCTCCGTCCTCCTCCTCAGGTTCCTCTGTTTCTTCGTCGATACCTGCCACACGGTGGAGCTTAGCACGGGTGCTATCAACAGACTGGTCTGTGTTTTCACGGGGGAGGCCATCTTCCAGGTGGAGGCTGCGCATGCCTCTGCTCAGGTCCAACACAGGTTTGGTTTGAGGTGTCTCCAGCCCAGGCAGGGGGAGTTCAGTCTGAGTGGATCTGTCCTGAGTGGAGGGTTCAGTCCTGGGCTCCACGGACAGTGGGGCTGCTGTGGGGCCATTTGTACTGTGCACTGAGCTGTTGTTGGACACATGGCTGGACATAATTCACAAGTGAGTTAACAAAAAACATTTACAGCATGTATTCACATTCAAAACTGCAACATCAGGAAACCTACTTTAGTACTTTAGACTTTGATATCACAAAACTGGCTATGAAACATTTATAGCCCTCACACCATTGACGTCCCACATTGCCCTGACCTTTTCTGCAGTATAAAGTGCCCTTGCTGCATACTGCATGTTCATGATCTGTTCAGTTATTTAACACATTCATGCTAATTAGATGCTACTCTTACTGAGCAATTGTTGTACCCTACAAAATAAAAAAAAACAAATGAAAAAGCTCTTTACTATTTAGTTTAGTTGTTAATACAATGCTATAAATTGTGATTCAGAGGAATTGTATCGTGCTTGTCTATTTTGAAATGGACTATGCATTCAGAATAATAATATATTTGAATGCAGTTTGCATAAAATGCAGAGCTTTATGGAGCAAAACTTTACCTGAAGTTCCTTTATTTTCCCCTGCTATTGCACCAAACTGTATTTTAGTGCTCTGTATGAACAGTCCTAAGTCATAAAATTTCCATTTATGGCTGGGCTGTGTGCTCTTCCAAACAAGCTCCCTTCCAGATATATTCAGAAGTATATGGCCTATGGATGTGTATGAACACTTTGGTACCTGGGGATGGGCTGACGGTCTATGGAGTGTTTTCTGTTGTTACTGCAGCCATCTGAGCAGTACACTTGGTTCAACACTCGAGCAGCCCCTGGGTTCACTGTGTAAGACACTAGTGTTAGTTATACTGTAGTAGTAGAAGTTATAGTAGTTATGAAGTAAATAGTTGGGCAGGTACACTCATTCTCCAACAGACTACTACAGCTCCACTCCCATACATTTACAACTGTACAACAACTCACCCTCCCTCAGAGTCCAGTGAGGTTCATTTGATCTTCTGAACATTTACTCTACTAGAATAACTCTTATGTAATAGTTTCATGTCAAAGCTACCATTTTCACCTGTGAGTGTGCACTGCATTTGTATATTTTATGACATTATATTACTGACTACATTCATTTTGGCATTATGTTGCATTCATATATTAAGAGATTTTAATGATTATATGAATTAAACTATAGGTTGGAAATGTTGACAGACCTGCAATGAGCTGCTGTTTGAGGAGGGGAAGGAGCTGATCGTGAAGGCGGATCCTTCTCAGAGCATCAGCCAACGAGGACTTGAGCAGCGTGATCTCATCCTCCTGGGCCTGGAGGCGCACCTCCATTAAGGACGTCCGGTCTGGGAACTCTGCACTGTCTGCAGATACGTCCTCTGGAATAACAGAAGAAGAGACAAACTGTGTTATTATGATTGCTGCACCACTAAATGTACATTCAGCAGCATTTAAAGGCCCACTGTGTTTATCTGGTTTATCTGGAACAAGAGACCAGCCTAAACGTATCTGCAAACCCATTGTAAGCGTGGGCCATGTCGCCTCTGAACTCTCTGGTACAGGTTCAGTAATCAGTAGAGGTTACGATGTTCAAAAGGTGTGCAAAAATATTGAAAAAATGCTGTATTGTATCGTTTAATGTGATGATACAGTATCGCTATTGTGGGCTGCTGTATCAACATCATCAACAGTATTTTTTGATATATTTTACAAAATTATTTTGTCACAGTGCTACAGTTTTGTTGCTTATTCAGAGGAAGGAAACTCGTTTATGTGACACATTTGACATTTTCACAGTTTTGATGATTAAAATGTTTGTCTTTCATATGAACTTTGCACAAGAAGTGGTTTAACAAAAAGTTTTAGTATCACAGCCATGATTTAGACATTATTTTGTATTGAATCGTATCAAAACGTAAGATCACTGTATCGAGATATGTATCGTATCGTGGCTTATGTATCATATCAGCAATTTCTGAATGCTGGTATTTTAGGGTACCCTTTATTCTAGCTCTTATTGGAATGTTGATCTTTCCATAAGTGGACCAGAATCTTCAAAAATATTTACATTATGAATTGCTGTTTGTATCTTAACCTGCAGATGTCACCAACAAGAATTTCATTATAGTTATAGTATGCACTAGACTAGAGTAAACTTTGTAGGTAAAATTGAATCTAAAAAGTAAAGATAAACCATGAAATAAATTTCATAGCATCAACATTTTTTATTAATTTATTATTAACACTTTTATTAATTTTTTTCTCCAAATCACAAATAATAAAGGTTTGTCATAAAGCAGACTGCTGTGTGTATGATAACTCACTAATTAACACTAACAAATAACTAACACTTGATATCAATTAAAATAAAATAAATCCTTATAGATAAGCGTTATCTTGTCAAATGCAAACTGCAGGAATGCCATAACTTACACTAACAACATAAGAGAATTTCCCACGTCATGTGATCACTCATCTCATGCTTTGTGTTGCCACATTATCCCAGTCAGATCTTCGTGTTTTCATTATGACTCACCGCATGCTAACTTCCTTAAACCAGCAACGAATTCTAGAGGAAGACCGAAAGCAATTGAGCCATTTTGTGATAAACGATCAACTCAACAGCAACACTGCTTCAGCTTTGAGTTTCCTGCTAGTAAATTCTAGTGTCTCTGGGTCTGGGAAGGATAAAATAGCACAACATTCTTCTACCAAGCTGCAATTTTGGGACATCGCTGACCATTTATAAGACCAAAATAAGAGCATAGAACCACAGTGGCCAAAGTTTGCCTCGAGTCTGGAACGGTCGACACTTAAATCAGTGATGTAAGGCGTTGTGGAAGTTGTGATTCACTTTTGGCCTACAGTCTTTTCTCTAGAACAGGAATTTCATCATCACCATCATCATCATCAGTGCTATTGCTGGCACTAGTCCAAACTGGCTCTGAAGGAAATGTTTTGTTGAGAACAAGTTTACTTGGAAAAGCCACTTGTTGAAAAGCCCAAAGTAAAAAGCAATAAACAGAATGCCAAGAGTCACTAAAAAGGGTTTGTAAATGGCACTGTGTCACTCTCTCCACGAGGTTAAAAAGCATTTGACAAATTAAGGTTACTATATTTTTCTAATTGTGGCTTGATTTTTGTGGGATAGTAGTCGAGGTAAATATTCATTCTTGTGTGTAGTGGTAGTTTTCAAGTCAACAGCTGTTTTTTACCTTTAGTTCAGTAGAGACTGGCTATTCCCAGTCTGAACTCATCCACATGATTCTAGTGAAGGTGTAAGGAGTTTAAAACCACATTGCCACATGACATCACAAAGTGGAACGAAGAACAAACCCAAAATTTGCAGGATTTGTCAGCTAATTATGTGTGAATGAAACAACACACAACTCTAGGTGTGTGTTTAGCAGCATTATAACATAAATCAGAAAATAGCTTTAAATATAATTACGTTAACTATGTTTTAGAGAAATCAGTTGTTTAATCTGGCATGGCTATGCGCTTTAAGTGATTTTCCAGAGTAGATCCCAGGGAATACTGTAAACAACTTAATGACACAAATGCTAATGACTAAATTATATGACTAATTATGCTAAGACACCCGAAGCTCTTTACAGTTCATTGTTCACACCGCACTCAATGGTGGTAAGCTACTATTGTAGCCACAGCTGCCCTGGGGCAGACTGACAGAAGCAAGGCTGCCAATCTGCGCCATCATCTCCTCCGACCATTACCAACACTCACACACACACCACTTTCTTACTAGGCAATGTAGTTGAAGTTTTTTTTACCACTGGTGCCCCACTGTGGCACCTGATTTTCCCAGTGGTCTCTCATTAAAAGTACTACTCAGGCCCGGCCCTGCTGAGCTTCTGAAATCTGATGAGATCAGACTTTAACAAGCTGGTATATCCAGGTAATGAATAACCTAAGCAATAAAATGATTAATGTAGACTTATTACTTGTTCATCACTCATTTTAATTGTAGGTTCAATGTAGGAATGTCAAAATTAACTGGTTATAAAAAAAACTAAATAATAATAATCTAAGACCATTTCAGCAGCAAACTATTTTAATTGATCAATACTCCAAGAAAGTCATCTAAACAAAGCTTTGTATTTGGTTATTTATGTCACATTAATTTTACTTTGTCATCCTGAATATTGGATTTCAAACAGCTTGTTCCGCATTACTTTTCTATTTGCTTGGTCAGGGCATCAAGAATAGTTAATGTTTGTTTTGTAATATTGTGATGATAAAAATTTGATAGCTCTATTTAAAGTGTGTGATGCCAGTAAAAGACCAAAAACTACCTGTGGTCAACATATTCAATGCACCATTTCCAGTAATGCAAACATACTATCTACATCTACGAGAGCTAGAACATTCACACTATACAATCAGTGTGGGAGGTAGACCAGGCCATGAGCTGAAACTGCAGATTTTTTTTCCTATCACAACTCTATAAACAATTCAAACATTCCAGTCATTGTTTAGCAGAACCCTGAACGTAAAATACTGAGCAGAGGAGAAACACATGCTACCAACCAGGTCCTTATGCAGCTTCATCAGTCAGCGGGCCGCTTCAAAGAGCCTCCATCATTAGCAAATAAACACGCTTCTCTCCGAGCGGCACACGAGGCTAATTTAAAACCCCACTTCTGCTGTGATGGATGGACGGGCTGGAGTAGACCATTACGTTTGACAGCCATTCTCTTGGAAAGCAATGCTGTTTGTCACGAGTGGAAATGAGCTAATTAGTTAAAAATACAAATACAAAAACAAATACACTGTTTCGGGTAATTCTACTTACAAGTCAATTATGAAACCTGTGCTTGAACTGAGTATAGTTCTCACATGTAATTTTACATAGTTACACTTCAAATCAAAGAAAGTTACCGAGTACTTTACAAGTCCCAATTATCCTAATGCACAGCTGCCTCAACACTGTCTTTGCTCCTTTCTACAAACACACAGTGCATCATCTGCTCTAATTGGCCAAAGCTCAGACAATATGCGTATTGAGGTTTATAATTATTTTTACTATATTTATTTGATCAAGTTTTGTAAAAAAAAAAAAAAAAAAAAAAAACAAGCACAATCAGAAATAGCAACCTGGTCCCCCATGAGGCATTGGTGGGGGCAGTTTATCACCACAGAAGCAGCTTATGAGGAGCCCAGCCCATACCCCGGTTATGTGTGTGCCAACTTGTGTGATGATTGGGTGAATATTTTAGCCCGCAGATGGTTCAGAAATTGCCGTAATTGCCTATCCTTTATAATGGCATGACCATTCAACTGACCCGTGTGATGTCAAATGACGTCAGATCATCACCAAAGTTTCTTTTGCGGCATCTGGCACGGGGGCTTGACCCACGTACCAAATTTGGTGACAATCAGCCCATAAATGGCAGAATTGTCACGGGTGGACAGACACACAGACACACAGGGTGAATACAAAACCTGGTCAACCCTTCGGGAGACCAGGTAAAAATGTATAAAATAATAATAATACAATAAATAGATAAATCTAATGTAATTTTATCTAAAAAAAAAATCTGAATTGTGTAAAGAAAGTAATAGTCAGTAAGGCTGAGTATCATTAAGAAGTTGTCGATACAATACATACCTCGATACATAAGCCACAATACGATACATATCTTGATACAGTGCACTTTCGATTTGATACGATATATTTCAAATCGATTTGATACGGTTCAATAAAAAATAAAGGCAAAATCATGGCTGTGACACTAAAAGTCTTTGTTAAACCACTTCTTGTGCAAAGTGAATATGAAACACAAACATTTTAATCATCAAAACAGTGAAAATGAACTGATGAATAAATGAGTTTCTTTCCACTAAACAAGCAGCAAAACTGTAGCGCTGTAATAAAATAATTTAATAAAATAAACCAAAAAATACTCTTGGCAATATATCGATACAGCAGTCCACGATATACCGATATCATAACTAATTTGGCAGCAGTATTTGTACTTGTATTGAAGTATATTTTTAGCCATGTAACTGCACTTTGACTTGAGTACTCTTTCCACGCCCCTGTTTGTTATAGAACAAATATAGTTGTTTACTTATATTGAGACTTTTACTACATTCAAAAACAAATGAAAGCCATACACGCCCTTCAAATATGAGTCATACGCCATAACCAGTGTTTCATCTCAAATTTCCCTCTAAACCGCTTCTTTTGTATTGGGAAATGAGTGTCCCTTTTGGACCCTGCAAAAGAGGCTAGTTGGGACAAGACATCTACTGTTATGGATGACTGAAGCTCAGAACACAATGCAATAAACTATTTCCTGCGAAAATGTCACGCCCAGTTAGTCAGATAACGCTGAGGTTGATTGGACATTTGGCA